AAAGGAAAATCTCTCAAACTGAAAAACGCTGGCGGCAAATCCAAACAACAAGGCCCAACATGGAAAGACATGAACCTCTTTTGTTTGGGGATGTTGCACAGCCACGTTGTTGTGTCTGAGATGCCGAGGATGAACTGGCAAAATGCGGTACGCCTCCGGCAGATCTTCTGCAGCTGTGAAAAGGCGGGTGCTCTGCAACATGGTCACTGCTCCTTCACGCGCTGCCCACGCTCCAAGCGCTCGAGCAGCCACGGCAGGCATCATGGCAGAGACCATACTGAAACGTTCCGAAAAAGCCGTGGCAAGATTTTGCATGCCAGCTTTAGCATCATCGATGCGTCTGCGCTTCCCGTCCGGCTGAGTATGCACAAAGGCAGGCACTACAGACCAAGAGTCTTTGCCATATTCCACATCCAGCGACTCCACGGTTACAGGCGCGCCCGCTTTGCCATTGGCCACTTCCTTCTGGCAACTGGCCCAAAGGAATTGCAGCTCATCCTGGTCAAAATGTCTCCGGCCGTACTGCTGCAACACGGCTGGGCCTGTGCCACACAAGGTGGCCTCATCGATGTCGGGAACCTCATCAACTGCTGTCCAGATGCTGACCGTCTCAAGCTGACCAATCAACGCAAAGCCTTGCAAAAATCCCAGAGGCAGAGTCCTGTCCGGCCACTTCATGAGGATTATCAAGGCAGCAATAAGCCCAACATGGATGTGCCCTGCCACACTGTTGATTGACGGATGCAAAAATTTTCGCAAATGGCGGGATAGGGGCTGGCAGCGGCGCGACAATTCCTGCAGCAGGTCGCGGCCTAACTTGCGGTGGTCTCGCAAAACCGGCAAGCAATGAATGGCACACCACGCCGCAAAAGAAAAATCTGCAGAGCATGCCAAATCATCAAACGGCAACCTCTCCTCATGGGATGCTTTACAGCATGCTCGGAATAGGGCTTCCTTGCTTTGGTGAGGAAGAACTTTGCTGGGCAACGCACCTTTTTGGGCCAGGACTGTTGTCTGCAATCCCAAGCTTGGCTGAACCTTGGCAGTTGCTGTTAGGTGACTTGTGTTGACATCCACTCGATGATCGGCAGTCCATTGGTGAAACAACGTGAAAAACGGATGGTTGAACAAATCTTGCAGCATGGGCAATGCAAAGCCATGCAGCGCTTCTCTCGGAAACATGAAGCGGAAACCACTGACAATGGCTTCCTGGCAAAACTCCAGCTGGACTGCTGGTGGCAACGCGGCGGCACAACTGCCAGACTGCAGACTGGCCCCAAGCGAAGTCTCTGGCCCGCCCTCGCCTGGGCACCATCAGGCCTTGCGGGCCCTTTCCGCCTGCTTGCAGTTGATGCCACGGTGGTTGCTCATGCCACAGACTCGCGCTTGCCGGGAACCTACCTGCACATTGCACACGTGCAGCTGCTTCTTGGGGCAAGGGCCCGACTTGACACACTGGCCACGGTTCCAATCCTGGCAGATGGCTTTGCCATCCTTCAGCGCAGTAGCATAGTAAACAGTCTTGGACTTCCTGGTGCTTTCAAGCTCCGCAGCAGGCGGAGGTGGCACGTCAGCTGAGCTTGGCAAACTCCACACTGCTTGCCTCTCAGTGTAGACTTCTCGAATGACGGCGCCGATCGTGCGCTTGCTGCCCCGAAACCGCTCACACCAGAGAGCCCTGTCCTCCTCTTCTTTGGTCACGATTTCCGGCAAGCGGCTCACGGGCATTGACATGACATACTTCTGCACCCTATGAAAATGCGCCATGCAAACATCCAGCGGGCAAAAAACATAGCTGCATGGGTCAGAATGCACATCTTCAGGAGAAGTCGGGACATCAGGCGGCGCAAACGTGCCTGCTTTAGCGAAAGCCACCATCAGCATCTCCAGCTGGATCAAAAAATTGGCTACATTTTCTTCGACATGGTCCTCTACCGTTTCAGCATGGACAATGTGCACACCCTCCGTGACCTTGGTGCGCTTCTTTTCACCGCTGAGCTGTGCTGCCAACGATTTGACTTTGAGGACTTTGTGAATGGTGAGGAGTCTGCTTTTGAAAAGGCGATTGAGATTTGACACCAGCAAATCTGACGGCGTGCGAGCTGCCGGATACCTCATCCGATAGCGCCCCCAAAAGGCAACGTGAAGAGACTCAAGCTCTTCTGTGCCCAACAAAGCTTCCAGCTCAGGGGTTTCGAGACCTTTGCGCTTCTTGTCAGCTGCTTTCTGGACAGCTTCGACTACTGCCGCCCAGGCTTTGCGAACTCTAGCCGTTTGCACGCCCTTGTTCGACAAATCCTGCACTTTGTCAATCACATGGACCCTAACCTCATCGTCATTCGTGACGAACTTGGCAAAGTCTTCAAGGCTACGGCATCCCTCATTGACTAAGAAGGCGCCGACTTTTTCATTGACATTGAACTTGAGGCACAGCTCCTTGAAGAGCTCGGAAGGGTCATCCGCAGGCTGTGCTGGGGGTTGCAGGTCTGCCACTGTCAGAGCCATGCTACTGGCTGAGAGCGAGCGCTGCTCAAAGAACAAGGCCACTACGAAGCTACAAGAAAAAAGGAGTCCTGACTGCGGCAACTTCAAGGCTAAAAACACCGCTGGCGCTCTTTGCGCGACGCAGACATGGATGGGTAACAAGCACGCGCTTCGGTACGCTTCTTGATTTCTTGCGCTGAAACCACCTGGCTCTTTAGATGCTCTGGCAACAAGAAAACGCAAGCTGTACAAAAAGGACGATCTGCACTGACCGCCTCAGACAAGGAGTCAAACCTCAAAGCTTTTCCTTTGAAGATGCCGTTCTTCAGCTTCTGACGCCATGAGCATACAGGGCCCACAGCATCCGCGCGGCACAGATGCATGAGAGCGCCGCGTCGGCCCGCTGACACCCAACTCTGAGGATCAAAGACACGCTTCCCACATGGTCGCGATGGCTGCAAAGAAGGCTGGCGAGGCACATACCTTCGGTTTTCCATGTGTTTCAGGTGACCTGGGGCCCGTGCTGCAAACTCCGCCTTCGCAGAGAAGTCCGCGTAGGTTGCTGCCTCCTCTTGCCAGGACTGCACCGTGGCCGCTGGCTGACGTGTCCACCAAGCCCGAAAATCCTGCCAGGACGACACGTTCGCCTCCAAAGAAGCAGCGAACGTCAAAGCGTGAAGCGCCTTGCTCTGCACTTCGTTCCCCTCGCGCTGGCCACTATAGCGGAAAGGCATGGAATTTCTGGTTGCCCTGCGATCGCGAATTGCCGCCTCGTCCATCTGCCACCCTCCCACATCAAAGCGCTCAGGCCATGGGGCGCCGCGGCAATCTAGCGCTGTGGGAGCGCAGCGTCGGAAGGAGTACGAAGACACGGGCGGCGAATCCGCGCACACGACATCTGCCAGCTGTCGCTGCGCCATGTCATTGAACTGAGACAGGGACACAGCGCGACCATCAATGTGGCAAATGAAAACAGGCGGGCTTGCCTGGTAGCAAGGCAAAGCTTGCGTGCTGTGCCATCCATCCCAGATGCAGCGCAATGACTCTTCCAGCACCGGCAATCTCGGCACGAACCAACTGAATCCTTTCCTGATGCCATTGATTCTGCCTTTACCACGAAAAACCCAGAAACAGACCCACTTTGGAGCCCTACTGACCGGCACCATGCGCAAAGCATGTCGATATCGCAGCGGCATGAACGCCAAGACCACCATCACAGACAAGACGCACGCTGATGCCAGTTGCTGAGTTCTGGCCTCTTGCGCACGGCTGCAGAGGAAACCCACCATAAAAGGCTCCAGCGGCACAGCCTGCCCTCGCTCCCCAGAATCGCGCAGCTCCGCCTGGTGCACAGTGCGGGGCACAGGAACTGCTTCCATATCAAGAGGCGCTTGCAAGTGTCGGGCAAGCCAGGCCAAGCGATCGTAGCATGCCTTCGGCACAGATGTCCCTTTTCCTTCGGAGGAGATGTTGATGTAATCTTCTACAAGAACTGCCGGGACGCCAGCCCCGAACTGAAGAGCTGCGCTGGACGGATTTTGACTGCGGACATGGCTCCACAATCGTTGCCACTCAGCTAGCGCAGCTTTCACCGTACGCGGCTCAAATCCCAATAGACGCGCAGACAATGATTTGACACGTCGCTGCAACATGGCTTCATCGACCACCCCAGCTTTGACACCAAATGCTGGCGCCCAGGACATTGACAACTGAATAGCTCGGTTTACTTGCAACTGGCGCTGAATGAAATCAACCTTTACAGTGAGTGGTTTGAGCATACCTTGCGTCGCTTTAGCACGCACATGAGGCTTGCGCATCCGTGGGCCGCACGCTATGTGACCGACTTGCAGCAAGTCTTTTGCAATGACATAACCATCTGATCTGCCCTCTCTTGCCTGTACCCAAGCAGCCTTGAGCGGCTCTGATGTCGGCAAATGCGTGTCAGTAAAGAAGAAGGCTAAATCATCCACCGTTTCCAGGCCTTCATGCGAAGCCCAATCCAGCAAATCCGAATAGCCATGCTTCGTCAGCCACTCCTTGATGGCATCCATGGCTGAAGGCTCATGGCCTTTCTCTTTTCTAAGAAAAGAGTTCTGCTGGCACGACTCCCTTGGCCTGAGCCAAGATCGTCGGCGCCTGATGTCGCGCCTGTTTATGTGTGCTGCACCATGCCTGCCCTAGCCTGACAGCACAAGCATACCCTCCTATGCCAATCGGTAGCGGTAGCGCAAACAGCGGCAGCGATATTCAATTCCCTGATGCATGCTGCTCACTGAACCGCAGCTGAGCAGGACTCCCTCACTTAGGCCAACCCAGGCATGCTTTTTCCTCCTGCTGCTTCGGAACCTGAGCCTCACACAGTCTATGATTGTGTGTGCTGGGTTCTAGATCGATGTCCTGCAATCACCACAATTCGAGTGTTCTGAATGGCGCGAGTCCATGGCGCCCATGGCGTCAAAGCAATGCTGGACATCGGAAGGTGAACCCAGACCCACGGAATTTTATCACATCGAAAGCTACTGTCTGTTCTTCCGCAGCGAGGCCTGGAATCGCTTTGCCTGTCCGGGGCACATGACGACAGAAGTCACATCGTTTCCCAGAACTTGCAGAAGGTCAGCTTCGGCTTGACACAGGTTTAGGGTTTAGGGGTTTAGGGTTTAGGGCACACCCTCTGCATTCTACATTCTCAGGCTGAATATTCAGCAAGCAGGAAGGAGTAAACGTTTCTTTGGTCGCGATGCCTCTTCCTCCGTCATGACCTCGACGCTGTTCACATCTCTGCATTTTCCAGGGGTAAGCAAACCAGTTCTCGATGCACGCTGAGTCACTGGGGTGCTATGTGATACTCTGCAGCTGAGGAGTTTGCACCAGTCCTCTTCTCCGCTACTGTGACCTTTTCAAGCCTGCACATCCGTGTTGGAAACAACACCATGGCGACGCTGCGTCTGCAATACACATTCAAACTCCAGGGCGTGGGCGCTTGGTGCTTTTGCTTCTTTTGCTCCTGCTCTCGTCCTTATCCGGTTGTCAAAGCGCAGGGCTTCCGTTTCGTGAGCCCAAATGGTTTTTGGGGGCGGGGAGGGGGGGGGGGGGGGGGGGGAGGGGGGGGGAGGGGGGGGGAGGGGGGAGGAAGGGGGGGGGGGGGGGGGGGGGAGGGAGGGGTATATGGGACGACATGACATCAAGCTGGGGTCCAGACTCTCTCGTGCTTGAATCTTCGCTTTGAGGGCCATGGCCTCCTCTGCCCGCATGACGTTCCTGGCCTGCAGAAGAACACGCGTGCGCCTGAACTCTGTCCTCTTCCTCATGGCAGCTTCTGGGCCGGTTGGGCATACTTGGTTTAACACAGCTCTTGAAGTCACACGAACCAAACCGGCAACTAAACTGGGAGTAGCCTGTGGCTCGCCTTTGGCATTCCGGACGATGGTGAAGCTAATCTGGAGACAGAAGCGGTGCACCAATGGTACCAGTATGTACCAGCACCCGAATGTGCCCGATGGATGCTCTGCCGACTGCAAGGCCCGCACCAGCTCACCAACTTTCGCATCACCCATTTGCCTGTGCCCGACAGCGACAGACAGCGGCCAAAAAAGTCACAGTTTGCGAAAACACGGGCGCCTCGAGTGCAGGTACACATCCTGAGCCGCGGGTCCAGCATCGAATCTCTTAAGTCATCTCTCGAGCCATGCCAGGCCGCAGACGCGCCCGTACTTAATCCTGGCTGCTTCACAATCCTGAGCTCCAGAGGGCAATCCTATGCTGCTGTGGACGTCCTTCTGTCGCCAGCGCCTGACTGCCTATGAAGGTTCAAAGCCCGATCAAGCACGGTTCAGAAACCAAAGGTGGTCCCCTAAGCCGACAGGTAAACAGGCAAGGCACGATGAAACCATAGCCACCACCAGAAGCAATTTCATAGAAGCCTTTGATCCGTCCAGAGAACCTCTCCATGCAGAGTAACATGGGGATGGCGGTGGAACGACTGGAACACCATCCATCACTCTCGCGCCTATTGGGATCATTGTCAGGGTTGAGTGGGTCCTGTGCGCCAAGGAGTGCCTAGGGCCTAAGGGAAATGCTCAGAGAATGCACGCCAATTGGGTGTCCTCCTCCTTTACCTCGTCTTGAGGTTGGCCGAAACCAGCTGACTGTGACATCCTGGCCGTTTCCGGAGCAAGGACAGAGCGGTCATGTCATGCCTGACCTAAGGAGCAGGCATTTGCATCATCATCTGCTGTTGCATCATCTGACCTTCCCAGCACCAGGAGGCATGTTCATGTGCTCATTCCTGAAACCAGCAGAGGAAGCCTAGAAGCATCTGTTGCGCCATTCCGAGTTCGTTGACCTCAAGCAAAACCGGCTTCCCCTGAAACACTCTGTGCAGTGTATAGAAAATGTTACACTGATTTGGTGTTCATATTGCTGGGAAGCTGCGGCAGCAACTGGAGGCACACCAAACACGGACCTCAGCTCCGCTTTGGAGTTGCTAGTGCTATCGCCGTGTCACATGCACCGCCTGCACATGCACCAGCAGCACAGCATCGCGCTGGCTACTCGCCGGCGCGAAGGACTCCTCCCCGACTGCATCGGGTCTCCACTGAGAAGCCGAAAGTCCGCCGGGAGGCATGCCCATGGCAGCCTGCCTTTGCCCGCACTCTGCAAATTGGAGCACAATGAACTTCTGCCACACTCTAAGAAGCTCTGGTATGGGCGGCTCCGGAAACACTGGGGCTACCGACGGCATCGTTGGGAGTGAGGGAACAGGCGAAGGCGACTCAGCGGCTACCTCGAAACGGAGGGCCCACAAGGTCTGTTCTACATCAGGGAGCTTTAGTGCGAAGAGTATTAGGGGGCTGCAGATTCCTTCACAACCTGGCTCCACAGCCACATCAAGTCTTGGAGATGGGAGCAGCGCAGACATGCTCGGCATACTCTCAGGCGTCACCTGCGCCAGAGCCCCACGACCCACGACCGGATCCCCTCCCATGACGTCAGTTTTTAAGAGTTCAAAATACATGCAACATAGGGTAGATGTAAAGAGCAGCACTGCCTGGGCGGGAAATGTCGGCACCCTCGGAGAGGCTCCCCAAGTTTTTTCCCTTCGCGCGAAAGCTCCTCGAATCCTGGGGCGGCTGCTCGGCTCTTGCGCCTGGGGGTTGACCTCTCCAGTATGACCATAAAGCAGAAACTTAGTACCAAAACGACATTCATGTCATGGTGAGGGCACTGAGCAAAGAGCCATGGCTGGCTTGAACCTCCTCCACTTGCTCCTTCCAGCGCTCTGGCCTGCGTTTGCTGAGGCTGATGCGCGGAAGCGTTTATCTGCCTCTGATCGGGATGTTCCCCCCTTATTATAATGGGGGGACTACAATCCCTACTACGGACTCGTAGCATAAGGCGGAACATCCCGCGATTCTGAGTTGCGGACTTGATGCCCGTCAGGCGGAAGAACTCGGCCTCTTGAAGATGAAAGCTGGGCCGGGGAATCGAGGTGTCAGGATTACCACATGTATACCACATGACTCGTCCAGCTGCCAAAAAGATGTTGCAGCAGCACCTCGTCAGGAGTCATAGCTGCAGGCTCTGACCTGGGCTTCTTGCTCTCGGCACCTCGGCACGGATCATCCTCTTTAGGCCACGGATCTGAGGGGCATTGCTTTTGGCGAGCTGCTGCCAGTGGATGGCGACGGAGCATCGTGCCACCCACCGCAGCCACCACAAGCTCCATAGGCTTCGTAACCTGCGCACGGCACCTTCAACCCTAAACCCTATAAACCCTAAACCCTAAACCCTCAAGCCTATCGTTTCCTCTCTGTGCTTGGGCATGCGGAGGTCAAGGCAAGATGGGCTGCGAGGTCAGCAGCTTGATTGACAGCAAGAGAACCAAGAAGTATAAATCCAACAGGGACCCACTGCTCCTTCTGTGTTCCAGCATGTCTGGTCAGCCTGGTACACATGGTCGGTTCTCAAAAATCATGGTCCCACTATGGGTACTCCAACGGCGTCGGCCCGGATGAAACAGGACAGGAAAGGTCACAAAAAGCGTGTTTGTGCGAGTGCGTGTGCACATGTATGTGTGTGTGCGTCTCAATGTATGCGGGGGGGGGGGGGGGTACATATGTATATGCACGAACATACCAGTACTACGCAACTGAGAAAAGGAAAGGGGAGCTGAAACCCGCGGAGCCTGAAGGCGCCTTCCGACAAGTCATGAAGAAAAAGAAGGAAGCGCAAGCTGAAACGTAGCAGACAAGTAGATGTTTGACGCTAGTCACAGATGTGTTCGTCTTTGCCCTTTCTTCCTTCGTTCCATGTCCAGGCGGCCTCCAGGGTCATAGGGCCTCTTCTGGCCCAACATGGCTCCAATCAGGCACCGGTCTACGACTCCATTTAGAGTGAGCTTCAGATGTCGTGGATCGCAAGTATCGAAACCTTCGAACGCGTGAGCTGAGCTGTGCTACCCTAGTGCTGCCTCACTGTCTCAACACGACTCTCACTATAACATGTTTCATCGCGAAAGCTAGGGAGCAACCGAGGCGAAGAAACATTCAACATAATATCTGTATATAGTATTGTCTCAAAATCATAATATCATAAAACTTAAACTAATATAGTATAATGCCAATGAAATTTTAAATAATGAGAATCTCATATGAAAATACGGGAATATGTTAATATAATACTCTGGATGCTAAGGTTGAAGCTCTACCCAGAGTTGTCTGCGCCGCTGCGATGCTGGAAAGCCCCTCTTTGGTCCCGTCAAGAATCAACAGCTCTGTCGCCTCTGTCGCTGTTGCGACTCAACACCTACTACCCTTTGCACTGGGAAGGCTCAGATCTTCTGGAGGTTGTGCTCCAACTCGTCCGCTCGTTGCTTCTTCCGTTCTCGACGCACCAGCGAGCTGTCTTGCCGCAGAGGTGCATCTCCGCGCCACGGCAACATCAGCCGCAGCAAAGGATGCGGTGAGAGCCGTGAGCAGTGAACATCGTAGCATCGCAGTCATGTTGCACATTGCCGCAGTTACGACGTGTCGGTCACGCTTCCGCCAAGTCGAACCTGCCTCCGAGATTCAGGCATCCAGTACCGCTTGCCATAGTGGATCAGGACCTCCGGCAACGGCCTATACTAAAGGAGACTTCTGTGGGCCCTACCGGTACAGATAGTTTGTTGGGGGGAAGAAGGCCGCAGCACAATGGCATTAAACTTCATACGGGGCTTCGTTTGTGCTCATAGCCCTTGCTGGGCCCTTGGTTCTGAGCTCCTGAACCACAGCACATCTCTTTGGAGTGTAAGTTGAGTGAGTCCAGTAGCTCAGGGTTCATCTGCCACCTTTTGTTAGGGTCTACCTGCTTAGGCGCTGAGAACAACGAAATACGATTGGAATCTGCAGCAGAGACTTGGCTGATTACAAGGAACAGCTTAGGGTTTCGATCTTAGGCAGGGCTTAGGTTTAGTCGAAGAGTCTGGGATTCCCAAAGGCTTTTGACACACGCTTGAACTTCATTACTAGTAGGGTCCCTACTGTAGGGACATTTAAAACGGGTACCTTTATCCCCTTTTCTATATACTAGCAGGCCCCGAAAGTATGTTTCAGGTGCATAACATAGTGGCTCGAAGTCCGCGCTTCAGACTGGCCACTTGGTTCAGCTGGCTCGCCTTTGCTGGTCGATTACGCCTCACAGCCGAAGCAGGATCGTTCCCATTGTTCTGATTCTATAGTAGCAGCAGCAGCAGCAGCAGCAGCAGCAAACAGTGTTTCAAAAGAAAGGGACGAATAACAATGATAATAATCGTAACGCCCTCAACCCTGGGTCCTCAGGCCTGCTCATCCAGCATGATGTCGCGAATGGCTCGGCCTTGTTGCAGAGCGAAGATGATGCCGCAAATTATTTGAGAGGGTGCATTTTGTTGGGCGACTGGCACAACACGTGCAACAACCCTTCGTGGTGAACAGACACCAACTCTGCGTTCCAGTCATCATCGCCTCGGAACGCAACAACATAAACGACCCGCCGCAAGAAAGCACGACATCTTTTACAGCCAGTTTGCAGCAGTTGCCCGTCGAACCTGGCAAGGCGCTGTGGTTGATTAGGCGGCACAAGTTTCCGAACTTGCTCGCGTTGACGACAAGGTCAGGGTCCACGACCGGCAATGCGAAGCCATACCTTGCAGGCCACATCGCATTGCTTATTCTGCAGCATTCATCGACTTGAGTGTCTCAGGCGCAGTCAGGCCATCGTCCTCACACACGCGGCGTGTCCTGGTTAAGGGGGCTTGAAGGAGGGTCCAAGCGCAGACGTCCAAAAAGCACACCGAGGAAAGCGCAGAACTCCAACGTACTCACCCAGGTAGGTGCCCCGGGGAATTGGCCGTCTCGCGAAAAGGCCCAACCTCGAGCGTAGCTTGCATCGTTGGTATCGCTTGGCATCGTGCACTTTAGAAACGTAATCACCGAAACCGGGAAAGTCCCCAGCCCGACGTCCACGCCCTCCACCAACCCTATCCTCTGGACCTCAGTCTTTAGCAGCCCTAGTTCGAAAGCGTGACACACGCATTGACAGTCGCAGTTCCGAAGCAAAGATGCATGCAATACCTCCCATGGGACAGAATCGGCGCCCGGCACAAAGCGACTCGAACAAGAATGTGCCATGCCTGGGACAATTCAGGCTGCTTCCTTGAGCGTATGATGCTAGCACATGACCGTCAACATAAGCCTAAACCCCAAACCCCAAACCCCAAACCCTAAACCGCACCTGTCCTGAGCAGCTCCGTGCACCCGACGTCAGCACTGCTCGGCACCTCGGCAGGTGTTGAAGAGCTAATCAGTTCACATCAGCTCGTCGTCGCCTGGCCCGGAGTTGACAGGATCGCTACGCTACGCCGTTTTGGCTGTCCTTTCCGAGCTTCGCTGAATGAAGCTGATGCAGATGTGCTCATTTCGAGCGAGCATGCAGAGAAACAGGTCTGAATTGAGAAACGTGGCAAGATCTCCGGCAAAGCCCACCAAACATTCCAAGCAGGCCGGCCCTGACTGCCGTCGGCGCTTAACGCTCGTCTTGTTTCTGGGGCTTTGGAGCAGCGTGAAAGGACGAAAAGACCAGCCACTGCACGTGACTCCAATTTACTTTGACGCTGCTCCTGGCCCCATGTTCGTGCCTCCGGGGCTGTACCGAATTTCGCACAGTCTACAGGCCGCACAGGCCGCTACAACACCATGGCCAAGCCATGGCGCATTTTGCAGGTTTGGAGTTGCCCTTCTTCAGTGTCGGGCACCCTGCAGTGGTCCATCAGTATCAGGCCTTCTTCTTCGAACTTGGCGCAGGCACAAGCGGCACAAGCTTAACCTTTTGACTTGCATGGGAACGGATTGGGCGAGATTGGTCTCATGCTCTCAAGGCAAATCGTTTTTGCAGTTGCCGAGCGGCTCGTCGTAATCATCATTGCTTTCGTTGAAACCGGTGCGATATTCCACTTTGAAGAGGTGCCAACCTCGTGTACGGCCGATCAAAGCTGGATTCCATGGTCACCATTGAGATTCAATGCAGCAAAGGTGCCGAACTTCGTCTTCACCGGGCCGATAAGTGTGCCGATGGGAATGGAGCGATCGAACGCAACTCCTTGAATGCTGGGTGAAGCGGAGCAATGAGAATGACACATTGAAGCTAATCATGAAAGTTCACAGGGTCAGCAAACCCGACAGCTGCCCAAACAACATCTCGTGCTCCACCCGCCCATCAGGGGCATCCGTTTTACTTTTGCTTCGTCATGGTTCGTCTTAGCGTCCCGATGTCCCCACCACATGTGGGTTCCTCACACCCTACAGGAGAGCTCAGTCATGCACCGACTAGGGCCAATCATACCTGACCAAAGAGTCTATCAAATGACGGATCGAGCGTTCCCGGCTGGAAGACCCCAAGGTCTCCGCCATCTTGAGATGACCTGCACCTGAATGGCATGCGACTGAAAGAAAGGTGCAGCTGACGCCTGCCTGAGGCACACCCATTCTTCAGCCAGCGACATGCGGATCAGGCGCATGCTCAGTGCACGGGCGACGCGTGGGAAGCTTTCGCCTCCGTCAACTCGGGACTTGGCCTGGAGGATATCAGCCTGAGGCCGGGCAGTGGGGCAAGTGGCGTGGCGCAGCCGGGCAAGGGAGAGGGACGAGACTGTGACTCAGCTGGCCTCGGTCCTCATAAGGATATGCCGCATAGACGCGCTCTTGATCTTCCGGCTTTCCGAATCGGCGCTGTAGAGCATGTACATCGTGGCAGACAGCACCTCGGAGCCAAGTCACGGACGGGATCATGGAATCATGGGGCTGTTCAAATAAAGGTTTCAAGAAGGCCGGCAAGAGACAAAGGCTCCACAAAACACGATGAAGAGGTGACCATAAGTGAACTTCAGCTGCCCCCATACGATCGCCGGCTCACGGATGCGGGTACCCAGCCTGGTCCGAAGGCGTCGACAAGTCTTTGCTACATAAATTAAAAGTGGCGACATGACTATTCAAACATATACATAGATATAGATATAGATATAGACATAGATATAGATATGGATATATAGATATAGATGCATAGATATAGATATGGATACAGATAGATATAGATATAGATAGATATAGATACATATTAGATAGATATAGATATAGCTTATTATCACCACAGATGTGCCACCACGTGGGTCCTCAGGATCCATTCGCTCGCTGATGTCACCTCGGGGCAGTGGGGGGGAGGCAAGTGATCGTCTCAGCTGCTGGTCTACCCGGTACCCGTGCGCAGGAAGACATCTAAACAGCAAGCTCTACAAAACCACTAGATTTTGTACAAACCGATAGGAACCCTAAATAAATTGCTTAGATCAACCCCCATATCACGTTTCAAAAAAATGTGGGGCACCTCGTAAATCGCCCCGCGGCGATTTGGCAAAACCTGGCACAGTTAGTCAATCGACGGCTACGTTTTCGAAGCTTGCAATCTTCGCGAGCCAGCCTCAATGCTGTTCAAATCCATAGCGCCCGGATGCGGATTAGCAGCAACTTCTGAGGCCGATACCGCACAAGGACAATGTTCTCCTAATTGAAGGGGGTCCAGCACCAACTGAAATTCTTCCTGTGTCCTGCTTGGGCCACCCTTGCAGGAGCAGTTTGGCGTCAAGTGAACAATGACAAAACCTGTCAAATAGAATGTGGCGGAATCACTAGCGACAGGAGCTCTGACTCCAATGAGGATGAGCACATGTGGACATGCAATGCACGCACATCGCGACCCGCACGTTGCCAAAAGGGGTGCTCGGAGACACTGGAGGAGGAAAAGCCTCGGCCGTCATCCCACTTGACACTGCAAGCATTCAGCGAAGCAATTCATTCACCAATGGCTGGCAGAAGGCCCAGAACTCGCGCTCAGCTAGCAGCCGTTGATCCTGGCATCTTTCATGCGAAGCTGTCGTTTTCTAGTAGCTACAAACTCGCACCGCAGTTAGCAGAGCCCGTTGATTCCCGTTGTGCCACCTGCATGCCCATTCCCTGAGCCCTAGCCTGCTTAAAATAATATAATATAATACAATATAATATAATATAAGATAATACAATACAATGATATATATATATGTGTATATATATATATATATATTATTTCCATTTCTATTTATTGAATTATTTGACCATTTCTGTTCGTATGCTAATTCGCACCTCCAAAGACACTAACCAGAATGGACGTATGTACATTGAACCCCAGCTCCGCAGCTCCGTTCCACCCATGCAGTCAGGCGTGTTACTCTTTTTCTTCCAATGAGAGCACCCATGAGCACCCCCAACGTCCCCAAACGTTGGGGAAGGATTTTTGCATGTACTATACAAAATAATAATGCAAGATGGTACGTATGATCGCAAATCAAAAGCAAGTGTGTTCGATTGCCCCCCCCCCCCCTGCCTCCAGTAGCAGATGGCTCGCCCAAGTACCTTCACATCGTACGCTGCAAGAAACCCGCCCAAAACCTCCCAACGCCTCTCAAGCACGTGCTCGCAACGCAGGCATCTGTATGCCGAGTCACAGGACATGAGGTCCTCGATGCCCGATCGATCTAAGCAGATGCGGCCTCACACCGGTCATGCCAAAAACGGGGAAGAAGCCTGAATTGATAATGGCTCTGCTTGCTGCGTTCGTGGATTCAAACAATCCTCTGAAGAACCGGCTGCCATCTTTCTCGCAGAACACCACTCCTTCCTGCCAGGCTGCTGGGTGAATCTGCAGATATCTGCAGCTCCCACAACTACGATTTCCATCTCCAGTGCTCTGAGCCCTTAGCTTCAGGGAAGTTGGCCAGAACCGGTGAAGTGCCGAGCTCCACGAAATCCAAGCTGTCTGCCTTGGCTTGTGCCAGGGGTGATACGATGTGAAATCTGGGCAACAGAAATTCGAAGAAACTCAGAGGCTGAAGCTCCGAAGCGACAAGTCCACGAGTCCAAGAATCCTATGGGCGTCTTGTCAGCCATGGTCCTTTGCCTTGGCTTGAGCCTTCTTCACACCCCGGAGCAATTCATGCAGCGTAGCAAAGTAAAAAACTATGGTCTACAAGCAGGGGGCAGTCTCGTGAACCCCAGATTCATTGACGGGGCATTTTGTCTGTCGATCTGCCACAAGCAGCCCAAGTGGCTGCAAAGAACACGATCCCCGCGTGCTTTGCGCGAAGTGAAGCAATGCGAGAGCTTCTTCGCAGCAACTGCATGGCCACTTTGTGCCAAGGAAGGCATGCTACGAGCCCCCCTAAACCCTAAACCCCTAATCCATCGATTCTTGGACATGGCCTGCTAGCAGCGACGGCTGTTCCATCTCTGCCTGCCTCAAACGCACCATGTCTGTGAGCTCCACGGCCTGGTGTTGCGGTGAAAGAACTTATTTTGGATGATTGTGAGGGGGCCGCTTTCTGCAAGCCGGCCTCATCTGCTCCACCAGATGACCTGACAGGACCACATCAAGATCTGATCACATGCACATAACTCATAAGATGCTCTCTCAGAACTGAGAGGCTATTACTGAGAGCTCTCGCTGGTGCCCACACGAAGCAGTGTATCTTGAGGACTCCCAATCTTGTTCAGGGGTGTCGGCCTTTCGTCGTCGCGGAGGAGACGGGTCGTGAGTCTCCGAGCCTGCTGGAGCAGACAGATCTGCCGACCACCGTAGGGTTCGGAGGACAGCATGAGCTCAGCAGCCGACACCCTCACCTCTCAGTGCAACACAATAGCGCAAGCCATCTCCAAAGGAAGGAAGAGCTGGAGCTTAGATCACCCCGCCTTGCTCGGAGAACTCTTTCATAAGCAGAAGCCAATCTCGAGTGACTCTCTCCTCTATGGCCTGAGCTGGCATCCTTGCATCACCTAATGCTTTCATCTCCAATGCCGCATCGAATGATCATCGAATTCAGGTTCCGGCGTACTGTTCTTCTTCAGCGCTTGCCTGGCGTGTCCGGCATTGTGTGCCCAGAACCCCCCCTAATGGCACTCGTGGCAACGAGCACACGCCAAAACACTGCCGACTTAGCGTGCACATTCACGGCGCAGCAACGCACCTTTTTTTTGCCTCACCCCATCAGCAAATCACGTCTCCAGCCGACGACTATGAATACTCAGTCGTGGCCAGCGAACCCCGATTTTCCTAGAATCACTTGACGGAATCAGCCCTACCTGCCTATGTATAAACAAACGTGTATATATATATATGTATATACACATATTCTGTGGAAAATGATGTCTACATATGTACATACATACATGCATTCGTATATACATACATACATACATACATACATACATACATACGTAAATAACGGCTCTGAGATGCGATCCGGGCAGGCATTCATCACATGCCTGTCTCTTGCGGCCTGCTGCTGCTGTCCTCCTGTACATCTACTGGAGGTACGTCTCCTGCAGCCTCAGCAGGCTTCTCTCGGTTTTTCAGGAGCTCAATCGTGGTGTCCTTGGGTTTTGCACAGAAAGGTTCTCACAGCTACTGCGGCTGTTGCAGCTCCATGGCTACATGCACACGAAGCTGCCAGGAAGGCCAGCGAGCGTGTTCGGAAGCATGTCATCTCCGCAGCAGACATGCCAGTGACGTTAAACTCCGTGGACAGGGTTGCGTCGAAGGCCTCCCCCACCGGAAAAGACCCAGAGACGACATGTGCAACGACACAAGCCGCACGAGCCAGGGACAACTTTGTAGAGGCTTTCCAATGCCCTATGCAGTACCCCTTATTGTTTAGGAAAAAGTTATGCCAGTCTCGTGCCTGTTGCCGGGTCACGGCTCACCCCCCAAGGCCCTTTGAAGCCCTTAACGGTCGCAGACGGGCAGCCTTGAGGCCATCCACGATCTTGCCCCGTCTGGTCCGAATCAGCTCGAGCAAGGCAAGCTCCGTTCTCTGACGTGCCTTCGCTCCCTCGAAAGCCCTGCGAGACCGCGAACCACTTGCTTCAACGATCATGGTAATCTACTATGTCGCTTGCAGCTTGGTCCTCTCTCATCTGTTTGCTATTTTGCATGAACATGGCATCAGGTCCTCGGAATGGCCAGCAAAGCCTGGGCAATCTCTATGTAGAAACGTGGCACCTAGGCTGGCAACGGGGCCCGGCACCCACACCGGCTTTTGTCGGCAGGCGCAAAAGTGCAACTCCAAGCGTCGTCACCAAATCTTTGAGGCTCCGCCCGCTCTTCTTCGCACATCCTCTCCAGTTCGGAGGCCTGGAGTATGATCACCCGCAGCCTTAAAAGACTGCCGACATGTCTATGATGTCTGCAAAACTCAGCGTCGCTTTCCATCAGCTTCCGCAGCTTCCCAGCATCTCGCGCCTTGAGCCACGCAGGCAGTTCGATCTGGCACTGTGAGAGCTTCTCAAGCTCCAAGGCTTCCCATAGCGGCACCTGGCCAGTGCTTCTCCGTCCTCTGGACACTCTGTTGCAAGACTGTTTCGCCTTCAGAGGAGTGTGAGCTCGCAGAGGTCCCAGCTTTCCTGAACATCTGAGCGTCCATGCGCATGCGGGAAAGAATACACAAACATCTTCGGCAAGCCTTGCCACGCAAGAGCTGTCCTGGCCTGATATGAGGTCCCAAGCCGCATCGGTGCTGATATTGGGGACTATTGTGATCTCTTCGCACATCGCCTTCCAAAGCAGCACTGGCAGCTTTTGCATGCGCAGCTTCCCTCTGGAAGTCGGGGCCTCCCATCTTTCGTCTCCTAGAAGGAAGAGCGTATCCTCCAAACACGCAGTGGCACAGGGGAGCAGAAGAAAGCATCTCCAACACTCAGTGCTCAGAGGTTGCACTCCTTCCCGTTGATTTTCAACGCAAATTTGGAGGCCAGGGGAGCCATGCCCTTGCGGAACAAGACTGCTCCACCAAAGCTGACTGCAACTAGCGCCCTCCTCGCCTGCTTCGGCGGCCACAACTCCACCCCGCGGAGTCTCCAGGGGCAACCGCTGTAGGCTTTCTTTGGGGCTTCTTCGCTACCAAACTGCTGGAGCCAGACCGCCTCAAGATGCCACCAAGATGCCACAGAAAGAAACAGTTTATACTGCCCAAAGCCCTAAACCCCTGTGAACCAGGAGCTAAACCCTACACCATGGCTCCGGTGGGGAATTTTGCCCGCACTGTCAAGGCCTGCGGAAGTGACGCTTGGGCTTGGCTGCCTGAGCGACAGATGAGTGCATTGCATCGCTTGCTTATAGCTCCCAACTCTGGGGGGATAGCGCGCTTGGAGGTTCATAGTACTTATAACCCAATTTTCACGAACAGGTTAAGTAATAAGTACTAATCCCAGAAGTTCCAAGCATTTCTTAAGCCACATGCCGAGGGATGCACCTCTCGTAACCAGGGACCAAGCTGCTTCATGCTCCTGACAGGGTTTAGGGTTTAGGATTGCCCCTCTTTTTGCGAATGCATAAAGGCCACCAATAGAGCCGGGAGGCCTTTGTAATGACCATGATGAAGGCATCCGTGGCCGCACAGCATGTGATGAAAAACACGGCGAAGGATTCGGTCTCAGCGACGACTCACACACATGCGAGGACGCAAGGAATGCGAAAGGTTCAGAAGCAACAGGATTTGGGTGGCATGTGCGTCATCGACATTCTGATGGGGAGGGAGTTCCTGGGTCAACACACAGTTATCAAAATTCACATCACCCAACTGTGACAGGTTGGATCAGTGCTAGCTTTTGGTGCAAAGTGCAACACCCCATTGACGTTGATCGATGTGCATCTACACAGAGAAATGTTTGCTAAACCCTTCCTTACTAGCTTGCAGATATTTGCAACATACCTGTCGAGCTCCGACTGTGTCGTCTTCGCTTCAACTGAGAGCCCCGCAAGCAACCCCAAGATGTGGTAAAACAGCTGCCCCTGCCACTGGATGGCAAAAGTCCACGGCAGCGTGCCACAGAGTTCATGTCGTGGCGCCTTGCTAAGCTTTCCTGGGCGAAGCTGGCGGCGAAATGTGGCACGCACCTCTGGCTCAAGCTAAGTCCAACATGGTCCAACTCCATGATGCCCGGAAACCAGAGGGTGCAACCTCTAGACTCGGGCTCAGGCACTGAAGTACTCGTCACCCTCCGTCTCGGAACCCATGACGAACATCCTAGGACCGGGCTGCGCACATTGCATCACAAAGCCTTGACAGCAACGGCGCAGGAAAAGCGCAGTCTCGGTTTGTGGCACAATGAACACGACCCCCGCGAAGAGAATGAAGTAGTACAGTAGCAGCAGGTTGTTCACCAAACTCATGGCCTTCCGAGTGACTTCGATGCGTTCTCACGCTGTGGTCGTCACTTCTGCTGTCTGACATTTCGTTAGGACACCCGCCCTTGCAACAGACATTGGGCGATGCAATCCGTACTTCATCCCGGTCAAGGAGACCTGCAAGGAGTGCAACCGCCTCAAGGGCTGATGTGAAGGACGCGCATGGATACTTGGAGGTTCATGGTACTTGTTAACCAACTAGAAGTTATAACTGTACTTATACCCCACTTCTAATAGAAGCCCCTTAAGTGCCAAAATATGGTTAGAATTGGGGTTCTAAGTACCCTGATTGACATCAGGGCACAGGGATGGTCCAGAATGCCATCGCTGCCAAGCCCAGGGACAGTCTCCAGTCCTCAGAGAGGTTGTGGGAGTCGAAGCTCTCGCACTCGGACTGTATGTTCCTACATGGTTTTAGGCTTGCAATTCGGGGATTTTGGGGTTGACGTCCGCAACCTAGCTCCAATATTCAAGTCGATGTGTGCCGTCGCGGCTCGTTGTCCAAAGAGTCATTGACTTCCTTTACATACCTTGACACTTGCTTATAACGCCTTGGGCCTAGGTCTGCTTAGGCACTGACAGCCGCCGTCTGATGGAACACATTGTTCAGCACCCAAGCCCCAGGGCCTCGGTACCCAGTCGTAGAGCTCAATGGTCTCAGCAGGATTGCACAACAACGCAACAACCACCCATAACCTCCCGTATATACCGAAACTTCCAGAGCCCCGATTGCAGCCAGAGCTCTGTAGACCATCGTGAAAAAGTAGGAGAAGTAGCCTAGCACAATCACGCGTCCGATTCCCAAAGAGAATTCTTGTTCGCAAGCAGCCGCCGGAGCCTGGGACCGTGGAATGCACGAAGATCAGCTTCGCCGTCCACGCTGAGATCAGAATACCAGGCCTTTCTTTGGGCTTAGTGTCCGTGAGCCCCGATTCTAGACTATGCTTTGTCACCTTGCTAATTAATGTGTAAGAGCCGCACCCGATGGCAAGAACATGGCGCAAGATGTTGTTCAAGCCTTGGCTGGCAGCCTACGCTGGCGTTTCCACGGCTTCCTTCCCTCTACTTCGAAACGCTCTGAAGCTCCTGGCTTTCAGCAGCTTCCATGGCGCAAAAGCCCGCCGTGGCAATCTCTTTGGCCTTTCCAACTCAAAGAATCGAAGACTCTGGACACGTAGGCCATGGCTGTCTTATGCAAAAATAGACAAATAACGGAGCATGTTGCTGCCACGCGACAGTTGCCCAGAGCTTCGGGGAGTGTCGTTCCAGCATGGTTTCATCCAGCAGCTTGGAGACCTAGCGCGGAACAGCTTCAACTTTCTTTCCCGGCATCTCAAGCAACACATCGTCACAGCCCACATGTCCGCCGAGCGCTGCACTAACTCTCGAGCCTCAAAAAAGATGCCAAGGGTTTACCACACCCCGCAAGGACTCCAGAGGTCAGACCCGCAAGCCTAGGACCGCCACGTGTTCCGACTGATCGACACATCCCTGCTTTATATAGCTCCAGCAGAACCTCAGGAAGCGCAACGCTCAAAGAGAGCAGAAAACACACTGCTTGCATTACAGGTCAGATCCCCAGAGCCCTGACTCTGGGCTCCTTGCCCATCAGCACACCGACAGAAGCCTCCGCCAGCTGTAAAGTTGGAATCACAGACCTGCAGCCAGCAGGTGCCCACACGTCTCTCCAACTGGGGAAAAATTTGGGTCTGCCTGGTTGTCAGAGCATCGAGCCAGCCTCAGGCTTTCAACAAAAGCAGCTCTTGGCTTCATGAGACCCCGCTCTTGAGCGCCATTTTCCCAGGGGAAGAAGCCACACCCAGCTGAACTTCTGGAGTCCCACGCATGAGCCGGGACTAAACCGCAACCCAGACTTTCGTCTCTTGTATGTATGGGCAGCTGATGATGCCAGGAACCGGCCAACTGGCCTCTAAGGTCTTCCAAAGTCACAGGCTAAATCCCTCAGGCACCGGCAAAGATTTGCCAGGGTCAATGCATGGGATGCCCACAAACTCGCCTGGGCTGAGCGAACCCTCAGTTCACAACACCGGTGTTGTCCAAAAAACGAAGTAGAAAAGAGCAGCACGCTGCGGTCCGGCACAAGTTGCCCGGATATACTTGTAGGTTTTGCATGGAACCCTGGGGCGATGTCGTGCATGTATGCACGTTCAAGTTGAATAGTGCTTCCAAGTTGGTAGATTGGGGTGGACTTCTCAAAGATGTTCTTCGAGTGCCAATGTAATGTGGTCTGGAGAGCTCGGAGTGGTCCCCGGTGTAGATATGCTATGTGTCATTTTTTCATGCAATTTAAGTATGTCATACTGTTGGTATTGCACTATAATTCTGGTTCGTATGTTCCCTGCAGGCCTCCGAGCTTGTCCTGTGCAGCTAAGGTCCGGAAGTGTCTTGTGCAGCTAAGGCTATGCTTTTTCCTTCCTTCCAAATTCTATGTGCGGCCGTTGACAACGCTACAAGAAAACGATGACCAGTCTGAGCGGCTGCAAGTCGACAGCTTCACTTTACCTCAGCTCAGGAGGGTTTAGGGTTTAGGGCTTAGGGTTTCGGGTTTGGGGTTTACGGTTTAGGGCTTAGGGTTTAGGGATCGACTCGTATCCTGTGGGGGACAAGTCTCGAGACATAAGTTTCGAACTATTTTACCTTTGTTTGGGGAACCGTAAATAATGGGTCCCGTATTTTGATAATCCCACAAGGCCCCGAATTTAGGATAAAAAAAACTGTGTCTGCGGGTCGTGCACCGTCTCCGTCACCATCACCACCTTCGTCGTCACCAGCTGGAGCGGACAAACCTGAGAGTTGTTTGCCATGCCTTGGGATGTTCCCCCTTACACTAACAGTCCTTGATGAGGATATTAGTACCACCCATTAGAATCCCGATTACGGACTGTCAGTATAAGGTTAGTACCCCCTATTAGAATCCCTCTTCAGGAATGTTAGTATAAGGTTAGTACCCCTGATTAGAATCCCTATTAAGGGCTGCAAGTTCGAAACCCCGAGCACGCGACAGGCGTACAAGTCCGAAGTCCCAAACCCTAAACCCTGTTTTTGGGCGCGGACTTTTTGGGGTCTGCAGGCAAGTGACAGCGTCAGAAACCCTTTTTTTGGACCCAGACTCTTGACGTCAGAAACCCTTAGACCCTAAACCCTGAACAAAGCAAACCGGCCAAGGCAGTGACTGGCTCGAAGGCGCCGGTCGACGTTTGGAGCTGCGCTGTGCAAGGTTGGAATCCTCTCAGCCACCGACCGCACTACCCCAGAAAGCCCAGCACCCCTGAATTAAGGAGTCTTGGAGTTTAGGGTTTAGGGGGCCCTGTCGGGTGCCCTATGTTATATAGTTGAAGGTCTATTCCTGAATCCTTAACTAGGGGGCTACTGGGCTATGCTAAGACCCTCCCTTGAGGCGGTTTCCTGAGCTGCCCATGGGGCACCAAGGACCAGTTGCCAAGCTGACCTGCAGGGTTTAGGGTTTAGGGTCTAGGGTTTAGGGTGTAGGGTTTATGGTTCAGGGTAGATTGAATCCTAAATTACCAAGAGATACAAGAGAAGATATTATTATGGAAAAGTAAAGGTGAACCGCTCTCTCCCTGTCACACGTTGAGACCCCGTTAACGCCTGGTCTGGATAACACTTGTCTTTCCATGAGTCTTACCGCTGTAGCTGGAACTAGATGCATGAGTCTTCTGTCTTCCTCTCCAAGTCTAGCCATGGGTGCACACGAAGGCGCAACGCCCGACCACCTTTTAAGAACCTCCTGAGAGCTACAGGAGCTGCAGCGCAGCCAAGGAAGTCGACTGGTCTGTACTGTTGCCAAGAAAAGAGTATAGCCACCGGGCAGTCAAAGAGAAGACAAAATACGCCTGTTTTCACATCTGCAGTGGCACTGGCCACGTCACAAATGTGATGCGCAAGCATGTAACCCGTCTTGTCACAGCCTGCCCCACCTGAGCCACGTGTTCCGCACCGCTGTTCCAGTCGAACAGCATCGAAGTGCTTCCTGCCAAGCCACTGGCACTACCCTCCCCCCCTCCCTACCTTTGAAAAAACTGCACACAAAGCTCTTTGCAAAGCACACACAAGGCTCCAAAAAAGCCGAGGCTTACACGAAGCAACACCTTCGACAGCCACCTCGAAGTGTATCTCCGTGACAGAGTCCCTTGGCCGCTGAGCTCTGTACCGGACTATGCCCGAGGGGTTTAGGGTTTTAGGGTTATTTCCCACCCGTTTCGCAAGCGTTTACGGGGAGAGAGAGATAGGGACCTCGAACAACCGTCTTCGGTCAGTATATTTACGGGGAAAAGGTCAGAGACATAGTGGAGCGTTTTAGGGTTTATTTTTTAGGGTTTAGGGTTTTGTTTTTAGGGTTTGTACTCTTGCACCCAAGTTTAAGACATGCTCGAGCTGTGCGTGGGGCAGAATCCCTGTGGGCCTTTTTGTATCTAGGTGTCGATTTCAACAGTCCCCAAAATTACTAATAACTCGGGCTCCATATTATAAAGACTAAGGGTAATTATTAAGAATTCTCTCAAATCGATACCTGGGTATTCTCTGGGGCCTGAACGGAGTGATAAACTCTTCATTGACGTCGGCCACGTGCTGCCAATCGAGCTCAGACGAAGCCGTCGAGCTGTAGTGCACCTGGCCGCTGGTCTTCCCGCCTCGGTGCTGTTACATGTCGCCACTGCTGCTTGAACATCTCCTACTACTTTGAACATTCAGGGTACTTCTCAAACCCAATAATAGCTGTACTTAGAACCCACTTATAAGCCCCTTAAGTGCCCGAATATGGGTATAATTGGGATTACAAGTACAGCTAGTATGCGTCAATAAGTACCATGAACCTCCAAGTAGTAACCAGCTGCCGGTCCTGGCCGCGCTGACATCGTACATGCATCCCCAGGGCCAGTGGCCAAAACCGAGGCATCTACCACTTGGTGATGCCGTGGCCACGCGAAAGACGCACAAGAAGGACGGGGTAAGAGTCAGGAGCCTGTCCGAGAACACCACGTTTCTGCTTCGTGTGGAAAAGAAGCTTCGGTTCAACTCTTTGCTTGCAGCTCCTACCTGAAGTGTGCCAGAAGCGGTGGCTACACTTACTAAACCTTATAAGACAGTGGTACCTATCTTTGAGGGGAAAAGCGCAAGGAAGCTTGCAAGATCTTGCGGGTGGTCTTCAGGAAGCTGCAGCCGCTTGCGGAAGTGCATCACACAAGGGGAGACAGGTCGAGTGGCCGCCAACCCCTACCAAAAAAGCTCTCAAGGAACAAATTTTAAGGCCATGCCCCACTCTTTTCTGCTGCAGGCTGCCATGACAACCGCCGAAGAAGCACGTCAAGCGGTCTTGCACGAGATTTGCCAAACCAAGCGCGGGCATTGCACCCAGGCCTGCCACTAGCTTTGAATCTGCTCATCGCGCCGGCAAAGTTCAAGATGCTGCCTGCTCAAATGCACGTGTCATATTTCCCATGCGCTGAACCACATAAGATGGAGCTGAGCGGGCCGACTTCTGTGACTAAACTCCAGCACCCAGCCTTCGAAGTCTTCTGGCTGCTCACCCGGCCGTTCCACCCGGCCGGACACCCCCAGCGCAGCAACACAGCGTTGGACCTTGCTTCAGCTCTGACTTCCAATGTGGGGAGCATGTTGGACAGGCCCAAAGCCCAAATGATGAGCCACCGACCTGTATCCATGAGCCCTTGACGTAGCAGTAATCGTGCCTGCGAAGCGGCCAGAGGCGATGCAGAAGCAGGCGCTGCAGAGCCGCAACACCAACTGTCTCTGCTGCCGGGGAACAGAGAGTCCCCGTGACGCCCACATGAGGTTTTGCATCCTGCCTCACGTGGTTGCCATCTGCAAAATCAGGAGCAAAAATTCTCATTTTTTTTGCCACCCGCTTAGCTGACCTCTGAGAATTTAGGGTTTAGGGTTCACCCCCCAAACCCCCTTCAAGGGGGGCTTTCTTGCTTTTTACAAAGAATTGCAGGGAGGCAAACTGCAGCCGAAGCATGGTGCACTTCTCAAGGATCTGGTGAACCTCAGGCTGCCACGCCCGGGCGCTCGAAGGCCTCTCCCTCGCCAGGGGGAACACCTCAAGGCGATGAAATCTGTACATACATATAGGTATATATATATATATATATATATATATTTGTACATATATACGAATACATACATGTATAAATAAATAAATAAATAAATAAATAAATAAATAAATAAATAAATAAATAAATAATATACATGCACATGCACATACAAACACATACTTCCAGGGATGATGATGATGATGATGATGATGATGATGACGACGGCGGTAAGGATGATGATGATGACGATGATGATGATGATGGTGATGATATAACGTGGCTCCTCCCTCTCTCCTCTCACTCCATCACTCCCTCCCTCCCTCCCTCCCTCCCTCCCTCCCTGGCTCGCTCCGTCGCTCTCAATCGCTCTCTCCCTCGCTCTTCTTCTTCTTCGTCTTCTTCTTCTTCTTCTACTCAGCTTCTTCTTCCTTTACCGGGCATGGAGGACAGGGCAGAAGTCTCTGAACCTCCGCGCGCTGGGCGCGCCCTTCAAGTCACGGGTCACGTCGGCGTGAGACGAAAAACACGGGCGTTGCATTTGTTTCCCTCAACCAAAGGGGACCACCCCCTTAATCGAGCATCATCCAACAGCACCGATAAAGATCAGAACTTCTAGGCTCCTCCCGTGGTGCGCTGCCAGGCAAAAACGTGCACTGATGTAAGGTTGGGTCGATGTCGGATACTCAGCTCTCTCTCTCTCTCTCTTTCTCTCGCTCTCTTTGCTTGTGAATTCTTGGATTAAGCCGGTTGATTCCAGTTCACTGACTACTGCACAACCTCGCGCAAGTCTTAAACTCTGCTAGAGCTTGCTCTTTGTCTGTCTCAGGTCTGCACAGAGGTCGAAGTCCTTCTTGCAGAGCGCGCCCCAATAATCGAACTCGGCCTAGATTTCGGAGTCACGACGCTCATTCACGAAGATCATGGGATATTGCATTGTTGGGAAAAGTTGGTGGTGTCCGTGCCAACACCTGCCCCAACCGGGATGGGAAGCATCGTCGATTGAGCAGTCCCTCTGCCAAGCAGCTGTTTCACACCACGGGTATGGGCTCCTGCCTGAAGCCAGTTTGACACACAACAATGTGTACATCATCGCTTCCATGGTCCAGAAGTCTCTCAATTCATCTTACATAGCAGACTGATGCAGACTGCCTCCAGAGCCTGACGTGAGGAGGTCAGCAGGTCGGACCCTGCAGTCGGAGTCGTAGCCCATGCCTTCCCGGTGCAAAAGCTGCAAGATGCCAACTGGCTCTCAGGAGGCTTGCGCAGGCTGGCCTTTGCATAGGCAGCCTGCAGACGTTCGTGAGGCACGCTGCAGACCAAACACGGGCGAAAACCTCAGGATGGGATTCCTCTGCGCTCCGCGGGTGCTTCTTCTGGGCCTCTTCGGTCGTGCAGTAGCAATGGGGGGGGGTTTAAAGACTTTGAAGTGCCTACCCAAAAGCTCGACACGAGCCTGCGTAGCGTCCTTGAAGCCTACGCTACGAGGCGGGGTTCGAACCATATCCTTCCCCCTCGAGACCGGAGCAGGCCTGGGGTCTTCGCAAACCTATGACAGTAGGGGCTGCCTTCCTCGGGGAAACGCGGAGGAAGATACTTTCAAAACAGCTTGCTGAGGGCGACGCCGAATGACAACTCTGATGGCCTTCTGATGTTGCTTCTCAACAGCATACAGGATGGCCTGGAGAAGGCGTGCTGCAGTGCATTGAAGGTTTGCAGTGCATGAGTCACGCCACCTGGCACGGCCCTGTCAATTTGCCACCTGGCCTGACCGTCGAGATCGTAGGCAATCACACCAACTGTCCTCGGTGTGAGCAGGTATGACACTTTCTGTCACTACTCATCACTACCTGGACCTGACTTCTTGACTTGGAATCCTGGCACCCTCGGAGCAGATGGAAGAGTGCGCCTGAGATTGGCCCGACAGCCCAACTGCCCACTGCGCGACAGCAACAAGAATGCACGATGCACTGAGCTGGCGACACTGTGCGCTTCGGATCAATAAGTACGACTGCCCGTGCACCAACCTGTTCGCAACCACTACCCTGCGTTCCAACCGCTGAGGAAGTTGACAACAGCAGCTGCTGGCAAAGGCTTCGCCAAGATCTCTGACATGTCCAGGTTCGCCTTGTCTGCATTCTGCAAGATGTGGCGAACGTTGCACGCGCCTACACGCAGGTTAAGCTTATCCGGAAAGTCCGAGAGCACAATCACCGCAGCCAAACATCCGTCGACATGCAGCAAGACAACCGACCAGTGCTAGCAGCTATGCTTCTCTCTATTAAGCAGTTACAGCCGGCAGTGTTGCAGTGTTGCTATTCACGCACAGCCGCACCTCGACCTCCACGCTCCAAAGGACCAACCACGAGGACTGCATCCTCCGCACAGCGAGTGCTCGTTGCATTTGCACCCATCACGTCCTTTTGACCATTTTTAGAACCACGACTGTCTGACAGCTCCTCAGGATAAACGGATGGCGGAGTCAAGAATTGCCCGCAGCCTGATGGGTCACCCCCTGGTCGAACCTAGCAAAAAGTCCAGAGAGACATTTCGGCCATGACTACAAGGACACTTTGCGCGGCAGGCCTACTGCAGCTTATTCCGAGGTCTGGGCCAGAAGACCGTCCAAGCGGTTGTCCGCTGCTCGACCTCGACGACTCGAGGCCGACGCCACAACGCACTGCAAATGATGGAGTTCCCCAATCCCGAAGCTGCCCCTAAACCCTAAACCCTAAACCCTAAACCCTCAACCCTAAAGCTGCCTAACCAGCCTCGAGCCGCTCCAAAGATGCGAGGGAGCATGTGGCATGGTGCAAACCGAGGGGCTGAATAGTCGCAGGGGAACAGCTTCGAGGCCCTCCACCTGGTCAGTGTAGTCGAGACCGATTTCTATGGTGTCCACTTGGGTTGTCCCCCAGTTGCAAGTGCATTTCGAGTACCCAATTCCAGATTGAGGACAAGGGACCATCCAAGATCATCCTCATCCGAACTCGCGACTCGATACTAAACCCACAGTTTGGCTAAGGTGGAGGAGGACCCAAACATGCCCAAAATTGACTCCCTCGTAAGACTGGCAATCTTGGGGATGGTTTTCAGATTCTGGTGCGGGTTGTCCGGGCTGTTGTGTCGGCTGCCGGCAGCCATGTCCCGTTTCTCCCAAGACACCAACCAGAAATCAAGAAGCCCTACCGGCCGACCGGTGAGCTTGAGAAGACCGCCACATGTTACCAGTTACCAGTACTCGCTATGGGCCACTTTAGTGTCGCTGTGGAGATTTTTGCTTCCGCTCCGACTTGAGCTGCTGATGTCCCCATGCCGGCCCAGGTTGGCTGGCCCACCCCCGCGCCCTACTCAGAGGGCCGGGGTACGCCTGAGACCTTGTCGCCTCCAGTCGCATGCCGAGAGCCCACATTCCTTTGCGCTTTCCATGGGCATAGAGATACCATTGGCTGCTCTGGCACTTACTTACTTGCGGATTCTGCACGCAGATGCCAGGACAAAGCTTCGGCCACGTCTCTATAGCGCGCTGATATGCCAAACTGGCCAACATGGGGGTTTACGAGAATAAGGGACCCCTGATATAGACCCCAAATAGTAGGATTCCCTTACATTAAGGTGCCCCTAATTTCAGAAACCCGCCACATGAGCCTTGTCCACAAAGTGCAGCTGGTACACGGCCTGTTCTGTGGACTCCTTGTCCTTGCGGGCTCTGCGTTTTCGGTTGCGACCCTTGTTGAACGAGATCCTACGTTCGCTGTGTGAGATTTCGTTGTGTGGCTTTGCAGTTTCTACGAGATGGAGCTACCGATGTTGAGATTGGAACGCCCAGGCTTCCACTAAACCACTCGCTCCTGCTGGTTTTGCCGCAGAGCCTCTCTGAGCTCGGTCAGTGCCGTACTTGCCTACAGCCGCAAGAACCATCTTCAAAACATCTGGCTCTTTAGCACTGCTGCAGGTAGCAACTTGCGGGGCCTCCGGCGGCACGTTCTTGTAGAGAAAGGTCGCGAGGCTTTTGCAGACCTCGGAACCCAAGCTCTTGCCAACGATGACAGCTTGTCCCTGTGCAAAGAAAGCCAGTCCCAACAAGGCCAAGCAGCATCTGATGCCGTTGCCGCCTGGCCCAAGAGCATGGCAGGTTCTAGGACTCCGGGGGGTTGAGATTCTTGGGGGTGGTCGTGTTGAGCCTAGCCCTTTTCAGAGGGACTTCATATAACCCTATAACGGAAGACTCCCATGGTATCGTCTTTAAGAACTTCTTGCACCCGCAGCCCAGTCCCGACTAGTTCTAAGCGTATCGCTTCGCCAAATTGAACAAAGATGTCACGATTTAACAGGGCTACGGCTGCAGTGAACTGGAACTGAATGCCGACGTAGACCAACAGGGTTGAGTCCGCGACCAGATCTGCTGTTACATTGCCTTACTTGCTTTGAGGGGTGCATTGGGGGGGGGGGGGGGGGGGCGTCCATGTGCGGCTGCGCTGAGCAGGCAGCTGTCCACAAGATTCATAGACTGGTCACAGACTCGATGGATCGGCTTCCTGAGAACGGGCAATCTCAGATGTGGTAGACCTTGCTGCCAAAGGCAGAAGCTGGGGCGAAGGCAAGTTCGTACCTTCCGGCACCATGTCCCTGCAAAGGGCTAAAGCATCACCGGCCCAAGCCAAGTCAAAGTAGCGGCTGTCTTGTTGCAACTGAGACACGCCAGCCACGGCAACCAACTCTTGATGGTAACGGACACAGGCTGGCCGAGCACCTTCACCCTGACAACGCCTGGCATCACGTACCTCAACCCATGTCGCGTCACAAAGGCTTTAGGATTGCTCTAGGCTTTAGATCAGTACAAATTAAGCGGGAAGGCAGACGAGCAGATGCGCCAGATGTGAGCTCGCCATCAAGCGGCAAGCAACGGCCGGCCAATGCTATCCGAGCAGCGGCACACGTTGCTGAAGAACGGGGCACACTGCCTCGATCACAGGACCTCCAGAACTTAGTGAATGCGTTCTTCGAGCACATATGCCCTCTAGACCTTAGGATCCCGTGATCTGCGGCATTCTGTGGGGCCCTTGCGAGCCACTTCAAAGGTCTCAAGGGGATCGTTCAGCATGCACGATGCGACCTCGGGGTCATGGCCATTTCTTGCAAAGTCCCTTGAGTGATTCCCATGCCCATCTCCGATCCCTCGCCTCGCATTCCATTAAAACAACCCGCTGCGCAACAAAGATGCGCTCAGACGCAAACTATTTCATCAGCATGGAAGTACTTCCGCGCCTGCGGGCGGCGGCGCTGGCGGGCCAGTTGCTCTTGGGGGCGGTAAAGGGGAAAATGGGGACAATGCCCTGCCAGCATCAACTGGTAACTAGTCACCCAAGCCGGCTGAAAGTACTCACAGTGCTCACATCTCTTCTATAGACCTCCGGTTAACCATGTAGCCTCTTCGAGGTGGTTCTGGAAGATCTTTTCCTGAGCCAGCATGAAACTGAGCTCGCGCTGAAAAAATTCTACCGACTGTCGACGACAAGTCATGCTAGGGCTGGTCAAGCGGCAGACAGGGTCCAGTCCAGCAAGTCTGCTGTCCTGACAAGCAGGCACGACATACCTCTGCATCAACACGGGACATGTGTTGCCACTTCGCAAAAAATGCTGGTCCGAGAGTCGGCACAAAAGTTATCAGGAAGGGAAAGGTGATGATGGCAGCCTGAATCACTCCAGCTTGTCATGGCCAAACTCTCTTGTGGCAATCTGTGGCTCAGGAAGACCACCCACCACCCGCAAACACACCCGCTCAGCCGGCATGTTGGTTGTAAGAGAGAGGCGAAGGCGAAGTACAGATAGTACCTCAGCGGAATTCGGAAGCAGCCATCATCAGATGTCATCAGCCACAGGTCGCTCTGCTACAAGTTGTGCTGAGTTGCTGTGACGTTCGCAGAAAATTCCAATGCCGCATCGCGAAAAAGCTGTAAGCCATCCTCAGGTTTGTAAATATGAAAACTTCGTGCAATGACATGGCAACGTTCGGAACTCATTATGCAGAAGCCGCATGTGTCGCGGCTCAAAGTCTGCACTCTGAGCTGTGGACGATGTACAAAGGAAAAGCCTTACCAAACTCTGCAATCTCATCAGCTGCCGCAGGTTACAAGCTTGTTGACTCTCCTGCCAAGCCGCATCTTGATGATAGCCTTCCACGCAGCTAGGCCAGCGCTTTGCATCTCAACAGCAGAGAAGGCTCGAGTCATGACCTGCGCTCTTGCACATTACTCAACCGCTGATCACTCCCCATCGGCAACTTGAGAATTCTTACCAAAGGGGCCTGCCTCCTGGGAGTATGATAGGAAGGTGGCATTCTCCCCCAGGGCAAGCTGGTCCTTGACATAGCCCTCGTAGCCTCAGCTCCCACAACACGCCGCCCATGAAGCAAAAACCCAAAAACCCAAAAACCCAAAAACCCAAAAACCCAAAAACCCAAAAACCCAAAAACCCAAAAACCCAAAAACCCAAAAACCCAAAAACCCAAAAACCCAAAAACCCAAAAACCCAAAAACCCAAAAACCCAAAAACCAAAATCCAAAAACCCAAAAACCCAAAAACCCAAAAACCCAAAAACCCAAAAACCCAAAAATCCAAAAACCCAAAAACCAAAAACCCAAAAACCCAACAAAACCCAAAAACCCAAAAACCAAAAACCCAAAAACCCAAAAACCCAAAAACCCAAAAACCCAAAAACCCAAAAACCCAAAAACCCAAAAACCCAAAAACCCAAAAACCCAAAAACCCAAAAACCCAAAAACCCAAAAACCCAAAAACCCAAAAACCCAAAAACCCAAAAACCAAAAACCCAAAAACCCAAAAACCCAAAAACCCAAAAACCCAAAAACCCAAAAACCCAAAAACCCAAAAACCAACCCAGAAGGCGCCCTCTGAGGCTCTGAGGCTGGCTCTTTGGAGATCTACACCCCACTCCAGCTGCTCCCGCTGGCTCTGGCTCTTGGAGTGAAAGTCTGCCCTTGGCTGTGGCACTTCGATGCTCACAGTCGCATGCAGCCCAAGCATGTAGGGCCCATGTAGGGGGTCTTTGGGGGCTTGGGGGACCAGAGTCGGCAGTTCCAAAGACAACAAGGGAGGACGTTCTGCCTTGCGCGCCAAGCATCAGTGACAGCACAATGAACAGCCCCAAGAACACAACCTGAGCCGCGCTGTCATCTACGAGGTTGCAGGGCACGCGAAGTAGCAACGGATGGCAGGAAATTGTAGCTCTCGGTGCTTACCCACTCCTGTGGTGCTATGCCGTGCTAGTTTCCTGAAGAATCGAGTAGGTGGTGCTGGTGACCATGCTCATGCTGCGAAGAACCATTTAGGCATGTCCATCATCACTCATCACCGACATCTTTAAAACTTGCAGAAGGAATAGCATTAAAATGACAAGGGCGATGGCAATGCCAATGCTAGAGGTGACCGGTCAGCTTCCCACAAGTGTCTCTGCCAAGAACCGCAACGCAAAGAAAGCTCATGGCAACTAAGGCGGCGGAGAGAATGAAGCTTCTTTCTCTGGAGGCTGAGGTTCTTGTGCGGATTCAAGCCAAGTCACCGTCATGATGATGTTGCTCCGACCTAAGAAAGCGCATTGCAGCAGAGTTGGTGTGCCACCTGGCCACAGCACTGCAGGATTTACGGTAGGAAAACAATGAAAACACTCTAAGAATTTACTTCGACGAACCCCTACAGCTGCCTGATGCAACAAAGCCATCTTGCCGTTTGAAGACAGGCAATTACGGATACTCCGGTGCAGGCTTCTGTCGCGGGACTTTTGCGGGCTTCTCTGGGGGCTCCTCTGGGGGTGGGCACTTCATGGATCTTCGGCTCTGCAGGGATTTTCTGTGGCACTCCAGGATACTCGAGACTCGGGCTTCTTTAGAAGTGGGCGCTCCAGGGGCACGCGGACTCTCTGTGCGCTTCTCTGGGGGGACTTTTGGGGCGGGCTTCGGGGAGACCAGGCAAGGAGGCGAGGTGCAAACTAGTGCAATATTGATTACAGTATTATGATATACTACTACAATATAACAATCATATTCCAATATTAGAATCTTATAGTATTAACACATGTAAATGCTTAATTGCACAAAGCAATGTTATCATGGTTTTTATGATTATAACATTATTGTATAGTTATCATGTTATGTGATTGTAGTATTATTGTATACAGGAATATAGAAAAGTTAACATTTTTCTGTATGGTTGACTGAAAAATCTTACAACCCGACACCAAGCGTGGGGAAGTGATTGAAGCCCAGGTTGAGGAAAAACCCACAAGCCTGCTTCGTTCATCAAATGAAACTTGAGCCTTTGGGCACTGCATGAACAAAAAATCTAATCCAGTTCGGGGCACGATAGATCATGTAGTTGATGACAACCATAGAAGTCACGCCAAACCTCCGCACCGCATCCTCCTCTGATTTTGGTCCTTGCGACTCTCATGAGCCCGCTTGAAGCTTGGATTGCGCTCCACTCTTCACAGAACAAAGAGACACTGTAAGTGCCGAGCCATACCATACCCGTCGGATTCCGTTCCAGTCAAAGGTCTTGAGAAAATGCGAGGGCCTAAGAAACCATAAGGTGGAACAAGGATCAAACGCAAAGCTAATTGGCCCCAAACAGCCACAGAGCTCCCAACAGGCTCAGAATGTACAGCAAGGATGCGCGCAGCCAGCCGAAAGGTTTCTCCTGCACGTCTACTGCCGAGAACTTCTCCAAAGTTACTTGACAGACGCCGGCCTTGTAGGTGATGAAGAGGTCTGCTGGTGTGAACCCATACGTGCGCCACCTGAGAAGCTCCAAAGCTACCATGAAATGCCAGGTCATGCACTATCACCGCCACAGAAGTCCAGTAAGCTCGCTCTCCTCTGCTTCAGAAGGACAGTTTCAACAGGGCAGTTGGCATGGTGGGCAGGGAAGGGAGGCAGCCATGGGAGCTCACCCTGCAAAACTGCTTGAAGCTACAAGTCTCGAAATTTGGGGCAACCTGAGGGTCCCTCATGTTGGGGACCGCTCGCGATATGAATATCTAGGAATAGAGGCTAAACAGACATGACATCAGGGTCATCATCGAAGTCAAGAACAGAAAGGCCAAAGCGTAAGGGATGATAGCTTTGTGTACTACCCGGGCTTCTGCCCTGCGGCGCGTCTATGTTCAGGGTGCCAGGAGCCTTTCTTTAAGTAAGCTTTGCACGCTTGTTCGGGAGTTGGCATGCCGGAAAGGCTGGGAAAGAAGAAGAAACACAGATCGTGACCTGGACCAAGAAGTGCTTCCGGGCATCGGGCAGTATGGGGCAACCAGCTCCTGGGTCAGTTTCGTCCCATCGGTAGAGCTCCTCCTTCTGCAATGGTGGTGGAACCAGTAGCGCTGTGAAAGGCTGCCAGAGGATGCAAAAAAGACTGTGGCATGTCAGAAGCAGCTGACAGCGACAGCACTGCGCACTTCTTTTGCTACTGCGTCGCTGTGGAAGCACTTGCCCGCAACATGACCGCAATCCGCAGCATGAAGATCGAACCTTGGAAGCTAGTGTGGCCAGATTGGCACGCCAGCAGTGCCACCCAAACCGCACAAGCCGCAAGAAGACCCAGGCTCTCACCACTCGAGATGCCTCCGCCTTTCCCATTTGACAAGGTGGAGGAGGTCGAATGTGATCTCCTACAGGCAGTTCATCTCAAGCTAAAGGGCTGCTTTCCACGGGAGCTGTGCCAGCGAGTGGCAGAGGCTTTGCGCCATCTTGGTCCACGCGCGAAGTCCACAGCATCATCCCCGAATGGGCCAGACGCCGCATACCGTGGGCCACGCACCAGTCGAAGGTTAAACCTGCAAAAGAAAACTTGGTGAGTTTTCTGTTGCGCCGAGCCGCCTTGGGAGTTCTTGGGAGAGGACAATCGTTGCCGACAAATCTTGAAGGCTGTGTATCCCATAGCCTCAGCTCAACGACAGCCAGTTTTTCACAGCGAGGGGCAAAAAAATCACTGTCGCTGCGGACTGAGCCATCTACACCCAAAACGTCGACAAGCTCCAGCACTTTGCCAGGGTGATCGGGGAGCTCGATGGAAAAAAACTTGGGCTTGGAAATTGCTCCGAGAGAGCCTGCTATGTCCTGAGGGTGAGTTGTGCCGACACGCCAGCAAGCACAAGTCACAGGATTCACTGCGCGGCTGACATGAAAACTTCGAACTTCGGCCCAGCATCGCTGGAGAGCTTTCGAACACATTCCACATCAAGACCTTCCACGTCCACCTGAAATTCTGTAGCACAGAGAAGGTTTTGGGAAAGTTCGGCCTTGTCTCCCCAATGTATGGGGCTAGGGTGCAAGGCTCGAAGGAGCATCAAGGAGGTCGATTGTTTTGGGCCGAAGAAAGAACCATTGCCTGTGTATGAAGGGCTTGTGGGTGTTCAGACGCAAGGCTCTTGAGGGGCCGTCCGAGCCACAAAGCTGTGCGTGGTGAACAACGAGTGCACATGACACGAACTGCTGTAGCACTACCAACATACTTCGTTGCATTGCTATGGGGTGAGGGTACAGGGGGGGCAGGCGGCCGAGGCGAAGGTGCCGAACATGAAGTGCTGCAAGGACATTGACAGAAGAGCCAACTTTTTGACGAAGTTCACTCACATGGCAAAGCCCAAGCCCAACGCGCCTTCATGTACAGCACCTTAGGATGTGTTGCGACGACTGGGACGATTTGAAGCCAGCAGGACTTGGCTGCTCTTGGCCATGTTTGCCAGGGTGCAGGACGACTGGGTGCCCAGTGTCGATGGAGCTCATCACAAGAGCTGGTCCGAACCTGGATCTGCTCAAGCTTGTGGAGATTGGCACCTTCCCAGCAACCATTTGTACCAAGATTGTCATGGCGTCCAGTCTCCGAGCCTGGAACCAGCGTCGTGTTGAGGGCGCTCATGAGTCCCTGGCCATGCCTGGTGGCACGCGCACATCTGAGCTCAGAATTCGGCAATACTGTGACTTGATGATTGTTCCCTTCCATTGCCTATCAAGGAAGAGAGGGACTGTTGTGCCACCATTGGCGGCGACCGCTCGTGGCAGCACCTCGAGGTGGCCGTCTTTTCGGGCAGCCTGGCAGGGCGTCTTGCGGCCGAACATACCACCAGGACTGAATTGAAACACCCTGCCAAAGAGCTGTGTCTCTTGAATCGGTGGCAGGCGCAACGAGCTGGAATTCGCCGGCATGCCTTCCATGCGTGGCTCGCCATCCAGGGCTCGGAAGTTACCGGGCGAGCATCGACAGCCAGCACCCGCAGCTGCCGAGCAAGCAGGTAGAGCGTGTCACCAAAGCCTGCTGCCAGCGACGGAATCTTTGCTGCTTTCAGGATGCTTGAGGGGGTTAAGGGCGGTGGGGGAGAGTGTCCTTCTTTCTTTCAATGTTCCTTCGTCCGCTGGCTATGGGAGAAGGAGAGGAGGTGTTGCCCCACCATCCCCTGTGATGCCAAGGCGGCGCGGGCAAAAACGTGTACGTAGCCTCAGTCCACAGTTGGGCTGAGCTGTTGTCGGTGGGAAGGAAGATTTTTCAGTTTGCATGTCACGCACTTTGCCTTATGCCCCAGCCCCTTGTCGGCGCTCTTTTGCTTCTGCTGTGTTCTTGTTCTTCCTGTTGTTGTCCTTCTCAGACTTGATTTGGGCAACCGTGTGTAGCAAACTCTCCCCTTGGTGCAGAACCTCACGGTCAAGTGGGGCTAAGCCAACTCCTGATTACTTCACCCCACTTAACCCCCAAACCCCAAACCCTAAACCCTAAGCCCTAAGTAAGCCCTAAACCCTCAAGGCTCCTCCCGCACCGATGTCCAAGCTGGCGGCCGACCAGTTGAAGACCTCACCGAGGTCCATTGGGACATCCAAGCTCGACCGGAGGAACGGGATGGGCTCCATCTGTGCAACGACGTACTTCATCTGTTGGTCCTGAGCACCCCTGGCTCACCGAACTGCGTGGGTCAACTACAGGGGCCTGTGGGCTAGTATCCAAAGAGCTACTTGCAACTCATCCACGCGCCCCTTTGTGCGATGTTTCAGCCTTTTGTTCATATACTGGGTTTAATAGACGATGGTAGCAATGTCTGCAAAGGTGCTGGCAGGTCAAGTCTCCGTGATGCCGAGAAGTTGCCACCATTCAAGAGAGGAGTGATCGCATGCCATCATCTCAGCAAACACTGCCGCTGCCTCTCCGGAATGGACTGCCAACGGAATTGCGGCCGTTGAAGACCTGCAGCAGAACTTCAGGGGCGCTGCTACGACTGGCGCGGCTCCGTCCAGCTACAGGAAACACCTGCAAATGCAACCCCAAGCCTTGCTTCTCAAAGACCACTTATATACGGCGACGCTACATCGACAACTGAAGCAGGCTCACTGTGGAGCAACGACACGATGAAGTATGCATGGCAAGCCCGGTCTTGTGTCTAGCCGCTGGCCAAAATGGAAGCATGCACGACACGCGTCAGGCAAAGCAAGATCAGCCGGACTCACACTCACCCAAGCAGAGGGGGTAGAGACAAAGGGTGCAGGAGCAGGGCAGTTTCTGTTCGGCTTCCGAGCCGCACAGCAGCAGCCACAAGGACCACAAAGGCAGCTGCCGCCTGTCCTGCTCGGCACACTTCCCGATTCTGTGACACCTCAGCTCCCACAGACGCTGTCTTCCCTTGTTGGCTGCAGTGCTCGGCCTTGGTCACATGTTTCGACTGGGGCTATGGACCCGGTGCTGCTTGAACAGGCCATCCGCAAGTGAAATCCTCAATGTCTGCTTGGCTGCGTTACAATGATCCCACCATATGGGCTGCCATGCTCCGTCAATGCTTCCATGACAGATCCGGTCTCAGCTTCAGGCAGATCCTTTCGCCCCACACAGTGCACGCAGCCATGCGACAAGCGAAATAGCCGAAGGAAGTCAGCCCACCAGCGTTCCTCAGCATGCAGCATCGCAAGCAAGCGCCATGTGCGAACTAGCCCAACTGCAGAGACACCAGTCACGCACCGCCAAGGCCCACCAAGAAGGAAACATGAAGCCGAACCCACTTTTGGCAGTCAGCTGAGTCGCAAAAAACAATCGAAACACAGCCTGCTGTGCAAATTCACGATGGCAAGTCAAGGAAGGTTGACCTACCCAATGTCCATACCATGGCAACATCCCAACATTCCTGCCAGCAGCCATTGGTCATGACGCCACCCCTACAACAACAAATTGCATGCCGAGCATCTTCACAACCTTTGAAGCATCCATTGCCAGCCTGCTCGTGTTCTTTCGTGGTCCAATTCTGCAAACACCTCAGAAGAATCTTTCCTGCCTTGTTGCGCCGACGCACACGCAGGGGTCTCGCAATCCGGCAGCAGCTCGTGTACCTGCACGAGCAAAACCAGTCCCTGGGCCTTTTTGAGGGCAACTTGAGGGGCCCAGATTCAATGACCGGTCTCGGGGAACAGGGTTTAGGGTTTAGGGTTTAGGGCTTTTGTTTCGTCGGTTGATGTCACTTGGTCAGAGAGGCAGTGTGGGGAGAGCGTTTTCTGCAGTAAAGATCATCACAAACACATCGGACCTGGCCCCTATCCCAAAAACTCAATTCGTTGGCAGCCCTCCGCTCCCTCCCACCCCTTCCCGAGGATTACGCACTTGGAGGTTCATGGTACATTGACATAATAACCCAATAACAGCTGTCATTACCACCCCCCATTGCAAACCGTATGAGGGCACTTAAGGGGCTTTTCAGTGGGTTAGAAGTACAGTTATTGGCTAATAAGTACCACGAACCTCCAAGCAAAAAGAAGAAGACAAGGTCACGAGCTGTCACGGAAGCAGGACCGTGGCTGACAGCGAGCCGAGCACAGGCCAACCTATACTCTCCCCTTAGAACCTTAATAAAAACAACAATGTTTAATACCCTCTTGGGCTTTATATAAAACAAAAATATAATAAAAAAAATCCCAAGGGGGATATAGCAACAGGGCCGGAGTTGTCGTACAACCTTCGGCTGGCGACGCATGCACAATCATGCGCGGACGAACATGGACTAGTCGACTTTTGAAAGGTATGAGAGATGCATGCTGCCATTGCTGTGACCTCAACTTGAAGTAGCGAGTCGCTGCAGCCCGGCAAGACAGCACGATTCAAAGGGCCGCGTCTCCGAGAAGCAGCTCCCATTGCCCCACAATGCGACGTGAGACTGGGAGCCCATTCAAGTTCGCGAACCGCCTTCTTAGGAGTCTTGGGTTAACTAGCAGCATCTACCACCTACCAGTACAGCGCGCATGCCTTGCATGACACATGTTTTGTAGACTTGGCGCAGCATGCGACTTCCAGATGATCACGCTGCATCAGGCAATGCCAAAACGAGTGAGTAAGATTTGCAGTGGTTGCTGCTTCCATCCACACGAGCTCTTGTATGCTCTAATTACTAGAAGGGACGGCACTGACAGGGAAGTCTCGAAGCTCAAGACGTGCACTAAACACCGATGCTTCATCCTTCTGACAGTGCTTTCAATCCTGAGCCCTTGGTCCTGTGTATCCCCGAGCAGCATGACATCCTCGTGTTGAGTAGCAGCACACAACAAACATGTCTACGCTCGCAGGCACGAGCCCCACCTCTAAAAAGTGAAAGTCCAAGCCAAGGATGCGGGAACTGTGCTGCGTCCGCATTCGCAGCACCAGCCTTGCCAGATCTTGCCAGGAACAGGGGGTCCCGTTGTGCAATGTACCAACACCATGAAGCGTGAACCTGAGGGCTCAACACCAAAAGCAAAGCCGTACCCTGCAAAGCAAAACCAGCCAGATCAAACCTCGAGGTTGATTCGTGCACGATGATCAGCTACAGTACTCTGTCAACACGCAGATGCGTGCCCAGGCTCAAGGCCACACTGACCAACGGATCTGGATGGATGGTAGAACTACCCGCACCTGTGTCACAGGCAAATCGACCACCACCTGCTTCGCCCACTGCAGACGACAAAGGGATGTTAAGAGAAAACGTTCAGGTTCCCAAATCAACCTCCAGTAAGAAGTGCGCGACGGCCAACCTAAGCAGCCAGAACTCGCACCAGGTCCGTGTCATGAGAATGCTTGCGAGCGCACCCGTGCAGCATCATTGCAAGCAGCCCAAGCGCCCTCAGTCCACTGCACAAGAAGTTAATCCATCTTCAACATGGGGGTTTACGAAAATAAGGGGCCCTAAAAATTGACCCCCCAAATAGTAGGATTTCCTTCTAGTAAACGGACGCCCAATAAGGGCACCCCTAGTATCGTAAACCCCCACATGTCACACACATAAGGCCTGAGGCCCACACATGGCATGCCTGAACCTTGCACAGATGGGGGCTTTACGATCATGGGGGGGGGGGGGGGGGGGACCTTCATGGGCTCCTTGTTATCAAGGGATCCTACTGTTTTGGGGGTCTATCTTTGGGGTCCCCTATTCTACTATTTGGGGGTCTATGTTAAGGGCCACCTCTTCTACTGTTTGGGGGTCTAGATTAGGGGTCCCGCTTATTTCCTAAACTCCCAGATCCAGGTTCTCCGGTGCCACGCTCTCTGCAAGCTGGCAGGAGCTTGTGCAGCCAAGCCCTAAACCCTCAACCCCCAACCCTAAACCCCCAACCCTAAACCCCAAACTCTCCACCCAAGCCGCCGCATGGCAGTGATAGAGAGCACAGCCCACGTCTGCATGAACATGGTGACGAGGAGGCCGTGGAAGGATGACCTTCGATGGCCCAGGCATGGCGGCCAACTTTGGCACATTCAAGGGTTTAGGGGTTTAGGGGGTTTTGCGGGGTTTTGGGGGGTTTTGGGGGTTTAGGGGTCTAGGGTTTAGTGTTTAAGTGGAACCAGTGTAGAATGTATAACAAATCAAGACCATGGCTCCAAAGTTTTGGGGCATTTTTTCAGTTTGCCTCTCTGCTTAAAAAGTTGAGGTGGAAGCTGCGTCTCTCCAAATGCATTTCTCCAAAAACCCAGGGCCCTTACTTTAGAACTGGCAAACAAAGCTTGATGATACTGAGTAACTAGAGGTTGAGAGAAGTGGAGCACGGAAAGGCTCAGAGGGCTGTGTGGGTGCCGGTGTCCTAGGCCCGCAAGCGTTCGCAGGGTGGACTGGCCAAGTGATATGAGCGAGCTCTCTGGTCGCTGACTCGAATCTCCTTGATGATTTGGGAAATGGAAGTGGAGAAAGTAAGGTTTTTTTCCGGGGAATTGCTTGTTTATGTATACAGCTTCCAGGCTCTTCACTCTTCTTGACTGCAGCCACAGAAGTACTGTTTCAGCTTCCAGCCAAGCAATGGCTTGTAGCCTGCAGCTTGAACATTTCAAATTCGGCAAATTCGGCGAGTACTGAAGACACATCCGGGCCTCACGTCTCTGCGACACCTGCCGTGAGGATTGGAGAGCGTGGCCAACATCGGCATGCTCACGATTGCAAACAGAAAGATAATCAACCGTGCCGTCAGCATGAAAAGATAATAATAACAATAATAATTACAATAATAATAGTAGCAATAGTAATAATTAGTAATAATAATAATAATCATAATCATAACAACAATACAAAAAAAGTACTTATAACATTAAAACAAGCAGAGCCTGTTTCGAAGCTGCTCCAGCTGACGCAGGGGAAGCTTTTCTAAGGACTCCGCTGAGCACCTGGCAAACATGGGCCGATGAGGCATGCCTCTTCTGAAGCCTTTTTTTTTCCCCACCCGTTTCTGAAGCTTTTTAGGGTTTAGGGTTTAGGGTTTAGGGAGTTTAGGGTTTAGGGTTTATGGCCAACTGCGGCAAGGCAGACGTCTTCTCGATGAACGTCCAGCTCTGCGTGAAACCTTCCCGGTGTATTGCCAGCAGGCCAATGTATTCCGGACCGGCCTCAGTGCCCAATGGGTGCTTCAAATCTTCCATCGCCACATTATGACTGCCAAGGGGCCACGTCATCGGTAGCCACCCAGTTGGGAACCAGGATTGCCACGGTCATGGCCTGCTGGGTCGTGCTTCCCACACACAAACATTGACCCGATCCTGGGAAAACTTGGAAAGCTCAGAACACACAAGACTGTCACAAGACGCACTGCGAGTGTTCCCGCCAGGATTGCGCAACAACCAGCTGCGCTGCTGATTGTCCTGTCGGAAATCTACCACAAACTCCAGTGAGCCATTTAGACCTCCTAGGAGTTTTCGAGTCCTTAACTTCCTGTGTCTGTGTCTGTGCAGTGTTGGGCCTGCCAGGACGCACATCTGCATCGTTCCGTGCACTGGCTTCAGACTGGGCCGCTGGCGCTGGATGAGCTGCAGAACTTCGAAATGCGTATCCTCGCTTACCAGCAACAACAATGCAAGAACTCACGTGAGACTCCAGGCTGAATGTCTTCTAGATTGCGTCCTCGTGACCCGCATGGCAGAGTCTCACTTGCAACAAATCACCAGGTCCAACGCCTTTGACTTGATTTACGAACTCACGAAAGCACAGGGCTCTTGTCTTTCTGTTGCCTTAATGATAAGAGCTTAAGCTTTCGGCCGTCAGGAACAGTAATGATGGCCTTGGTCGTCGTGAATTACACACGTGGTGAAGGGCAAAACATGCAACAACGAGGAGTTGGCGGATTGATCTGCAGATATCTCTGCAACAAACTCCTCGCACATGATAGTGGCGACGTGAGCGGTCGTGTCTTCAGGCTGCAGGTCTCTTAGTCTTAGCACCGCCTCGCCCGCAACTGCGCCCGGAGGCACGCATAAGTAGTGTTCCTTCGGGCAAATGTGGACGCGTGTGTGCTCATGCATCCAGTATGCAGAGACCACGTCCTGGATGTCCCCTTGTGCTGCATTGCACCGTGCCAGGGTCGCTTTCCTTCCTTAGATTTGGGTGGCACATGGCAAGCCTGCTCTTGAAACCCGCACCATCGGGATCTCAGCAAGCAACTCACACTGTGCGCCACTTTCTTGAAAGGCTTCGTTGCCTTGCCACCCACGTGCGTTGAAAAAGTGCGCACTGGTGCACATCCAGCACGACTGAAATGCGAGAAGGAACGTTCACTGAGTGAGCTGCTAACCGCAGTGCCTTCATGCCTGCTTGCTGCACAAGTCATGCTGCATTTCGCTCAGCACTTGCGAGCCTCACTGCTGTTCCTGGTTCGCAAAATGCAGTTCCTGGCACCCACCATGCCATGGCAGAGCCAATCAGAGCCACCTACTACTCCGCTGTCTGACAAGTCGTGGGGCTCTGGGAGACGTATACTGGGGCCTAGCTTGACTGCAAGAGGCATTTCGAAAGTCAGCTGTGTAATTGCATGTTTACGTCCATGTTGCATGCACTCTTGTGCCAGCTGTTGACGCTGCGCGGCCTCGACATGTGCGCATAAGGTGTCCGTCGCTTCATGCAGAGGGTTTGCTGGCATTTCCGTGTCCCAAGAGGTTTTGGGGCAGGATTCGGACATGAACTTGGAATTGTCAGCACAAGCTCCTGCTGATGTCCCCGGACGGCGGAAGCAAGTGCAAGCGCCCAGCATTGTTTGATGTCGAGCGGCGCCATGCGACCTGCACATGCTCGCAGGATCTATATATTTGTACTGCAGACTCGGCCTGCGCTTGTCTCGGCCAGGGTCATCACAAATGGTGTTCGGTGTTAACCTCTGCATTTGCTGCTATTTACGACTGGCGGTTGTTTTAAAGTCTGTGGGGACATTCCCATCTTGATGGCCAGTTGGAGATTCGTAGGGTGACACGGTGACACGTCCGACTTTGGGACCCAAGGACGCATTGTTCCTCTCTCACTGATCTTCAGTACTCTGCCGAGCCTTTCGGCTCCTCCGCTTTGTTTTGCACCGGGCGGGTGCCGGAGCCTCGCACTTCAAAGCTCTGTGCCTTCTGAGCTTTCTTTGCACCTCGGGGGGCAAAATCAACACCGTAGACATAGATGGAGACCAGAGGGATGAACACCAGGCCAAAGAAGGCTCCGACGTTCAGGCTGATGACATAAGACATGAAAAGCGAGCGAATGGAGCTTAGCCGCGCGAATGCCATTGGCATAATTCCTGCCAAAGTGGTCACATACGAAGCAAAGATGCCAACACCCGCACTCTTCATCGCGACAATGTACCGCTGGGAGCCTGAGACATGGATCTTGGGATTGGCGGGCGTGCAGGCTGCAGCCGCCACCACGAAATGAAGGACAAAGTCAACCGTGGTGCCAGAAGAAATCAGCAAGGCCAGAGACAGGATAGGATTAATCTTGAAGCCACACAGGCCGTAAAGACCGAAGGTGACCACCGTCATCAAGGCGATGCACGGCGCCAGCAGCACCCCCAGGCGTGGTCCCAAGAATATGAAGCAAAACACCGCCACCAAGATATTGACGTAGATCAAGCTTGCCATGGTATTGTTCAGTAAGTTTTGCTTGGAGTCTAGCAACCTGAAGATGTATCCCGAGACCAAAGTCTTTCGCACCTCCCAAGGGTCGCCCATGGAGACATCCTTCCAATAGTTCGTGTGGCGCTCTTGCATGTCTTTCACAACCGAGGCCCATTCATGAGCCAACCGACGCGCTTCGAGGCTTTCCTTGTAATCCTCCTCGAAGCCTGCTTCGGTCCAGGTAGCCTTGGCTCGAAACGGGATTTGCACCCTTGTCCAGTAGACTCGCGTCAGGCCCTGCCGGTCGCGGCCGGCATCCTCATCCAATACAATGTCTGGCTTGACATAAGCGGCCATGGCTTGGTTCACAACTGCTCCATCCATGAAGACCTTGGCAGTGTCGAACGTGTCAACTGACGATTTGTTGAATAAGAGCGTCACAATTGACTGTGTCAAGTTGGACGCCGCTCGCTCGAGATCCATCGCCAGAACGTCGAAGTCCATGTCAGTCAAAGTGCCAGATTTGTATCTCATGTCTTGCTCCATTTCATCCAGATGCCGCCTGGCCTGGCCTAGAAATGACAGGTACAGCTCCGGATACAGTGGAGACAGAGACGTCAGGTTGTCGAGGCCCAGGGCCTGAAGCCATGCCCCTGCCTGTGCAAAGTAGGCATAGATGAGTCCGTCCTCCATTTGGCTCAAGCGGCTTGCGTCTCGGAGATCTTCGAGCTCCTCGCGTTGAGCAGCACTCCATCGCAAGTCGTCATTGTGAAGCTCTGCAATCTGGATCTTCATGTCGTCAGGTGCAGGCGTACTTCTTTTGCCGCTGACAAAAGCTTCAAGAAGTTGCAGCAAAGACGTTGCGCCGGAAGGGGTCTCTTGATCGGTGCTTGGCGTTGTTCCTTTTGGCTCTTGCCCCTCCTGTTGGCTTTCATTGGCATTGTTGGCCTGATCCTCCATGCCCTGCCATGCTTCCTGCGAGACACCAGCTTCCAAGGAAAGCTGGCGTGTGGACTTCACCCTCTCCACATCCGCTGCAAGAAACTCACCGGGCAAGCTGCCATCTGCCATTCCGTAGGCATGGATTGAGTCGAAGTAGTTCTCACTTCTGTCTCCGTACCTGGCATCTCTTGCCGCTTGCCTCTCTTGCAACATGTCGTTCAAGGTGAAGGCCGAAAGGAATGATTCCTTAGTTTCCCAGGCAGCAGCAGACCAACTCCACATGCGGTCTCCAAAGCTGCGCGTACGTGAGCTTGCTCTCTGAATTCTCCTCATCTGTGCAGCAAGTTGTCTGTTCAGCATCACAGAACCCTGTTCTCTTGGGTCCGCTTCTTCCAGATCATCAAGCAACATCGTTTGGAAGTCCTTGCTCAAGAAACTCTGGAACAATTGCCAAGATTGGTTCGCGTCCACGCTCCGCGGGAACCCCGGCCGCCTCACCTCGTGCGCCTTGAGCAAACCTGTCAAGGCGTCGCGAGCAGGTGGACAAAGGTTGACAGACGGGGTAACCGTTTTGAACCCTGTATTTCCAGTTGGAGAGCTGAGGAAGCGCGCTGATTTCCATAGTGTCATAGATAACATCTTACACATAATCGTTCCTCTGCCCAAACCAGCAGCCCCCATCCCTTTAACCTGCCTGTCTTTAGATCGTCATTGTACACCACGGTCTCCATTTCCGTGCCAAAGCTCTCCTCATAGTTGTCTACATCTTCCCACACCTCCGCGGCCGCCTCCCTGGCCAAGCGCATACGGCGAGCAGCAGCAACAGCTCTGCGGGCCTGGTCTGCTTTGCGCGCTGCTGCGCGCTCGCGTGTGACCTGCTCCCGCTCACCCGCCAGGGAGAGCCACTGGCGGCCCATGAACCTCCGGGTGGCGCTCGCTGCTTGTGGTGTGTTCATGTCGACGGAACGGCCAATGACATTTGTCAACCACCTCTTGGCCTCTGCCATGGAGTAGTTCGAAAAGGCATTCCAAACCACAGAGGAGCGGTAGTGAGCAACTCCATACGCCATGCCGCGACGCAGGCTTTCTATAACGACATCTTGCGGGGAGCACTCATCATCTGCTCCCGGATCTCTGAAAGCTCCAGACTCGTAGTGCTGCTCAAGATGGGCCAAGTTGGACTCATCTCCTGCATAGGCTGCTGCTGATGCCACCTGGTGCCCAAATGCCCGGGTGGCTGCAGAATTCACGCTAGCATCAGGGGAAGCGCCCAAAGCAATCCGCATCTCCGTGCAAGCTGCAGCCAGAGGAGCCAAGGGCTGGGAAGCAAGAGTTTCCGCGGTTCGCTGCATGGCTTTTAATGTCTTTGCCGTATTCCTTGCGTGGATGCCCACCAGCTCCATCGGAAAAAGAGTGGTGTTCCACCACTGCGCTAGAACGACTTCCACATAAGGGTCAGCCATGTACGCCATTAAGTCACCAAGTCTTCTCAGAAACTCTCGTTGCCCGAACTGCAGGCTATACTTCGCCAGGAGCCGATCATCACTTGACAAAGCATTGTGGAAGCTTGTAGCTGCAAGCCTCAAAGCAGCCACAGTTCGCTGAGTCCGCACCTGCAAAGAGGAGTTGAAAGCATAGATTGACTGGAGAAGTTGTGTTGCTACCTCCTCCAGATGGTCAATGGCTGTGCAATTCAATGTAGCCACGGGAGTGGGCGACGCGAAGGTGGCAGCAGCCTGTTGCAGAAAAGCCTCGGCTGCCGAGAAGTTGGCAGGTCCGGCGTCATACGCATCCGCCGCAGCGTCGATGTGGGCGAGCGCGTCGCCCAGTAGAGTCTGCAGGGTCAAGCCGAGGTCTTGAGTAAAGTTGCCATAGGCGTGACGAGTTGTGTTGAGGGCAACCTGGACTGCATGCAGGGTGGGCCTTGCGCTTGCAAGCGATTGGTGTGGGCCCAGGTGTAGGTCTTGAGCCATGCCAGCTATCTCGGCCAGCGCCGCTTGCACTGCCAGGCCACTTGAAGCATAGGCCACGCCAACGTCTTGAAACTGTTTCGCCAATCCTCTGTATTCTTACTGTTGGTTAGCAAGGACTCATCCCTTAAAAAGTATTTGGGGGGGATTTGGGGGTACGAGTACCTTATTCCTCATTCCCTACTAGTCCTCCGTATTGATTTCGAAGGGTGCCATCCAATGCCTCTTCGATTGCTGCACCGAATGCTGTGGCGTTCGTGCGCACTCGCAAGCGCTCCTCAGTAGCCCAGTAGCCATACCATCATAAGGGCACCCCCCTGTTTTGGTTGGTTACTTTACAAGGGAACCCGAACCCAAAAAAAAAAGGAAAAGGGCAGCACTGGGCTACCAAGGCTCTGGAAGAGGCTGGATTGCCATCCACAGCTGCATCGCCACCGTCCAGTCTGTTGAAGCTGCTAGGTAGGGCTTCTGGCCATTCAGCTCTCGGATGCGCTGTGCATACTCCGCTGTGGCTCTGAGAACATCGGGGCCTGGGAGAACTTGGTGTTCCATCATCAAGTACACCATATTTTGCCCGAACTCTCCCATGTACTCCACGCCATCCTGCATGAAGACATGGTAGTGTGAATCATCAGGCATCTGCACCTTGAGATGAAAGGACGCCTCTAAGCTCTGTGTTCCATAGAGAGACACGAACAGCAGCACGATGAACAGAAACAGCGTGATGGCCTTGCATGCTCCACTGTGGGCCGACCACCTGGCATACTTCTCCAAGGCGGAATGAGCGTGGCCTCGATCTTTCGTAGATCTGTCCAGCTTGCCAAAGCCTCGCTGAAACGCGGCAAAGGCACCTGCGAAGAAAGTGAGTTGGATCACATAGTCCGCAAGGACTGCAAGTGCCCCCACTTGGGTGAAGGAACTAATCCAAATCATGTCCACGGCGCTCCCGGCCAGAAAGCCAGCCAAAGTGGTGACACTGGTGAGGGTGATGGATGCTGCTGCCGAGCCGAAGCTGGCCGCAAGCCTCTCAGCCAAGGAGTGATCCTTGGGAGCCTCGAAGAAGAGTCCGGCCAAAATCATCATATCGTCAACAGCAATGCCCAAGATCAAGAAGGACACATAGAGAGACGAAGCTGTAAGCCTCAGCCCCTGCACCGTCAAGAAGCCTGCCAGGCCCACCGCAGCCATCACCGCAAGCACTGCGCTGGCAATGCACATCGTCGCCGTGAACCAGTTCGTGGCATTGCACCACGAGTGGTTCTCGAAGTTGATGAAGTACATCGCAAAACCGCAGAAGAGCCACACCAACACCCCTCCGATCAGAAACAGAGGAGCCTCCATGAAGGTACCTCGCAGCGCTTCCTCGTATCCAAAGGCCGCGCTATGAGCTGAGACCCTCACATCGGATGAGGACGTTTTGCGATGTTCCCCTACCCAGAGGACACCTCCCACTTTCCAATCATCCGACAGGGACTCGTACCTACACATGAAGCTGTCCGTATATTCGAAATGCCCATGGTCATCCACTGGATCCAGGTTCTGCTCGACACGTGCCCGCGCCCCCATCATGGCATAGGTCGAGTTGCGAAAGCCGCGCCCTCCTCTGGTTTAATAAAAATTTAAAATTTTATTCTTATTGAGTTTAAGTACCCTTAAAAATGTAACATGTTATCCCACTATGACAAAGTCCTCGGTGCAGCTGAACCTGGTAATGAAGATCGAGCGGGCAAAAAACAATGCACGACTCATTTGGGTTGTCGAAGAAGCGATTGCAATGCTTGGGGTATGCCTCGTCGTGCACTTTGGAAGTCACATTTGTCAGAATTTCATGGTGAATTGCAAGCGCTTGCTCATAATATGGTGAATCCAGCAGGTTCTTGCCCTCTGGCACTGAGTACAAGACTGCCAGACGACGATCCAGTTCTGGCAGGGATGTCTTGAAGATGTCTTCTCCTTCAAAGTAGTCCTTTGAAGTTTGTGAGTTTTGCTCTAGCGTCATCTCGTTGACGTCCCTTTCGAACTTGACAAATGGCAGCCCTGTCATGCAAAGCAAGGCGAAAGCGATTCCTGCAAAGCAAAATTTGAGGGCGTGATCAGCCAGAAGGAGACCCATGTGGGCAAACGTTGTCTCAATCTCGTTGCGGATCTTCTCCTAGTTCATGGTAGGGATAATATTTAAACATTAGTTCTATTCCTTTTTGGGTTTAAGTACCCTGAAAAATGCAAAGCGGTACCCAACTATGACTAAGGCTCGCTTAAGTGATCACAGAAGTCAAGGCAGGCATGGAAGGGCCCATGGGAAGCACCAGGATCCGCGTGCTGGAACATGGCCTCCCAGCGTGCTTTGTCGGCCTCCGCTTCCTCGTCTCCCTCCTTGACATCAACCACCGCCTTCAAAAACTGGACTTCAGCTTTCTGCTGGCCGTGGTTTTTTTTTTTTTTTTTGGGGGGGGGGGGGGGGGGGGGGTGGTAGGGTTTTATAGGGTTTATAGTGTTGATAGGGTTTCTAGGGTCTATAGGGGTTTAGGGCTGGACAAGGGACAAGCACGTCGTGTATCGACTCCCGCGGCCTGTTCTGCAGCTTGCTCCGACTCAAACTCAACGCCATGGGCCCTGGCGGTCTCCTCACAGGGTTTACAGGGTTGAAAGGGGTTTACAGGGTTTACAGGGTTTACCGGCTTACGCATTCTTACAGGGTTTACAGGGTTTACCGGCTTACGCATTCTTACAGGGTTTACAGGGTTTAGAGGGTTAACAGGATTTATGGGGTTTATAGGGTTTATACACCAACTTTGCTCGAGGATTCTACAACAAGAGCAGAAGATAGGAGATGCTTACTCTGGTCACTGGTCATGGGGTTGCGCGCGCCTGATGCACTTGCAGGACACCTTATTTTGGCGGAGTGGGGACTGGGGCAACACTGCACCACATGTGGTCGGGCCCTGGGACCCGAGTGTCCCCCTCTCGCCCCGCCCCCCCCCCTTGACCTTCCTCTTCAACCCATGTTCGTGATTAGCTTTTCTTTTTCTGTTTGCTTTCGATTCCCCCCCTCCCGATACAATGAGATGGTTGCCTGTCGTTTCAGGGCACAACATGTTCCACACCACAGAGGGGGGGCGGGAGCGGCAGACAGACACACAGACACACAGACACACAGACACACATGCACACATGCACACATGCACACATGCACACATGCACACATGCACACATGCACACATGCACACATGCACACATACACACATACACACATACACACATACACACATACACACATACACACATACACACACACATACACACACATACACACACATACATACATACATACATACATACATACATACATACATACATACATACATACATACATACATACATACAGACATACATTACCTACATACATACATACATACCTACCCACATACACATACACATACACATACACGTACACGTACACATACACGTACACGTACACGCACACATACACTTTACAGATACATATGCATAGACATTGACATAGACACAGACACAGACGCACACAGACACAGCGACATACACATACACACACATATACATACACAGACACATACACAGACACAGACACAGACACAGACACAGACACAGACACAGACACAGACACATACACATACACATACACATACACATACACATACACATACACACATATACATCCCCCTATACATAAAAATATGTTTATCTTTTCATTTGTTTCTCATGTCTATTATTTTTTCTCTCATCATTCTGAATGATTCTGTATGCAAGAATATAAACCGATGGCGATGGCTCTTAACTCCAGGATTCCCTCTCCTCAAGGTCCGGGAGGTCAGCTGCCGCTCCCTCCATGGGCGCGCTACAACCTGCCGCAACACTTCCCCACCTGAGCCCGAATGCGGTTGGGCAGCGTGCTCAGCCGATGGTTCCCTGAAGGAGGATAGCTGCAAGTCTTAAAGCCGAGTCGTTCCCGAAATCCGGAGGTTTTTTTTTCCTCACGCCTATTTGTGCCTGCGCGAATGCAGTCTGGTCGGCACTACGGCAGCTCCGCCAGAAGCTCGCCGACCGGCTTTCGGCGCCAGTTACTGGCGTCGATTACGGGGCGCACCGGCAGCTCCAGCAACGTGGCCGCGTGGGCTCTCAGTGCCGCCCGCGAGAGACCCGTCCATCGGCGAGCGTCGCGCCGCGCGCCCGCGCCAAGCGCCGTATGAAGCCGAGCACCTCCGCTCCGAAGCGGCCGCCCACCTCCAGTCCGAACACGACGAGGCGACATCGGCCGCGGCTGTCGGGGCGCAGCTCGGGGTACGTGCGTCGCTTACGTGCAGCCGCTTGCTGGAGCGCCATTCCCGGCACATCGCACCCTGGGCGCGCTCGTCCGTTGCGCTGGACCGGCTGACGGGTGTAGTGTCGACAGCCACCTGCACCCCTCGCCAAATGGGCATGCCGTTGGCCACAACCTCGATGCGCCGTGCATCGCCGGCGGGGAGGTCCAGGTTTTTTTTTTTTGGTTCAAGTCGCGCAACGCTGTGTTCGCAGCGACGCGTGCCCCGGCCTCTCGGCAGATGCGGGCCGCGGCTCGCTCCAGCGGCCCAGCTCGCTGCACCAGCATCCCCACCTGAGCGCACACAGCACGCCGACCTGTGGTCCCCATACTCGTCCAACGCCCCCCCGCAGCGGCATCGTTGGGGCGCCAGCGGTCGCGGCATGCGAAGGCGGCGCAAGAGCAGAATCCGGAACTCGTCGCTGGGTACTGTGAAGTCCGGTCCCGTGGGCAACACAGTTATGGCGCAGCTCGCGCCGGGACCGCACTGGGAGAGCAGCAGCGCTCGCGATGCCGAGTCGAGGTCTGAAAAAAAAATCTCGAGCGCGCGCGTCTCCGCTGCGGCCCCAGCACAACGCTGCCAGCCTTTATGCATGGCCACCGAACCTCCTTCGTCCGCGTCAGCCCCGTGCGGCGTTGCGGCACCATACAGCAGGGATGCCCACGTAGGCGCGGCAAAACCCTGTGAACGATCCATTCCGCCGCGTACTCGGCCTGCCGGGTACTGGGCGGCATGGCGGCAACCTCACCCAGCATCGGGCGCAACAGGTTCGCCAGCATCTGCGGATGAAATTCCCGGAGCGCCCCGACGGTGTCCGCCCAAGAGGCCGGCATCCTGCGTGCCGATGCGCCTTGGCCGACGGCAGCCCCATACCCCCCATGCGCAGCGGGAGGTGCGCCCGTTGCATGCCGGTCGGGGTAAAAACAAGCGCGTCATCCGCCCATTTCGCCCCTGAGAGCAGCCTGCCCATGCAGGCACTGTATCACTGCAGCGTCGTGCGCTTCCGCAAAGGACAAGGCCTCGTGTTTGACGCGGGTTTCCTCAAGCTTTGCTGCGACGAACTTGCGGGTGCCAACTGGACTGCCCAGGACGACCAGTCCCTGCTGCGCCACTGGTGAGCTCCAGTGCGCCAGCACGATGAACCGTCCTCCGCAAGCGGGATCGCCGCGACTAAGCCAGCAGGCTCCTCCCCTGCGGGGTTCCAGGCCCTGGTCTTGCCGAGGTGGATTTGTACATTGGCATGCCTCGGCAGGCACGTCCGGGCCGCGCGCAGCACTTCGAGCTCAGTAGTTGCCCTCCTCCACCCAAGCTCCAGAGGTGACAGGATGATAGAATCCCAGCGAAAGAATTGAAAACCACTGCTGTCAGGACCAGCAACTTCTTCCTGGCTGAGGATGGTTTTGCCGAGGCAACGGAGCTTTGCAAGAAGCCGGGCTGGAGCTGCACGTGTAGGTGGGTGAGCGCTGTGTGCTGGCCGAACGCGTACAGCCCCGGCTTCAACGGATCCCCTTGTTCCCCGCCCTCCCCCTGCAGCACCTCGTGAGCTTGCCCAGAGGCATCGTAATAGAATGTAATAGAGGTAGCGGCTGCGGCGGGCATAGAACAAAGCGGCGAAAGGGAGCAGGCCCGAGAGCGCATCATCGCGTAAGCCGTCAAGCATGCTGGCCCGGGAGATGTGGTCGTGTGCCCCCGCGCCGTCTATGCTTTCTTTTTTTTCCCCGCACCCTTTTTTCCAGCGTCCGATCGCGGTCCCAGTGCAGCAGACCACCGAGCCCTACCGAACCCACAACCCGCCTATAACCACCGACCCGGGCTCACCCCAAGCGAGAGGCGAGCGGCGGCGATTCAGCCGAGTCAGCGAGGACGTCGCTCAGGAGAGGCGCGTCTCCGTCAAGGTTCGCGGTGCTGGAGATGGGCAGGGACAGCTCAAGATGGTCGTACGGGGGTCCGATTCCGTGGCAGCCCGCAACGCACGCACCAGGGCCTCGGGGCCCGCGCGCGGGCTGAGCGCGTATTGGAACGGGGCACAGGCCTGTCTGAAATGTTCCGCTTGTTGGCTCAAGCCATTTTGGCTCAAGGTCTTCGAGCCGATGTGAGATACTGAGAGACATATGGGTTTCGATTTGCATGATTAGCATGTTTGGATAGTTGGTCTTGTTGCTGTATTGGACGCGCCGTTGTGTGGAAGCCCATGGTTTACGACACCCTCTGTTGAGGGCATTGTCAGCTGCTGGTGTGGCAACCTAAAATGCCGCGTGATGTGTCGCGAACACCCATCATCTCGAGACGTGCTCGAACTGGAACGCCCGGCCGGGCCACCTCCAATGTTCATAGCACTCGAGAACGTGCGTGTACTTCTGATGCAGATCGCGTGTCTACTGCCCAGGCAATTGAGCCACGCGTTGGTGATGCGACCCCTGCACGATGCATGGCTTCAGATTTGGATGTTGCTGTTGGGACTTCTGCTCGTGAGAGCGAATCCCCCGCGTGCCCGATCTGTTTTGCAACATCGGGGATGGGAACGAACCCGTTTGGAGTTGGCCGTGCCCATGTCAAATGAGGCTTCACCTGAATTGTGCTTTCAGCTGCGGTTGAGCAACAATCGCCCATGTTGTCCGCATTGTCGACGCCGGTGGCCGGGCCCCAGTGCAGACTTGCAGCTTGAGAGTGCGTGCCACGCCAATGGTGTGGAAATCGCACGCAACTGGCAACGAGGACCTTCTCAGGCAGTTGCATTTGAAGAGCCAGCTATGCCAATTGAGCCAAACGACCTTGTTTTGTTGTGTTGTGAACGCCTCCTTACTGTCGACATTGCTGCAAGGAGTCGTCGCACGGAATGGGCTCCAGAGCAGGTGTATGAGACTGCATGGATGCCGTAGGGTTGTAGCCTGGGTTGGTGATTGGGTCTGCAATTGCTGTTGCCGCACGTTTAGCCAGAACGATGGCATGTTGCGAATGCTCCGTGATGGACATTCGTGTGGCATGGGCATGGGCTGGGCATGGGTTGCCGGCTGAGCATTGATTTCCAACAAGGCGTGTTTACTTGGATGTGCGGGGAATCTGACCCCACAGAACTTGATTGCGCGTGGTCAAGCTGAGGATGTTGATTCGTTGCTTTCTGACTGCTTTGCCTCCGTTTGCAAATGACGAGTCGACGAACTCGTACTTGTATTGTCCTGTGCTGCTGCATGCGGCAAACTTGCTACGTCCTCGGGCCGTTGAAGCATGGAGTCGAGCGGTTGCTGACGTCTGTCAACATTTGAGCGACTGCCAAAACTGGCTCGAGGTGCTAATGGACGCAACATCCGGGGTGTCGCTTTTCAAGTGTTTCCATCGTTCTACAGGGTTTTAGCATCATTTATCCGCGCTTGATGTTTGTAGGTGTCGCTTTAGGAAAAATCACGGCTATAGCACACCCAACGGTTCATTAACTTAGGGGTGTCGCTTTTCAAGTGGTCCCATCGTTTTACAGGGTTTTGGGCATTCGTGTCCACCCCTTACAAGTACTTAATCGAACAGCTGGAGGTTTTGGCGCTTGCTCATTTGGCTGCGCATACAGTCAGCCTTACTGTCATTGCACAGGCGTACGCAGAGTTGTTGCAAATCTCATGCCAGCATGATGTCGCCATGGTTCAACATTTCAATCAGACTGGCGATGCTGCAGCGGCTCACCTTTTGCAGGAGCTCAATGCAGGTCAGCAAGACGTTGATGCAACGTTAGGGCTGATCATTCCGGGTGTCATGAGCAGCGATGGTCATGTCCCAAATCAGTTGCCAGATTTCTTGCTGCAAGTGTTTGGTTGGCGGGTACAGGCTGGCATCGAATCTGGATGCTGCAGCGACACATTTCAGAAATGGCAACGTGAGCTCAGCCCGGATGTTGCGGTTGAAGCTGCGGTTGTAGTGTCGCGTCGGCAGCCTCCTTCGACTCGCACTGCCTCTGAGCCGCCGCCTGTTGTGCGCAACGTCGTTGCTCCAGTTGAAGCTGTTGATTCATCCTCGCTCGTCACCATTGAGGTCTTGCACCCACATGCTTGCTCACGCCACAATTCTGCTCGATTTGGCGCGCGGCGACGTTGTTCTCTCTGCAACGCACATCTACCGCGTGAGACCCAATTTTTTCGGTGTTCGCACTCATGTCGTTTTGTGGCTTACCAATCCTGTTTTCGGATTCCCACAGTAGCGGCTGTACCAGCCGACGGTGCTCCCCCAAGGGTCCTGGAGCCTGGTGGTGGTGATGCAGGTGCGTCTGCACATGTAGCGCCCCAGTTAACTAACGTGTGCAATCTATGATTGATTCTGGGGCTTTTGATGTGATCGGTCGTCCAAGCATGCGTTTTGAAGGCCCAACCTCATGGGGCGTTTGGCTCCGCATACTTGACTCCGCTGCTTCTGGGAAGAGGTGCGGTCGTGTAAAGTGTGGGGTTCTGTATCATGTTGCAGAAATGAAAGTGTATTTCCACGGTGAAGAGCAGCCCACTCGTGAACTGCTGCTTCCTCTTCTCGAAGCATGGACGCATGTGTCTCTGGATGCTTGTCCTGAACGTCAACTTGGGGGCTGTTTTCGCTGTACCTTCCAATGTTGTTTCGAGTTTGGATCATGCCGAAGACACGCACTTGGTGGGTTCATTCGCTCATTCATGACCAACTGTTGATGCCGATGTGAATGCGGGCGAACGTCTAGCTGATGTTTTTGCAAATGTTGCGCCCAGTCTGTGTCTATGCCCTCTGTCAATGTGCGCGGGGCTACGCAGTTGGTATCGTATTGGGCTCAAAATACAATCGCGCACTTTTTACACTGCTAGGCAAGGAACCTGAAAAGCTGCGGATTCACGGTCATGGCTTTCATGACAACAAAACGACTATATGCATGCTACAGCATTTACTGTTCGTACGCGTTCGTACGCTCGCACAATGTCGCGTCAGTTGTGTTGAGCGTGCCTCATGCGAATGCGCAGCCTGTTCGCAATGTTCCGGGTGGCCCGCTACCGTCTGCGCTCGGTGCAAGCAATGCTCCAGCCGTTACTTCTTCAACTGAGTTGGTGGCATTGCCGCAGCTTTTGAACCAGGTCGTGCAAAACCAAGTCCAAATGCAACAACAGCTTTCCAACACTTGGGATTGTTTGGGACGTGGTTCTTCTTCCGGCGTGAATGGGTTGCAGCAGTGCTCTTCCCCGGCATGCGGTGGGCATGCAACGCCTGGTTGTCTTACGACGTCGTACCCGCAACATTGTGTGATGCAGGCTTGCTCTGCTCACCATGCCGTTCGACGTACATCTATTTGCAGGCACGAAGGTTGTAATAAGTGGCTTCTCCGGGTTGCTTGGTCGACTGTTGCGGCAGCCATTGCTCTGAGCAGACCTGTGCAGTTCACACTGTGCGGGGTGATTCTTTTTTTCACGCCATAACTCAGCGTGTGTGCAGGCGGTTGGGTTGCTCAAATGTTGTTGCAGGGTCTTGTGTGACGGGATATTGTTCCCGTCACTGTACTAGTCGGCGCTGTGTTTGTAGTGAGCCTATCCATTTCCAGATGGGCGAAATGCGCGACACCGTGCTTTTGCTGATCCTCATGGTGCGCAGCAATCGTGTCTGTGTGGCAATCCAAGCTGGCGTCTCTTACATGGGCTACGACATTGCTCCCTCTTTGACATGCAACGTCCGACCTGGAGGCTTCATATACGCAGGTGTGCTGCCGATGTTGCGCAGCTGTCAGACGAGGATTTCCTGCGTTTGATATTTATGCCACTGTATCCATTGAATACTCCGTCCTTGATTGCAGCTCATGTACATTTCGTAGCTTTTGTGTGTCATATGCAGCGCTTGCTGCTTCAAGGTTGCTAAGCCTAAGGTTTCTCTGACGCTTGTCGCCATAGGTGCGATACGTCTGTTCGTTGCTTTTCACTACTGACCGAACACGGTTGTTTGAGGTCCGAGTCTCTCTCCGCGAATTGTTGCGCCAGCGTGCGACTGACGAGGCGGCGAAAAACGTCGCCCTGCGCACGGACCCCTCCGTTGGGCTTGCTCAACGCCACCATGCGTCCCAAGCGCAGTGCTTCAACAACCGGGGGGGGACGTCGGCCCTCGCAAGTTTGGCCGCTGCCTGCTGGAGGAGTTCGGTGGTTTGCTCGTCGTCCAGCAGAACGCGGAGGTGTTCATTAGTGCACCCCGAAGGCCCTGCTGCAGCGCCCCGCCGCGCGTGACGCTGGTTGGCGAGTAGCCGGTCCGCACTCAATCGGGGCGGTTGAACGGTCGGCAGGCGCAAGTCTGCGTCAAGCGGGACTTGTTCAGTCTGCGGTCGTCTGCGCGGGTCCCGAAGGGCGTCCAACGTCTCTTGCGTAGCGGGCGCGAGGGGGTGGCGCCGTGAGAGCCTTCGCCGCCGCGGACAGGTCGCCCACGTGCGCGAGGGCTGTTCCCCTCTCAGCTCGGTGTCTCCGGTCGGCCGCGGAGTGTTCCGGGGCGTCGGAGCCGCACCACGTCCCATCGCGCCGTTCTTGGGCGGCGTCAGCGCTCTCGCGCAAGAGTTGCAGCTACTGCCCAGTGCAAAACAACTGTTCCCTGCGCCGAAACTCGGATGCCGGGAAACGGGTCTGGCCGGGCGCTCGAAACAGCAGCATGCGCGGCGCAAGGTGAAACAAGGCCCAACCGTCGCCATCATGGACCGCCTGGAGTGCTACCCTCATCGCATCTCCAAAAAGGCCCCAACACAGGCGTGGGGGCGACTGGAACGTGTAAACGCGTCTCTCGACTTCAGACGCCAAGTCAACGTCACGCAAACGCGGCAAAAAGGTTGGCAGGGGGCTCGCGCTGCGGTCGTTGTGCAGGCCGGGGCGGACTGCATTGGCTCGTTGACTGCCCGGCGCGAGTCGCCGTCGCCTTCCTCTCGGGATCTGGCGCCGACATTTGTTTTCACAAGCGCACATGTCACAAGCGCCTAGCTGGGGCGCTCAGGCGCAAAAGGATATCAGGCTTGGGCCAGTTGGGGCCGGGCCGCGAGCTCCAGCACCCGCTGTGGTGAAGCGGGGCCGGCCTCGCCGCTGACTCCGTAAATAAAAACCTGAGTGCGGGTGGCGCACGCTTTGCAGGTCTCGGACGAAGCGCTGGGCATCACCGTTCCAGCGGCCCCCAACCTCCGACCCAAGCACCACCAGCCACTGGGGGCCCGAGCTCCGGGTAGGCGGCGTCGCAGTGCGAGTGGCATGGCTTGGGGTTCAAATGTAACATGCCTGCATGCACCCCCCTTGCGAGCGTGGCAAGGGCTTGGAGGCTGGCGGCAGGGCAGGCAGCAACACGCGCTCGCGATAGTATATTTTCCTCGGACTTTATATGGCTGCTGATCCGTTTGGTCGGCTAAGCGGCGCCTAAACTAAAAAAACTCCCCAGGATAGCTACGCCCGCAGTGGCAACCGGCTGGGGCCTCAGCGCAGCGGCAGGCGACTCGGCCCGTCCGGCTCACCAAGAGCGAGGACGGCAGCCAGGGTCGGCAGGCTGTCTTGCGCCGGCCCCGCTACCCCAGTGGCCGGACCGTTCAAGCCGCACGCATGTCCGCGTCCAAGGCGCACACAGCAAATCACGGTCTTTCCCGCGTCCAGGCCGCACACACGTCTTGTTTTCAATAAAACCACGCATTTTGAAGCTTTCGGATTCCGGAAACTTCGAAATGGGTGGCTGCCCAGGGCTTTCAGAGCGCGTGCAGCTTGGAAGTGCCGCGTGCAGCTTGGAAGTGCCGGGAAGTGCCGCGTGCAGCTTGGAAGTGGCTGGGTTTAAGGTTAATTTCAAGGATCTTGGCACCCAAACGAGCCCCGCGCTCGTTTGGGTGCCACGAGTCGGGTTTAGGGCTTAGGGCTTAGGGCTTAGGGCTTAGGGTTTAGGGTTTAGGGTTTAGGGTTTAGGGTTTCGTGGTTTAGGGGTTTAGGGGGTTTTAGGGCTTAGGGTTTAGGGGGTTTTAGGGTTTAGGGTTTGGAGTTTAGGGTTTAGGGTTTAGGGGGTTTTAGGGTTTAGGGTTTAGGGGTTTAGGGTTTAGGGTTTGGGGGGTTTTAGGGTTTAGGGTTTAGGGTTTAGGGTTTAGGGTTTAGGGTTTAGGGTTTAGGGTTTAGGGTTCGGGTTTAGGGGTTTAGGGGTTTCGGGGTTTAGGGGTTTAGGGGTTTAGGGGTTTAGGGGTTTAGGGGTTTAGGGGCTTAGGGGTTTAGGGGTTTAGGGTTCTTGTTGGCTTGGCTCCCCAGGCCGGCCTTGAAATGCTCCATGCGTAGGGGTTCCCATGGCTCAACACTCGAACTTTTCCATCGAAAGCAAACAAGTAGCTGTCATGCAAGGCTCTTGTACAACTTGGCCTCTAAGCTTTCTTGTGTATACAGTAGTGCTCTGCACTTACAATATCGATGTACATCGTGACTGTGGAAATTCGTTCTCACTCGTGGCTCAAGGGTGTCTTTCCGCAGCCTTTCCCTTGAAGCCGAAAGAAAATGGCGTCGATGAGCGGCAGGAGGTTGGCCTCAGATGGAAAAGGGGTTTCCTCACTCCTCCTCTGTTGTGCCGCCAGGCTCAAACAGCCCGATAATCCCACTCCAGTTCTCCTGCCATGCCAACAATTTTTGCTTTCATTCGCTCTTCCAGTGGTGAATCCACTGCGAAATACGATGCTTCGTGTTGATGTCGCTCCACTGCAGGTGGGTCTTGAAGTTCAACTCCTTCTTCCTCCACAGGTAGAGCACAAACTTGAGCTGCTTGGTCGAGGGAAGCACTCTAGAAGGGAAATGGCCGCTGGCGAGGTTCGGTGCCAACCGATTGGCGAGTACCTCCTTTTGTCCTGTCACACAAAGGCCTTCTTCGCGAAGTGCTGCCTTTATTTCCTCAACTCTCATCAGCATAATTGTATTTACACACACTCGTGCCCTGTCCATTCTACCATTCCGGAACGCAACCATTTCAGAGCTTCCCAAACTGCGACCACCCCAGCTATCAACAATACTAGCAACCATCCCAGCATATCCCAGTCAACTGACAATGCTCCACCACCTGATACTTGCTCAGCCTTGACTCCTGTAACCAACAAGCAACACACCAGGGCCAAAAGTGCTCGAGCAGCAATCCTTGAACTCGAAGGGGCTACAGTCGGTAAAGACACATCTTCAACCACCCCCCATAGGCTTAGGAGGTCTCCAATTCTCTGAGCTGCCAATGGCTTCGTCAATAGATCCGCCCTTTGGAACTTCCCAGCACAGTGTTGTATGGAGAAGGTCTCGGCATCCAGTTGTTCTTGCATCCAACCTGCCTTTATACGAAGATGTCTTGTTCTCCACCCGCCAGTCCCTGTTGAAATCGCCAGCGCCGAGGTGCTATCGGTGTTCACAATTCTTGTTGATATCTGCATGCCCACATCTTGCAGTAAAGCTTCCACTCCAAGTGTCGCGACCGCGCCGTCCAACAGGGCAATGAGTTCACTCTCCGCGGTGGATAGGGAGATCACAGTTTGACGTCCCGAGCGCCACACTATTGCTGATCCTCCCCAAAACACCACCCACCCTGAGTGTGACCTTCCAGACTCCGGGGCATAGGCAGCATCACAAAACAAAGAAAGGTCCGTGCCATCGTAGGAGATGGTCAACTGTCGTCTCAATGTTCGCTGAAGGTAGCCCAAAAAGTTTTGGCTGCGATTGCTATCACCCGAGCAGGAGCTTTTGTCGTCAAAGCCGACATCAGTGAAGTCACAAACGACAAATCAGGGCGACTCCTCTGGGAAACCCATAATCGCTCTCCGGTGAGTTGTTGGGCCAGGTGGACGTCGAAGTCGTTAGGCGGAGGATCACTTTCCAACACAGCAAACGATGCTGCATCCTTGCTTAGCGGGATCCGGTCCTGTTGCGTGGCAGGTATTCTTCTTGCTCTCAACAGCTCCTTGATGTAGATGCCGAAAGACTGCTGTCGTCCTTCTTGTAGACATATTTCCATTCCCAAGAACCTGAGTGACTGGTGCTGCGATATCAGCTGCAATTCCGTTGTCTCCCACAGGCTCTGAATTGCTTGAGCCAATGCCGTGATGGTTTCTCGAGCACCACACAGGAGAAAATCGTCCACATAAATCACCATTACAGCAACCAGGGCCCCGGTTGGCCCTGCGACGGTCCACCATGCAGTTACAGCCTTTCCTCGTCGTAGTTGTAGTAAGGTGTCGTTCATGGAAACGGTGAGGGATCCCAGCTCATGATCTCGGTATGTACCCCACAGCCTCGGTGACTCCTTAAGACCATATAGTGCCCGGACCAAACCCCAAAGCTCAAACTCCTCGATCAGCTCAAGGCGCTCCAACAGCTTGGGTGGCTGTACCACCACCACCGGATCTCTAGGTGATCTTCCCACGGGGGTCTTCAAGAAGGCCGTCACAACATCCAGGATCCCCACTGTCCATTGGTTTTTGCATGTCAGAGTCAGCGCTGCTCGCACTGCCTCAGCTGGAGCCGCTTCAGTGTAAAGATCCGGGTTGCTGTTCACCGCCATATTCCCACACACCACAAGTCGGGCTTTTCGCTTAAACCATGTAGAAGGGTCGCGAAGGTCTGCCTTGTCATTCCAGCAGGATGAGTTTTCTCCCTCAGCCGAGTGGAAGGTCTGAGGGTCTCTTCTGCCGTCAAGGTCGTTGTAGGTTCGCCGGGGTCGACAAGGTTGGGCCTTACATGGAAGGTATGATAGAAACTTTCTCCTCTTCCCTCCTCCTCAGGTAAGAAAACCACATGGCCTCGATCCAGTAACCCGCTCAGGCCCACATATTTCCCGTTCATCCAGCGAGCATCAAAGGTATCGGCACTCCTCCTGGGACCAAGGGCTGTGTAAGGTCGCTTCTTCACACGCACACGCGTTCCAAACGGAGCCAACAACGAAGACCTCCATCCCAAGACCCTTGCCCGCTGTTCCGCTGCTGCAGTTTCGGCCGCGGATGGCCAAAGTCGGACAGGTAGCTCCCCTGCCATCAACATTGTGCGAACCCTGTCCTTCACCCAGCGAACTGTTGACTCGGCATGGCCATTTGATTGAGGAATTCCTGATTCTGCCCATGTAGACCTGATCCCTTGTTCCCGTAGCCAGGCCTTGAAGCTCGCAGAGTAGTACTCTCCTCTATCGGAGTGGAAACGAAGGACTGGTAGTCCATGAGCCCCGAGGTACAGGATGACGTCTTGAAGAGCCCCCTTTATCGTACTCGCCTTGTTGTTTGGAATACCCACAGCGAAGGTCAACGATGTCATCTCAGGAGGCCTGCAGTCACCAGCTCTCATTGCAGCGTGTCCCTTAGTACCTCCATCCTCCTCGGACTCACCGACTTCGTCTGCCTCATCGTCCGCTTCACCATCGGATTTGACCAGGTCCTCCTTGGTCTGCATCTCCACCCAAAGACGGCTCATACTCCAGGACATCATCGGGAAGTGGCTGTCCTGGTTCCTCCTCCAAGCACTCCTCCTCCTTCTGATGTTCCGGTTGTGGTGAAGGTATCAGGCCCTCATTTGGAGGTGGATCTTTGCCAGCATATGCCCTGACGAACTCCTTTGGAAAGATGTACTTTGCCACTAGCAAGTATCTGAGGTTGCACGCAGGAGTTCCCTTTGTAGCTGAGTCTAAGCCTGGCTTCAGTGGTCCAGAAAGGTCTGAAGTGAGGACATAGCTGTCGGGGTGGTGAACTCGCGCATGTCGCTTTCCAGTTCCTCTTGCCATGACGCAGGTGGCACAATCCCTCCTGTATGGTAGGTGTGAGGCATCGACGTGCGCCTTCCACCTTTCCGGACTCATGGCATACACCCTTGGACTCCTGGACCACAAATGGAACGCCATCACCAGTGCCTTGACGAAGCCAGGAGACCATCGACTCTGATCCGGACCTGCAGGTGATTCCTCCGTGAGGTGGTCGCAGGTGATTCCCTCCAATCCTCTCAAATACGGCACATTGGTTCCCAGAGTGGTACTCATTGAGCGCACTGCCCCTGTACCGCCCTGATCAAACGACACCTCGAACATGCCCGTCTCATTCATGAAGTCCTTCCAGAGGTTGGTTTCCCACAGGTAGTGACGATTGAGGCTGTGTCACTCGAGGCGCTGGTAGGTGGTCCTGGATGTTCAAGCATGAATCCCACCTCCTTGTGCCTTAGCGCCCCCTTCGCCATCGTCATCCTTCCAGCTGCCGCCACAACATACAGCCATAGCATTCTGCAGATCAAGGACAGGGACTTCAGCGAAGTGGTTGTAGAGGTAGGTGCAAAGACCTTCCCATCTCGTCCAGGGGGTCCTCCGAACACCAAATCCACCTTGCCATTCCTTGCTCCCCAAAGTAGCATTTCCCACGTAGGCGACATCCCGAGCAGGTCGCTCACTGTCTAATATCCACCTCAAGGACGATGGTTTCGCCATCATGAGCCAGAAAGAACTCCAGGTGACCTTCCTCGCCCGCAAAGAGATGAACTGCCCATTTTTTCGCGCTCAGCAAGGCTCGCCTTTGGGATCTTGTCAGGTAGGTGACCTTCTTCAGGGTATCCCATCCTCCTCCTGACTCATTTGCTGGTATTAGGCCATTGATGCACTCTCCAGGAACTTCTTGAAGAAACGGTGCATCACGAAGAGCTCGCAACCCATCTTCACGATTCCCGGAGGTGGCATAGCTGAGCATGTACTCAAACCAGGACTTCTCCATGTAGGAAGCCACCCTTGCAATTCGGTCCTCGGTCTCCAAGGTTTCGTTCTGCAGTTGCTCTCACTTTCGTTCTTCCAGTCGAGCTATCAATGCCAAAGCCTCGGCCTCACACAGCTGGGGGCACCCGGAGTTGATGTTCAGCTTGGCGGTCTCTCCTTCCGGGCCTACCAGGATGCATTGCTTGGGTGACCACTGCAAAGTGTATCCCAGAACCTTCACCAGTTCTCCAAGTGGGACTATGGTTTGGACCTGCTCACCCCCAGGTACCTTCTCTTCACCAGGCGGCATAAGTAGTGATCCCGCTTCGCTCATCTTCATCTTGAGCGAGTGACTGCCTGCCAACTGGACCATCACCTCATCCGCCTTCGTCCACTCATCCCAGGTCGTGGCTGTCCGTAGCGCATGAGTGGCCCCTGAATCCAGCAAAGCTGAGGTCGTTGCCCGCACCGAACAGACCCTGATATCCTTCACGACTAGCACCTTGGCAGTTGTTGGGGTTTTCTCCGGACTCTTCTCTCCATCCGAGGTCGGCGACACCACCTGGGCTTGTACAACTTGCTGGGCTGCCTGCATGAGAGTCTCGAGGGTCCAAGGAACGCCCTGGATTGGTGGGTCACCTCCATCACCTGGCGACGCACTCACGGTTGCCACCCCCGGAGGTCGAGATGAGGTCGAACCATCACCCACTGACCTGGTAGTCGATGAAGACGTTGAGGTTGCCTTGGGCCTAGCTCCCGACTTATTGACCAGGCAATCCTTCTGCCTGTGGCTCTCCGCGCCACACAGCAGGCACTTCTTAGACCGGGTTTCCCGATCAAGATTCCCCATGTTGTGCGAACACGAGCACTTTGCACCCCTTCGGCATTCGGCATCCCGATGGCTTCATGAAGTAGCGGCACATCTCAGTAGTTCTCTCCCTCTCCTTTTCCTTCTTTGGAGATGTCGGTGGTGCCTCCACAGCTCTCATCCTGGGTCCTGAAGTTGTAGACACCGTGGTAACCGAGGTCGAGGAAGCCAAAGTTTCTAGCTCTGCTTGCAAATGTCGCTGATACTCCTGAACCTGTTCCAGAGTGGGCTGACCGTCAAGGCGAAGACTCGTTCGAAGCATGGAGGTCCTGAAGGCCGCGTCTGCAGAGCCAGCTATATGGGCTGAGGTTAAGGCCTCGGACCATCACGGAGGGATCCGGCGGCGCCATGTTGACTGCTCTGCAACGGGCCAGCCACCGTGGCCAGCTTCGTACCGCTCCAAGAACATCATCGAGGCCTTCTCCCTTGGCGAACTCCGCTGGGTTCTGGAGCTTCTTCAGCACTTCCTCCCTCTCAGCACTGCCTCCTGGTTGGAACAGCACCAGCAAACGGAAAACCATCCTGGGGCAGCTTTGAGTCACTCGCTGACTCACATATCGGTCTTGAGTTCAGGCCCCATGGCGGAGAGGATCATTGATGACACCCTTGCATTCACTCTCAGCCACCTTCCTCCACACAACTCATCGGAGCTCCCTGGAGATATCTGGAGGCCACCTTGAATAGGCATTCACCTGGTCCATGAGGGAGTTCCACCAGAGGCCTGAATTTTCGCTCACATCCGACGTCACCTCTAGCCAGTCCTGCAACTGTAAAGCAGCTGCGCCTGCTCCATCCTTCGTCTTCAACTCAGGCAATGGAGCTAGGGCCAAAGTGCCCGGCTTCACCTGCTCGGCGGTGGATGGAGATGTTGTTCCCCTTGCCATGGTCTGTGCCTGCAAGTCCTGCAACTGCTTCATACCCTTTGCCAGCATCTCCAACACCGGCGGCTCAGTCCTTCTTCCGGAAGATTGAGGCGGTGGTGTAGGGGACCTAGTCCGGGGCCCAAGCAAAGATTGCAAGAAGCCTGCTGGCTGTTGGGACTGTTCAGATCCCATGGTAGTCCTTCCGGGTCGCTGCTCCTGAGTCCTGCTCTCCTGAGTCTCTCTTCTTTCTGATGTAGTCGCCGGGAAAACAGTCCGACTCGGAGCTAGGGGGTACTCCAGGGCCTAATACTCCTCCTGGAATATGGTTCGCAACCTGGAACTCGTCCGGGTACTCCCAAGCTTGCTGACTCCCTTGTGACCTGAGGAGTGGGAGGCCTTGTACTATGCACCCCATCTTGCGATTCTCTTGCACTGGCCAAGGCTTGCTCCAGCTCCACATTTCGCTGCTCAGCGGTCCGGAGCCTCTGCAATATATCACCAAGCTGTCTTTGGACTTCCGCTTGGATCGCCTCCTGCGGGATGCTTGACGAGCTCGGCGGTGTTGGCGAGGTAACGGGTCGAGGCAATGGACCTCGAATGGTAAACGCAGCACCTCCAGGGGCGAGTGATGTGAGGCCTGACTTCCTCCCAAAGGACTCGGATACATGTCGTTGCGCCGCTGCAACTGTCAGATATGAACTTAGCCTTGACACCCAGGCTCGCATCTCGAGACCAGCCAACCATTGCTGATTTCCCCCCAAAGTAGAGCGGGTTGAGCGGGGCGTCACAAAACCAGTCTGAGCTATCTGCCCACTCCCAGAAATCATTGTGTTGCGATCGGCTTCGCCGAGGTCAAGATTCGTCGTAGCTCTCTGGCCACCCGCCTGACCCTGCCTCGATGCGACTTCCCGGTCCAACACGTTTCCAGCAGCTTGTAGTCCCGGCGAGGCCCTAGGTGGATCTGCAAACGATACTGCATCATCCATTGTACCATAGTTGCCCCTTTCTGCCTGCAGAATTTCAGCTCCAGACACTGTCGTCGATTCTTGTCCCAGTTGCTCACTGCTTGGCGACAAAACATGCCCTGGATCCACACCATTCACCAGGGGCTCTTGCGGATGCACAGCACCAGGTTGGGCTAGCATAACCTCTTGTTGGCTTGGCTCCCCAGGCAGGCCTTGAAATGCTCCATGCGTAGGGGTTCCCATGGCTCAACACTCGAACTTTTCCATCGAAAGCAAACAAGTAGCTGTCATGCAAGGCTCTTGTACAACTTGGCCTCTAAGCTTTCTTGTGTATACAGTAGTGCTCTGCACTTACAATATCGATGTACATCGTGACTGTGGAACTTCGTTCTCACTCGTGGCTCAAGGGTGTCTTTCCGCAGCCTTTCCCTTGAAGCCGAAAGAAAATGGCGTCGATGAGCGGCAGGATGTTGGCCTCAGATGGAAAAGGGGTTTCCTCAAGGGTTTAGGGGGTTTTAGGGTTTAGGGTTTTAGGGTTTAGGGGGTTTTAGGGTTTAAGGTTTAGGGTTTGGGGTTAAGGGTTTAGGGTTTAGGGGGTTTTAGGGTTTAGGGTTTAGGGGGTTTTAGGATTTAGGGTTTAGGGTTAGGGTTTAAGGTTTAGGGTTTAGGGTTTAGGGTTTAGGGTGTTTAGGGGGTTTAGGGGGTTTAGGGGGTTTAGGGGGTTTAGGGGGTTTAGGGGGTTTAGGGGGTTTAGGGGGTTTAGGGGGTTTAGGGGGTTTAGGGGGTTAGGGGGTTTAGGGGGTTTAGGGGGTTTAGGGGGTTTAGGGGGTTTAGGGGGTTTAGGGGGTTTAGGGGGTTTAGGGGGTTTAGGGGGTTTTAGGGGGTTTTAGGGTTTAGGGGGTTTTAGGGTTTAGGGTTTAGGGTTTGGGGGGTTTTAGGGTTTAGGGTTTTGAGGCTTCAGGGTACAAGAACACTCGGCCCTGCGCAGGTCCCCAACGTTGCGCGTGCACCTTGGACACAGACGGCGCGTGCACCTTGGAAGCGCGCGCGCGTGCACCTTGGAAGTGGCGCCCGCCCTTGCCCTCCCCAGCGACCGCCTGCTGGCACGCGACGGAAGGGGCGCTCCACCGTGCGCGCCCAGGCGATGCCAGCAGCCCCTGCGCGGGTGCCGGGGCGCGGCAGGCCCACCAGCGGACCAGGCGCCGGCAGTAGCCGCAGCTTCTCTGCAGATCTCAGTCAGGAGATGAGTGCAAAGCCGTGGGCAACAGGCACAGTGGTCGACGAGAGCAGAACGTACGTGGCTACTGATGGTGGGTGCTTGGTGGCGGTGGACATGGAGCGTTGGCAGCAAGCAGTCTGGGCGGTGGTCTGAAGAAGCTCTGTCACCAGCACCATTTCTGGACCGCGGTGGTGCCGCTTCGCGCCGTACACGTTTCCTTTCGGTACCTGCTCCCCCCTTTTGAAACAACGATGCCGCTGGGCGGCGCTTGAACAAAGGGACGCGAAGCCTTCGAGGGTCCACCAATGTCTCGCCCCAAGGTGAGCCACCCTCTTGACTGTCGTGACTATACTTGGAAATTCGCTTGATGTTGATGCCTCAAAAGTGAAGACAGCCATGAGGATCCCCGGGGCGCGCGTCGTCACTTTCGGAGCTTCGTTTCGGGTTCACGCAACACTATTACGAGGATGAGGCACCTGCGTCACCTGCGGTGCCCCATCCTCGTGGCAGCGTACTGGGCGCCTTGGGCCGACAAGCTCCGCGGCCGATCGTCGCGCACAGGGGCGAGCTGCGGAATCGTTGCGGGTGCCTGGCTTGACTGTGCCAACATTGGGATGACTCCTCCACCAGGCACGCCACGCGAGTGTGCGATCATACAGTGAACTATAGCAACAACAATGTTTCATCGGGATTCAATCTTTCGACCTACCCGAACTGCTCTTCCTGGACTTGTTGTTCAAGGACTCTGCCTTAGGGCGCCATATCCTTTCACCATTTCCCCAAGCGACCTCCCCGAGTTTTGAAAAGAACGGATGACTTCTGGTATGTGGTCATGCAATCCATGATTATCCAGTCCGGATGAACTCACAAGGCTGTTGAGGATTGCCGCTCGGGGTCTGCGTTTGAAATGGTTTGGTGAAAGGTTTGGCGCTTAAGAGGCCTTGTGATGTGACACGTTCCCGCTATAGCGTGGACTGGGCATCCCGCAGCCATACTCTGGCGCTGTGCTGCAAGCGCCGCATGCGAAACGCTGATGTACGTAGCTCACACTCGGTCCGCATCTTCCGAGGCCTCCTCCGCCTCATGCCGCCTCATTCCGCCACGCGCAGCTCGTACCCATCACGCAGATTGTACGTGTCTCTGTGTGGCCACATACCGTTCCTCAACCCGGAAACCTTGGACATTGCGAAGGGCAGAGGCCGCTGCGCGAGAGCCGCGGCTGCGGCGGGATGGCAGTGCATGTAAGACCACTGTAAGACCTCCCAACATCCTGTGTCCACGACTTAGACGCTTCGCTCCTCAACACCTCACTTCGGGGTCGCTGCCTGCGATCCGCCAGCTGATAGGACTACCGAATACTACCGAGATGCCCCTTTTTGCCTCCACGAGCGTCGCGCAGTCTTCTGTCCGGCTCTCAGGCTCCGATGGCGTCGACCTGAAAACATCGTGGCGCCCACAACAGTTCGACATGAATGGCCCTGAGAAGCCGGCGCGACGAGCTTTGCACGCTCGAGGGCCACTTGACCAAGCTCACTGCTTGCAACTGCCTGCTGCAATCCACATGGTGGACCAAGTTCGCCATACAGCACATGGCAAGACGCGGCCGCCTCTGTCAGCTCGCGGAATGTGATCGCAACTCGAGGTCCAGAGATGTCCTCCAAAGCGCTTCGCATGTCTGCTTTTGGCACAGGCCACGCGCACCTCTGCAAGTAGCCCATGCTGCCAGTCGACACGCACCCGCCCGCTGATTAAGTACCTGGAGCAGATGCGTTTGTCTTCTGGGCCCTTCCCTTCCGCTGGCTACCCGATGGTGGCCCACAGCGCACGCCGACCGCCTTGGCAGTGGGACCCTGACCACAACCTTCCATCAATGCAAGGTCTCAAGGTTTGAATCGCAAGTTTATTGGCAGGAGCCATGTCAGAAAACTTGCGACAGCCTGATTCACCGGTTCGTAGAATGTGAAGACCTTGTCTGAGACAGGCGTGTCAGTAGTCGACACAGAAATCATCTGACCCATGAGGAGTGTGTGTGTGTGTTGTATTTTATTATGTACATTTTTTGGGGTGGGGGCGGATTTGGATGGGAAATCACATCTTCAGTATAATACAAAAAAAGCCTTTCTCCAGTCACTAGATTTCGTTTATCTGGTCCAATGCCCTAGTACAAACTTCCTTCATCTTCCACACTCGGAAGAGTTGTTGGAGCTCATGTGGACGGATGTCCGTCGACAGCTCTGAACAACTCCTGGAGGAGATGGGGGTGTACAGGAAGCCATGTATTGCACCGAGTTCTGACTCACCAGTAGTTTTGGAGCTGCTTCCATACAGGCGTAAACATAGAACTCTGAGCCCGAAGCCCGAAACCATGGACCCCGCAACAAAACATGGAACCCCCATCCCAAAATTCAATCCGCAAGAGAGATCACTGATAACTTTTTGGAAGCTTTGCCGAATTGGCGATTCGCCCTAGATAAACCCTGCACCCTTACAACCACCGAAACCCTAACCCATGGAAACCAAAAAAAAGCGAACTGGGGAGCTGGCCGACGCACTTTGCATCGATACGCCAAGGATGCGGTCTCCCCAGAGCCAGAGATCATCTACCTGCAGGTGTGGGGATCTGGGCGTTTCGGTTTTGCGGGTATTGAGGGTTGAGGGTTGAGGGTTGAGGGTTTAGGGTTTAGGGGGGCTCAAAAGGGTTTGAAGAGTCAGTGAATGTTTGGGCTTCCTCTGCTGAGGCACGCCCACGCTCTGGGTTTTTGGGCGCCGCCGTGTCACAGCAGGTACATGCAGGTACCAAAAACGGGCCCCCAGTGTAGGAAACCTGCCAGGTGCCGCCAGGGCACGTGCAAAGCATGGTTTGCTCCACGATCTGCGTCGTACCTGCAGGGCACCAAAGAATGGAGGACCCAGCCATCGCGCCCACATCGCGGATTCCGAGATTAGGGGTACCTTCTTGGGGTCCTGAGAGAGAGAGAGAGAGAGAGAGAGAGAGAGAGAGAGAGAGAGAGGGAATCCTACTTACTGCTTGGGGACCTATATGTTGGAGGTCGCCTTTTTTTCGCAAGCCCCCCGGTATCTCGGAGCCCGCACCATAAAGAGAGGCACTCCACGGCTTGGAAGCCTTGATCCATGAGACTTGGGATGTTTCCCCCCCTCTTCTACTAACCGTCCTGGATACAAGTAGGGATGATCATAGTGGGGGGTTTAGGGTTTAGGGTTTAGGGTTTAGGGTTTAGGCTTTAGGGTTTAGGGTTTAGGGTTTAGGGTTTAGGGTTTAGGGTTTAGGGTTTGAGGTTTGAGGTTTGAGGTTTAGGGTTTAGGGTTGGGTTTAAGGTGTGTGGGGGACGCATCCCAACATGAGAGTCCACTGTGTAAGACTTCCATTGCGGGGAGCTGCGAGGCCCCCACCCCGCAAAGTCGCGGAGCCTTGGCTTTCTAGTGTGATCCTTTCGGGTTTTGGGTTTAGGGTTTAGGGTTTAGGGTTTAGGGTTTAGGGTATAGGCTTGAAGGGTTTCAGTGTCCCTCGCACTCGCTGGGGTGCGGGACGGCCAAGGAGGTTGGACAAGAGCTGGTGCGACCACGACGGGAAGCCATTCCAGGTCTCAGGCACCTTTTTTTGCACGGCAAAACAGGGTTTAGGGTTTAAGGTCCACTCGAAACTGCCCGCAGAACCCTTTAAAGCGGCCTTGACCTGCTGTTTTTTGAAGTTGGCCTTTGGGCCGAAGTCCTGCCAAGCTCAAGCGATCGACCGAACTTTTTGGGTACCCTTCTGAGGTTCAGGGCTGTTCCAGGGTATCTTCGGAGAGCGCCAGTCCTGCTTCCACCTCCCGCTCTGTGAGGGCTGCCAGGGCCAAGCCTTCCAAGCAACCCGGCTGGACGAGTTCAAAGGTTCTTGCAGTCATGCCTGCAGTTGTGCCAGGGTCTCCATCTCCATGTCCTCTCCACCAGGAAACACCTGTCTAGGGGTTCAGGAGTTCAGCCAAGCGTTTCAGGGCGCCTTGCAACTTTGGAGCATCGAGCTTAAGTTGGCACCTCGTGGAAGAGCTCCAGACCATCAAAGGGCACCTCGTTGACATGAGAAGGCTCGGCAGGGGAGCACTGTAAAACCCTAAAACCCTAAACCCTAAAACCCTAAAAACCCTAAACCCCAAACCCTAAAACCCTAACCCTGGAACACAATTTCTGCACTAAGGGTGATTTTCCATTCTGGAACCACTGACGTCCCAGGTCACCTCGAGGTCGGCTCCTGAGATCCTCTCGCCATCCTCACTGCGCAGCCAACAGCCTCCCCAAGTGGCTCATTAAGGGTTTAGGGTTTAGGGTTTAGGGTTCAGGGTTTAGGGTTCAGGGTTTAGGGTTTAGGGTGTATAGGGTTTAGGGTTTCAGGTTTAGTGTTTAGGGTTCAGGCCTTAGGGCGGGCCAAGGTGTGTCCAAGAGAGAGAGAGAGAGAGAGAGAGAGAGAGAGAGACAGAGTTAGAGAGAGTTGGAGAGAGCGAGCGAGCGAGCGAGCGTTCCGCAGAAACCTCTTTCTTCATGCAATTGCATCTCTTCATTCTCGCAGACACCGGTCTCTGCTGCTCTCCGCAGAGCTGCAGACTCATGTTGGAAAGCTCGTGCTCCTCCCCAACTGACTGCGAACTTCAACGCACACGCGCTGCGTTGCCAGCAGCTACCCTAAACCTTGTAAACCCTGAACCCCGAACCCTAAACCCTAAACCCTAAACCCTAAACCCTGAACCCTAAACCCTAAACCCTAAACCCTAAGCTTGTAAATGCTGGGGAGCGGCTGCTGGCACAGAAGAGCTGCGCTGCTTCGGCATGCTCGAATTAGGCTCTGCTTGCCACAGGGCCGGCATCAAGGCCCAAGGAACGCAGCAACAAAAAAGTTATAATAACAACAAATAAATAAATAAATACATAAATAGATAAATAAACAATGATCATAATAATAACAAATAAATAAAAAAATAACAATAATGATGATGATAATAGTAGACATAATAACAAAAAATGACAAAGAAACCAACACATCCAACTCAGCAACTCTCAGTCGCAAGGTCCCTTCGTGAACTTCAGGACTCCTTGCGGCCTTGGCTCCGAGCTACGGCTTTTGTCGAAGGACCGGATTTTCCCAGTCACTTCGGAGATGCTCGCGTGGCTTTAGGGTTTAGGGTTTAGGGTTTAGGGTTTAGGGTTGAGGGTTTAGGGTTTAGGGTTTAGGGTTCAGGGTTCAGGGTTTAGGGTTTAGGGTTTAGGGTTTAGGGTTTAGGGTTTAGGGTTTAGGGTTTAGGGTTTAGGGTTTAGGGTTTAGGGTTTAGGGTTGGGCCCTCTGCAACATGCACGTTCCATCGACATGTATAATGCTTGAGAGGCCACCTTGAGCGCGAGGTGAAATTGTTGAGTAGTCGGTGAGACATGTCCAGCAAGCAGACACCGGGAAACCAAGAACTGGTGTCACCAAGAACCCTAAGTCAGGTCGACTTCCGCAGCAGAAGCCCACAAACCGACCCTCCTTTGAACCCCCACATGGCTGTCAGCTTCGCCCACATTGCGTTTACAAGCATCGACTCCGTGTTGGAGGAGCTGGGGTGTGCACAGCGCGCGAGGGGGGTTGTTCAACATTAGGGTTCTAGAAAAAGCTACCAGCAGCCACCATTTTGCAAGATTTCCTCATCAGGTTCTCCAAAAAAAGCACCAAGATTTGAAACCACCACCGCACGCGGAGACCTGCAGGTCTAGTCTTCCTCTGCGATCTCCTCATCCACATCCTCGCCGGCCTAAGGTGGGTCAGAGTGACTCTGGGGTCCTATACTTGGAGGTTCAGGGTAGACTTATAACCCCAACTATAACTGTATTTATAAGCCCCCGAAGTCCTCCAAGCAGGTTACAAGTAGACTTAGAATTGGGCTTATAAGTAGCCACGAACCTCCAAGTATGGGGTCCTATACTTGTGGGACCCCATACCCCACTGCAAAGAAGCCCCACACCGGTTGACTTGGGTCTTACTTCGGGTAGGGAGGAGCATACAGGAATTGTATAGCTTGGCCAGTCAACATGCTGAGGCCCATAACCCGAAAGGGCTCGCCAAAAACCCTGACACTTTTGCCCCGAAGTCACCGGCTCCTGGACTCGAAACTTTAAGCTTAAACAGTAACATGCTCTTAGAACAAGAACTCAACCTTTGCAAGGCTCCGCAACCATAATAAACGAGGGCACGATGCCACGGACAGCATCGTCTCACTGGATCGCAGAGTCCGCAATCCACCCTGAACACCTTAAGAGCCCCCCATTCAAACACCGAGGTCCCCAAAGCCCCAAAACCCCCAAAAACCCAGCAACCCTAAACCCTAAACCCTAAACCCTAAACCCTAAACCCTAAACCCTAAACCCTGCAACTGTTACTTTCTGAGAAAGCCGCAGGTGCGGCTGGAGCTGCTTCCGACTCTGGAAGCGGTTGCCCAACAGCACCTGCAAGACTCTGACTTTTGGGTGACTGACACTCGAGGGTGAGGGATCAACAAACCAAGATCCCTGGCTCCCAAAAGAGGCCAGCATCTGTTCAAGTTGAACCTGTTCAAGGTGAGCGCGTCTGGTGTTCTTTCGGTTCGATACTGGAGTTTCATATGCTTGCATGAGCTCATACGAATGTCCAATGTTCATGTGTAGGCGTAGCAGTTGCAGTAGTAGGAGAAGCAGTTGCCGTCGTAGTAGTCGAGGGGCGCGCTGCCCCACCAACTTGCAAACATGAAACTAAAGAATAGCAGATGATCCTCATTTCCAAGCAGAATGACCAGATCATGCTCTTTGTACGGCTGGCAACCGTGCAAGGCTCTGAAGAAGCTTTAACTTGAAGGGAGCGCAGGGTGATGATGCCCTGCAAGGAATTTAAGGCCCCTAAGCCCTAAACCCTAAACCCTAAACCCTAAACCCTAAACCCTAAACCCCCTACAGCTCCATACTGGTGGCACCGTAGATGCGCTCGAGCAGGGCTCTGTCCAGGTACGGCGTCAGCACGATGCCGCGCTCTCTCATGCGCTCCACCGTCCTAGCAGGCAAGACTCGCTGCTCGAGCGGCCGCTTGAGACGCGTGAGTTTAAGAAAATAATGATGATAATGATAATCATAATACAATTAATAATAATAAGAATACTAATGATACTAATAATTGCAATAGTAATATATAGTAATTAATCATAATAGAAAAATAGCCATGTTCAGTCTTCAGGCTAGTCTATGGCAGAGCGCAGAGCACCCTCCTGTACGCAGAATTGTAGTCGTTAAACTCAACGTAATATTCCACAAGCTGCGCAAAGATGTCGCCGATCCGGACCTCACTACATAGAATCATCAATGCGGCGGCCGTGTCAAAGTGTTGTGACAGTCAGGTGCCGGACTGCAGCGTCTATGTCTGGCAGAGTCACCATCCTTTCGCAGACCTGAAACTCGGGCACTCTGCATGTCAAGCTGGCCTACAGGATAGATGAAGGCGACGGTTCCAACTAGCTCATACAAGTACCAAGTACTTCTTCAACATGAAAAGGCGAGAAAGCCAGAGTCTCTCAAACCCACTGAGAGGCCGCACGGCAACCATTTGATCTGGCTCAGTTTTGGCCATCTTCCTTCAGTGCAACGTCTGCATGGAGCTGCTACGTGCTGCCAGGTACAAAGATCAGTTCTCCGAACTTGCATCTGGCTAAAGTGGCGTCGTATGACCCGCCCCACACACGCCTTGCCTGACATTGGCAAACTCGTCAACAAGAGCGATCCGGTTCTGCAGCGAGATCACCTGCCACGTCCCACGTTGTGGAATCATCTCATGAGACACTTTCCGAAAGGGGCGTCTTGCACCTTGCCCATTGAAGCACTGCTGGATCACCGTTTCAATCGAAAGCCGCAACCAAGGCAGGAGGGCTCGCTCGTCGCTTTCGGCAGTGTCGCCAGCTGCCTGAGCTGCATGGACTTGCCCCGAAAACCCCAAAATATCCCTACAAACCCTGCTTTTACAAGACTCTGTCAATGTTGCGGGGGCTCCAGCCTTGGCCATGTACTTCAAGGCCTCGCGCAGCGCGCCACCCGCCTTCTCATAGTCCCTGTACTCGTCAACCTCCACCTGCCACAGGAGCCCCCCAACATGCTCAGTTGAGATCTCCCGGAGGCTTCCAGCCTTTGACCTTCCGGAAGCGTGTGCTGCAACCGTACACACTGTGTACTCTGAAGAGCAGTAAGCCAAGAGACGACAGATGCCAAGTCGGGAGTGGTAATACCTGGAACACCTGTAACACCTGTAACACTTGTAACACATGCAACACCTGCAACACCTTCAACACATGCACCAGATGCAACACATGCAGCACATGTGGTACATGTGGTACACGTGGTACATGTAGTGGTATTACATGTCATACAAGTAGTTGCTATCCGACATTCCCTGGACCCCTTTCACTCCACCTGAGCACAAGCATCGTAGAAGGAAGCCAATTTGTCGTACGCCTGGATTCAGCAGGCTCAAAGAGGTTTGCCATGATGCTGACAGGCAATGACGCCACAAAGTCAACCTGATCACGCACGTTTTGGCTCTTGTTCCGTGTCCCGCCTTGGCTTTGCTGTAGAACTGAATGATGTTCCTTGGATGCAGATTCCGAGCCCGCTGGCAAGAGGATGTCTTGCGGATGCTGCTTTGGTCCAAGTAGCTTCATGATGTCCGGATCAGCGTGCCCTTAGAACTGTCGAAGATTGCAAGTTTAAGCGGAGTTGCAGTGTCTCGCAAGACTCTTGCAAACGACACGTAATAAGTTGCTCACAGTCCAAGCTCTGCAGGTAGTTCCTGAGGGGGGCCCAGGCATCAAACTGCTCGAGCGCTGCTGCCAGTCTGGTCTGCGCAGGCGCACCCGGCCAAGACGTAGATGTCGGGCCTTGCTCCGGGTTAGTAGGGTTTACAGCTGCTTTCGGGCTTAGTTATTCAGAGTTAGGCGTCTGCGGTTTGGAGTCTGGTTTAGGGTTTTAGGGTTTAGGGTTTAGGGCTTAGGGTTTAGGGTTTAGGGTTTAGGGTGTTAGGATGTTTTAGGGCTTAGGCGGTTCTCTGATCCTGCGCACCCACGGAGACTGAGAATGGCACTGTCGCGCAGTGCCAGCGAAGAAGATGATCTTCTCTGTATCGCCGCTGTTAAGCAGGCTCTTCATCGCCTTGCCCATGAGGCTCAGGGCCCTAAACCCTAAACCCTAAACCCTAAACCCTAAACCCTAAACCCAAGCGGTACAGTACAGCAAGCAGTCCCTTGGCAGAGGGGTCGCCTTGAGCTTGTCTCCGGCCTCGCTTCAGCAATACGTCTGGGAACTGTGGAGAGGTCACAGGTTGTAATCTCATAATATTATAATATTATAATATTATAATATTATAATATTATAATATTATAATATTATCATATTATAATATTATAATATTATAATATTATAATATTATAATATTATAATATTATAAACATATAATATTATAATATTATAATATTATAATATCATAGTATTATAATATCATAATATTATACTATTCTAATATTATAATATTATAATACTATAATACTATAATTTTTAATATTTAATATATATTATATATTATATATTATCATATATATATTATTATAATATTATAATATGATAATCATATAATATTATAATAGTATAATATTATATACATTACATATTATTGCATACTAGATATTAGATATTAGATATTAGATATTAGACATTAGATATTATTTATTATATATTATATATTGTACATTACATCTGCAGTGTTGGCCCGTCTGGGCCTGGGTGAACTTCTTGCAGGCAAGCTGGAAGGATCCTTGCTTCTTGCAGAGCTTGCCAATGTCCTTCCCAAGACAGGCATCCTTGCGAGCCCTCCGAAAGGGTTTAGGGTTTAGGGTTTAGGGTTTAGGGTTTAGGGCTTAGGGCTTAGGGTTTAGGATTTAGGGTTTAGGGTTTAGGGCTTAGGGTTTAGGGTTTAGGGTTTAGGGTTTAGGGTTTAGGGTTTAGGGTTTAGCGATCCATGTCGGGGAGTCCTCAAGATGTTGGGGGGGGGGGGAGGGGTGTCGTCTTAAACCGAACTTCCTTCCAGGTGTTGCATGCTATGACTCCCTTCGCAAGAAGGGACCTGATACAGAACCCCCAGATCTCCTGCAAAATCTCTGACCTGGAGGTGGCGTCCATACCTCGGGCAGATCGACATCAAGCGCACGAAGCCTTCACTCGGCCATCATCTGCGTCTCAGCCCGCGGCTACCTTTGTCTGGGGTCATCCGCTCCGCCATGTCCTGCATGGCAGAAACACGAATCAAGGTCCCTGCTTCGGTCTCCTTTTTTCACAAGGGCTTCTTAAGATCCAAACAGAACACCTGCAAGGAACAGCAACCATGTAGCAAGATAGTTGTTAGTTGTCTGCTAACCACCCTTTATAGCATCTGCTTCAGGGGGGCAGCAACGCCTCGGTGATGTGGACATCGTGCTCAGTGCATAGCCTTTGCCGGGGCCCCGAAAAGCAGCAAAGTTCTTGAACGCTCGGGCACTCAGTGGCCTGAAAGCTGACTTGCCACTGCTGATGTTTCTGGGATCGTGCCAAATCTCTTGCAACCGCTATTTTCGGCATGAAGTCAGAAGCTGGAACAACCTGCTGCGGACAAGTGGCTGCACTGCTCTGTCATACTGCTTTGAGATGGACAGCCTCGGGGCACACACGCTTCTGCTTCACAGCAGCAGCAGCAGCAGCAGCAGCAGCAGCAGCAGCAGCAGCAGGTTAAACGAAGCTTGTATTCGCAAGATTCTGAGTCTCGCACAGGTGGACCGCTTTGTCATGCTGCTCATGCTGCATGAAAAACTCGGCACCTGAAAGTTGAAAGCACCAGGTGGCCGCGCAACGCACGCGTTACAAGAAGGCGACAACAGATAACGAATCTCTTCTCGGGCATTCGCATTTCGCAAGTATCGCAGGATCCTCGGCGCTTGTCAGGCTAGACTTGGAGGACACGCGATGGCCCTAAGTTTACTAAGCTGCGGAAGCTTGGCCTCGGAATCAAGGCTCGCCTTTCTTTTCCGTGGCCGCCAGTCTCTGGGAGAAGCTCCACAGCAGCCAGACCAGTTAGGGCCGGTTTCTGTGCGGGGCGAGAGGCCTGAGAGGCAGGCCTCTCAGGTGACAAACGTAGAGGCAAGACACGCGGCGCTCGACGTCATCAGCCGCGTTGCACCCTGAATGCGAGAGGATGGGGCATTCGGAGATGATCCGCTCACACCTACTTGAGTTTTGCACGGCGTATGAGGCTAAAGAGCATTCACAAGCCTCTAGTTGATGCTGCCAGATACCATCCCCTGAGGGTGCGCTTCTATCATCTGACACAGGCTGCGATCAAAATCGCAGATGCGTCGCACTTCATCTGAAGCACAGCTAGATGCTGCAGAGAGATCCGCAGCTGAATTGGCAATCAACGAATTTCCGATTTCCCCTGGAAATTCTCTCAGAGAAGCGGAAGCTGCCAGACCATACCGCGAACTTGGAGGTTCATGGTACTTATGAACCAATTAGAACTGTACTTATAACTCACTGATAAGCCCCCCCTAAGTGGCCTAATATGGTTAAAATGGGCTAATAGTATTGCAGCAGCCAACGAACTGTACTTTGCTGCTGGTGGTCTCGGTTTTTTTGGCAGCCGACGGCGATCTAGACTATTGCACGTCTTCGGCAGCTTGCACCATGAACACGTGTACACATGTATATGTAGGGCTCTCTCTCCTCCTGGCTGACATACCATGACGTTGCCAGCAGTGTGAATTGTACCGCCAACGCTATCACCGAAGACGGGTCATGGTGCTCTCATGTTCGCACGTCGTTCTGATTCGCTATGGGCGTCAGGCTGCCACGGCTGCGGCCGTCACGGCGGCGGGAACACGTCCGGTCAGAGGGTCCGTCCCAATGGGGCGCCTTGTCAGCTGGTGCCCAGCAACAGTCGGGTTGCTCTTCTAAGTGCCTGGCCTGAAGAGTAAAATGTGCGGCTCAGGGCGATGGAACTCATAGTGGACCCATCCACGGCTTTGCTGTACGCCCACCTTGAGCACAAAGAGTTCATTTTAAGAGAGGACCTTCGTTCTCCCCAACAGGACACCCAACATACGCAAGGCGCCCATAAAATCACACTCGCCAAAAACTACGGGACCCCACCTCCTCTGCATGCTGTGGCTCTGCAAGGGGAGGAAGTCACTCTTAAAACTCTATACTTGGAGCCACTATACTCGCTCACTAGCGCAAGAACTCTCTTCGGAAGGTCTCCCTCGCCCTGTGCAGCAACGTGACGCTCCGCCACTCGTCTTCTGCAAGAAAGCCTGGTCGAAGGCTGTGCGAAGCGAGGGAACGTGAGGGCAAGAGGAGCTGAGCACGCCACGCTTGCCGCCCCCTGTCATCTTCCAAACTTCCTGCAAAATGCAGATTTATTTAACCCTAACCTTCCCTAAACCCCGAACACTCGACATGACGGGGGCCCTTCTCGAGTCTCTACACCATCGCAAGCTTGCGGGCACCCCAAGAAAAGAGCACATCAGCCCTTTCAAGGGGATTTCCTGCAAAAGAGGCTACTGCAGCTGCGACTGAACAGGCGGATGCTGCTCTAAGAGACTACGGCAGCTACCAAATTTGGAACAAGCCGACGTTCACGTGTTTAGAGGGAGGTATGGTGCTGAGTGCTTCAAGCATTCAGGGCCAGAAGATTCCGCGGTGCGCCTTTGCAGCCTGCTTGTTCAAGATCACGTGTCGGTACTCATACCTCTCATCCTGCAAGGACAACCATGGCAGATATGGGAGTGTGTATGATAAGAAGGGGCCCCCAATATAGACCCCAAGATAAATGGAATTGCAATAAAGACCCCAGTCATGTACCCCCTAATTTCGGAAACCCCCATCACAATCGCCTGGTAGCGCTCGGAGTACTCAATCTCATCAGGGTAGTGCACCATGGCCTGCCACAAGGCAAGGAGGAAATTCATCTGCAGATTTGCCGTTGTATAAGGGAGTCTGAGAGTCTGAGGTGCGGACTTTTCTAGTGGTCTTGCTTGTTAGCTGTGAACGTCCCAGACTACCACACGGCTGCAGGCTGCGGCGGCGGCTGAGGGATTAGGGTCAGGCGCAAGCAAACAGCCCCCTTACAGGAAGTTTGTCTTCAAATCAAAGTGAGCTCTCCATTTTACATCCAAAGCCACACAACTCTGATTGTAGCGATGCTGTGTGAAGGTCGAGCGTACGACACTGAGTTGTCGACACTCTCTGCACTGAGATCATCTGCAATCTTGCGCAGAGCATCGAAGAGCCGTGCAGAGAAGCACAACTCCAGTGCCCTGCGGATGGGAAGATTCGAAAAGGCTGCATGGGGTGGCTGCGCTGTAGGGAGTGCAGCATGTGGTATTGCAGGGCTTCAACCACAGCCTCTTCTGCTGACCAGCTTTCTGATAGAGAATGACCTCGCATCCACTGCACAATTGCAGCTCGGAGTGAGACTGTGTGTGAGTGTGTGTGTGTGTGTGTGTCTGGGCACGCACGCACTTGAAGGCTCGGGTTTGCGTCTGGCACAATGTTGGGCCTGTCTGCATCTGTTGCGTCCGTCGGGGTATCTGGGGCTGCGGCTGCTTTCTGAGGCTGCCCACGCTGCTCATAATACTTGGCGGCCTGCACACCAGCACTGCACACTTCTGCATGTCCGTAGTCGAAGATATCCTGGCATCCCGTCGTGCCTGCGCCATGCTCTGAGGATCTGCAGAGAGTGCAAGGCTCATGAGATCTCCATCGAAGTTGTTCTCCTGAACTAAAGTATGGAAGGACTCACCAAAAAAAGGGGTTTTCGTGGCCCTGCGTCTTCCGACGGATATGCTCAGCTTCTAGACAACCTAGCATTTCCCTGAGACTAGTTATTGAGACAGCAAAAACGCCCTGCAAGGGGCTCTCAACCCCTAAAACCCCCCCAAGGCCGTGAGCAACTGTCCTGAGCAAGGCGCAGCGCATGGCCCACACGCCCGGCCATCTGGAAGAAGTGGATGGCCTCCTTGAAGTTGCCTCCGGCCTTCAAGAAAGGTGTCTATAAGGGCTGGGGGTTTCAGTTTCAGGCGCTTGGGGCTTTGAGCTTTATAGGACTATGGCTTCACATTGAGACCCGAAACCCTAAACCCTAAACCCTATTGAGAGCTTGGGGTTTCGGGCTTTGGGAGTACGACCCTTCCATGGCCTCCAAGTGCCTGGCAAGGTGGTAGCAGGCTGCTTGATCCTGCCCGCTGGCATGTTGTTTCTGAGATTTCGAGTGGCCACCCCAGTAGGATTCCCTCATAACAAGGACGCCAATAAGGTACCCCTAACATCATAAACCCTCATATCCAGCCAGATTCTAAGTCGGGTCTCCTGAGAGTCCTCGCAGATCCTCTGCGCGCTCTCCAGATCCTGTCAGTACTCGCGGACTCAACCCCTCAAACCCCAGAACCCCGAAACCCTAAACCCCCAAACCCTAGAGCCAACCCTAAATCGTGTAAACCCGAAGCTCCCTAAACCCTAAATTCCCTGAACCCTACACTCCCCAAACCCTAAACTCCCTAAACCCTAAACTCCCTAAACCCTACACTCCCCAAAACCCTATACTCCCTAAACCCTAGACTCCTAAAACCCTAGACTCCCCAAACCCTAAACTCCCTAAACCCTAAACCCTAAACCCCAAACCCTAAACCCTAAACTCCCCAAACCCTAAACTCCCCAAACCCTAAACCCTAACTCCCTAAACCCTAAACCCTAAACCCTGAACACCCTGAACCCCACGGGGCACCTCGTTGAAGCATGCGACGCGGCACAGGCTGAGCCAGTCCCCAGCCTGTAGGGTTTGGGGCCTTAGGGTTGAGGGTTTTGGGTTTTGGGGTTTAGGGTTTAGGGTTTAGGGTTTGGGGTTTAGGGTTTAGGGCTTGGGGCTTTAGGATTGTGGACCGTTAGGCCTTACATGTTTAGGGTTTGGGGTTCACGGCTTTAGGGCTTTAGGGCTTCAGGGCTTGAGGGCTGTAGGGCTGTAGGGCTTACGCGCCCTAGGATTTAGGGCTTTAGGGTTCAGGGCTGTAGGAGCTTAGGTTTGTGGGGCTCAGGGTTGTAGGTTTCTGGCGTTCAGGGGCGACCCCAAACCAAAGCCTTGAAACCCTGAACCTCTAAAAAACCTAAACCCTAAAACCCGAACCCCTAAATCCTTGAGACCCTAAAACCCCTAAATCCCTGAAACCCTAAAAGCCTAAACCCTGAAAACTTGAAACCTAACGAACTGAACCCCGAAACCCTACAATCCCTAAAGCTCTAAACCCTAAACCTGAAAACCCGCAACGCCGTAACCCTGAAACCCAGACTAAAATCCTAAAACCCTAATAAAAAACCACTAAGCCCTAAACAATGAAGCCCTGAAACCATGTGATCCCAAAATCTTGAACCCCTAAAGCCCTGAAACCCTAAAATTGCCCTCCAAAGACTAAAACCCGACAACCTCTAAAGCCCTCAAACTCTGAAACCCTACACCCAGAAACCCTAAAACATCGAAACCCCAAAACCCAGAAACCCGAAAACCCTGAACCCCTAAAACCCTACAAGCCCCTGAACCCTAAACCCTAAAACAAGTGAAGCCCTGAAACCCTAAACGCCTAAACCGTGAAAACCTAGAAAAAAAAAAAAAAGCGAAAGCCCTAAACCCCTAAACCCTCAAGCCCTAAAACCGTGAAACCCTAAAACCCCTGAAACACAAAAACCCAAGGACCTGGTTTGTGTGTCCGAGGGTTTTGTTGCCATGTCTTGACGCTTTACACGTCGAGAAGAGTTTGAGAAGAGTATTGAAGCACTCAAACCCTGCGACAAAAAATCCTGAACGCCTAAAGCCCTGAAACCCTGAAACACCTCAACCCTGAAACCCCAAAAAACTCCCAAAACCCCGGAAGCCCCAAACCCTAAAAAACTGAAACTATGCTTACCCTGAACCAAGCCCTAAACCCTCAACCCTAAATCCTAAACCCTAATCCCTAGGGTCTGTTATAGGAGCTGCCGTGATGGTTTTGAAAGCTGTGAAGGGGCTTGGAGAGTTTGCGGCTCGGGGGTCTGGATGAGTGCGGGCCTTCTTGTACTCTCGCGAGGCGCCATCCAAGTCCGCCTTTGACTCCAAGTACTGGGCATACCTGTGCGTCGCTTCTGCAGGCATGTGCATCTGCACTCTCTCTTGGATCTCTTTCGTCCAGTCCTGCATCCTGGTCATCTAGACTTCATGGGCAGCGCAAGAGTATGTACTGAGGCAAGTCTCCAAGCGGCGCACCATCTGTGAAGCTGCGAGTCGTCACTCTGCTCAACATAGCTACCCAGGTCCTCCAAAGTGTTCAGTTCTGATTGGAATCTAAGACGCAAAGGGCAAACTCATCCAGGTCGCTCAGTCAAATCAAACTCACTATGGCGCCTCTGTCATGCCCATGGAGCAGAGCCTAAGTTTCTCCGCGACTCAAGGCAGTGTCGGCAACAGCGTGGACGGAATCAGACATGAAAGAAGACCGAGTCAGCAAACAGCCAAGACTGAGCGAGAAATCGAGTCCGACACGAGTCAAGAGAACAAACAGGGAGCCCATCCCAGGTAAATGTAAAATCCATGTGAGCGGTCCACCCACGCCCGCAGAGAGACACCCGAGCCCCTGCCTGCGACACCCAATTCCCGCCTGTTCAGTACCAGCCAATACCATCCAGCCCATTCCCGCCCTTTCTGTCCCGAAGCATTCAGGACGAAGAGGGGAGCCTTCTTTGGCCCCAAGCGCCCAAATTCGAAGAGACCATTCAGTCCCACCACACCTCCCCGAGACCGGTCTCGGTCCCATTCGGTATAGGGCCCAGATTATTCACAGGACACGCAACTTGCAACAAATGTTCACCAATGTTCAGGGTTGTATGCATCTGTTAGTCTGTTTTCCGCCCAGCGATTTTCTTTGCTCGCGAGGTGACCGCCGACACTTGTCCTGACTCGACCGTCACTCGGAACGAAACCGATTCCACACAGATCCTGGATAGGCCCCGAACAGGCGCGGGGACTCGGTGCGGTAGGTACCAGAGAGCTCATAGTGGGTCAGTGCTCCTTGCACATCCTGACATCAGTACTGGGACCATGAACAAAACCCCACTAGACCCCCTAAACTGAAACCCTAAACTCCCCTAAAACCATCCTAAGGCCCTCCCCTGACGCCTCCACCGCCTCACAGTGCTGCGCGTAAGCGTAGTGGGTCGGCTTTAGATGAATGCGATCCTCACACAGTGCGATGCTCAGAATGCAACTTAGGGCTTAGGGTTTATGAGCTCGGAGGCAATGAAACCTACACGGAACCCTGCATCCGTACCTCCCAAGCCCTGAATCAGTCCTTCGTCTTCGCAATTTCCAGGGCCTTCTCCCACCTAAGGCGGCCATGCACTTGTGCGAAAGGCTTGATGGCAGAGCCAACAAACTTGGCATGTTCACCGCAGCTATCTGAGCGGGTGGCGAGCCACACGCCTCTCAACAACTCATGGGTAATGAGCAGGCGGTTCAGGAAAGCGGCTTTCTTTGCGTGCTCTCAGGATTCGAGCAGCTGACCTGGTACAGCTGATTCAGCAAGTCGAACCTTCCGCACTTCTTCCTGGCATGGTTCTCAACGAGCCGAATCACAAACCTGCAGCATCCTAACCTCTTAACCGCTTCATGCTTACTGCCATGCTCACCGTAATGCCGACACATGCTCGCACAACTCCGCCAGGCTAGCAACAACTGCTCCGCATCATCGACCATGTCCAGGTGAACGGCAACAATTGCCAAGCGTGCCTGACGCTGTAGGGTCCCTCTGCTCTGTGCCTCTGTGCTCTGCTCTGTGCCTCTGGGCTCTGCTCTGGTTCTGTCTCCGCGCTGTATCTGTGGTGCTGTGCATGAAAGAAATTGGCGCAAGAACATCAAGGTCATCCTGTTCGCAGCTGGGACCAGTACAACCGCAAGCAAGCATGCTTAACAACCCTACAACCCTCACACTATCTTCAGCGCATTACCCCTCCTGATTCTTCACAGTGATCTCGCAGTCTCCCCAGGCGCTGGCAGCGCATCTACAGCAACGAGAGCCCATCTCCCTCCCAACGAATTTGGCAATGGCTTTAGTTTGTTTACCTCCCGGGACTACTCTGCGAACTCGGTTTGTTGGGGCCGCTATAATCACAACTTCCGGAGGGTTGTCTGCTTGAAGGTTTGTTTGTAAGGGTTATAACGGTTTAGGGTTTGTCTCACTCCTGAGCGAGCCTAAGCCAGCAGTCTGAGGTTCTTCCCCAAAAAACTCAGGTACAGAGCTTCTCTCAGGCTCAGCTGACGGCCTTAAGGGGCCTTGGGCTCCAGGAATCTTAGGCAGCCCCAGCCCGGAGAATCCGTGAAGCTATGTCTGGCCACTTCCATCAACAACCATTTCTAAATCATCTGACAAGATGAGGCCCCCAACAAATTTCGTGAAAGGGTCCATTTCTTTATCGAATTTAGAGAGGGTCCCAGATTTGCTTAGGGGCGGGGGCCCTTTACTGAACCCAGTGCAACATTCGTCGAGTCTCTTCCATCTAGAATCGAGAGTTTCAGTGGTTTAGGGGTCTAACCCTACACCCTAAACCCTAAACCCTAAGCCCTGAACCCTAAACCCTAAGCCCTGAACCCTAAACCCTAAACCCTAAACCCTAACCCCGGAGCTTCCACCCGCCACGGGGGCCTCGGTCTCCTGCTCCAGGCAGGCACGCAGTGCTCCAGCAGCACGGGCGTGCCCCATCTGTCCCAGGCACTTCTGGGCCACCTGGCATGTGGGGTTTAGGGTTTAGGGTTTAGGGTTCAGGGTTTAGGGTTTAGGGCTTAGGGCTTAGGGCTTAGGGTTTAGGGTTTAGGGTTTAGGGTTTAGGGTTTAGGGTTTAGGGTTTAGGGTTTAGGGTTTAGGGTCTAGGGTTTAGGGCGCGTGGGCCGGGTGGGGGGTTGCTGACTCTAAGTTGGAGCTCCTGTTCAGGTTCCTAGCAGAGTCTTGACTTGCGGGTTGTGGGTTGGCGGCTGCAATTGCAAGCGAACGGTACGGTAAAGCATCAGGATGCATCAGGCTTGCGTTCATTCTAAGGTTTTTGTGTTTGGGGCTTAGGGCCCCTGACCACCAAACAAAGTTGAAAGTTCAGCGTTGGGAGGGGGGGCACAGTAGTTTATGTTAAAATGGTAAATGCCTCGGCTATGACCCTGAACCCTTGTACGAGGGTTCAAGTAGTGCTTACTTCCTGCGCACATGTGGCTGCAGCGCGCAACAAGGTCTTGCTACTCGTGAGCCGAATTGCGGACAAGTAGCATCCAAGCGGCCTGTCTTCACCTGAGAACCACGACTTTGCATCTCATAGAACTCAGCAACACATGGGTGCTACGAGAGCTGAGAATGCTGGGACCCTAAACCCTAAACCCTAAACCCTAAACCCTAAACTCTAAACCAGTCGAGCTACACACATCTTGGACATGCTCTCCCAGACTCCAGTCGAGCGAACGCCTTTGACGCTCTTGTATGCCTCAGGGGGGTACTCAGCTCAGCACCTCACGCTCTCCGGATTAGCGGTTCAGGGTTTAGGGTTTAGGGTTTAGGGTTTAGGGTTTAGGGTTTAGGGTTTAGGGTTTAGGGCCACCTGCCCCTCACAACACGATCCCCCCCAAGCACAGCTGCTCCTCATCCGTGTTTCCGCAGGCGAGGTGGTAGGAAAAGTTGAGCAGGGCCTGCAGTAGATGACCCGTCAGCACAGACATTTCAATCAAATTCAACTCCAGGGCGCGTGCAGCAGTGGTCTCTTCATCCATATTTTCCAGGCCAGCGAAATCTCTCAGGACCGTTCGGCTGATCAAGGAGGACGGCTCCTGGGAAATAAAAAAAAGCTTTCATGCTTTTGGAAATGCAATGAGGACCCGAGCATGGCTCTGTAGCACTCTACAGCACCCCCCCTCGGCAAGAGGGCTCGGGGCTCCTCCGCGCCCTCAGTGACAGCTGCCTCCCCTTGCCGAGCAAAGTAGACGTGCGGCCTCAAAGCGCTGGAGGCAGCATGGAGGCAGCACAGAGCAGGGAGGTCCCCACAGCTCTCCCGGCGACTCGGGGCGTTGCACCATGAGCGCCACGGGCATCTGAGTTACGCTGTGGTTGTCTGGATCGACACAAGGAATGCTGTCCTGCAAACATCTGCAAGCCATCAGTGGCTGACAGCACTTTTTCTTGGATCTGCTGCGGGCCTGGAGGAGAATCTGCTCGGAGTTCGCGACGAATAAGGTCATCGCGCAATGCTGCGGCTGGTTCTTTGACTGACAGGTTGTCATGTCCACTGGATTGAGTCTCAAGAAACCCCTGCTTAGCTTCATGTCCACTGCAGCGTGCCGTCTGCACCTCGTCCTCCTTCTCTGCGGCCGTGGGGCTTGGAGGCTGGGCCTGACAAGAGAGCGAAGTGCACAGAGTCCGTCACGCCAGCAAGTGTGCGCACAGCGCCACACGCGTTCTTGATTGCTCTTGCATGGGTCCTGTCCGTCATAGGCCAGGGCCTGGGGCACCTGAAGCAGGTGTTAGGAGCATTCCATAAGAGACGCGGCCCCCGAAGGATACTGGTAGATGCTGGGGCGCAGGCGACTTCACAGCAGAGCAGCCGAGCGTCGGAAGAGTCCCAGAAGTGGGCCACTGGGACGCAGCCTGAGGAGCGCGCCACTCCGAAAGCTGAAGACTGGGCCTGTTTTCACCAGGCTCGTCGCTTTTGCCCACATTGTACCTTAGAAGGCCGGGAGATTGCTGCCACCCCGCTACACCGGAGCTGTTGGGGGGTTTTGGGGGGCGTTGGTTCCCAGATGCTGAAGGAGGGGACAGTGTGGGGATAGTAGGTTCTAGTAGCCCGTTCTGCCTTGCAAGTTGTGCAGTGCGAGTCTTTCTCATTTCCTTTTCATTCCTGCTCGGCCCTGGAACACTGAACTTGCAGGCAAGTACACCGCGCAGCTGCAGCACAGCACAGAACAGCACAGCACAGAATGGACGCACGAAGAGGGCAGCGTGCAACTGAAGCACGTGAGGAAGTTGTCGGACTCTGTGTCGTACACAAACATCCGTCCATCAGGCACGCGCAGGGCCCCGCCCTCGGCGGGTTGGCCGTTGGCACCAAGCCTTCCCACAAGCATCCACAACCACAACTCCAACCACAAGTGTAAAAACACACAGGCCCTGTGAACTCTTGGCCTCTGGTCCACCAGCATGGAGACGCGAGTGCCCGTCTTGTTGATCCGCACTGACCTCTCTGAAAGGGCTCTGACAGGACTCTACGGGTCTCAAAGGGGCCTTGCCTGATTTCTCCAAGCGACCGCTCCTCCAGTCCTTCAAACTTCCTGTCGAAGGCTCACTCGAGGACGAAGGCGACTCTTGGGCATTGTGTGTGTGCGTGCCTGTTTTTGTATCTTAGAACGGTCTATGGTTTATGGTTTAGGCTTTAGGGTTTAGGGTTTAGGGTTTACAGGTTAGGGTTTAGTATTTTGGAGTGCTTTTGCCCATCTCAGCTGGCAGCAGCATGGACTCGGTGGGCCTCGGGGCGCCGACTGGCTTCGGCTTGTCCTGGGAAACCTTCCAGACCTTGAAGCTTGCAGAACAAAGCTGGCCGAACCCCAAACCCCAAACCCCAAACCCCAAACCCCAAACCCTAAACCCTAAACCCTAAACCCTAAAGGGCTTGATGAAAGCTGGTGCCCCAAGGCAGACGACGTCTCGGCGGCCGGCTTTGATGAAGTTTAAGGAGGTGGAGGCCACCAGGAAGTCGCCACACACATCCAGGCAAGTGGGAAGCCCTTCCACCTCACTGCAGTTTAGGGTTTAGGGTTTAGGGTTTAGGGTTTAGGGTTTAGGGTTTAGGGTTTAGGGTTTAGGGTTTAGGGTTTAGGGTTTAGGGTTTAGGGCAGTTTAAAATTGCACCGCGAGCCACTGCTTGGGTACATGGTAGCGGCCCAAGCCTCCTCGGAAAACTGGATCGTTTTCTGCACGTGGCCTGCGTGCAAGCTGCCTTTACCCGCATTAGCCTGCATTAAGAGCTGCCTTTCTCCCATTCACTTCTGGCCTTGCTTGTTCGCGAACTCGATCTTCGATCCACTGGCCATGGCCACCACACGATCATGGCCTTCGGCTTGAGGCTTATGCTTGAGGGCGAGACTAGGAGGCAGGTGCTGATAAGGGCGCGGCTCTGACAGAATAGAACAGCAGCCACGATGTCGTAGGAGCGCGTGAACTGACTCAAGACCTAAGCTTGGCGCTCTTGCTACAAAGCCCTTGAACCAAAAACATCTGAAAGGGCCGAAGCCCTCAAGCCCTGAGCCGGATCCTGGAAGACTCTTTTAGGGTTTAGGGTTTAGGGTTTAGGGTTCTTGAGCATCCATGTCAGTGGGGGGGAGGGCGGGGAGGGCAAGGGGCGACGTAAGATGACTGGCACTGCAAGGTCTGTCTTGGATTCCAGTGTCACCAGATGGATATCGGCAGGACCCCAGAAAGGATTGAAATAGGGCCCCTAGCAGCTTCTTGTTTTCCGCGACCTCTTTCTTGGACGCGTCTCGAAGCCGGTTCCCCCTGTTCCTTTCGGGGACAAGAAACATAAACCCTAAACCCTAAACCCGAAACCGTCTGGAAACCTGCCAGGGCACGGAGGCTTGCATGGTCACGTCGATGTCGTACAGCATGATCTGGATTGCCGCTTGCAAGATAGGGCCAGTTCGTGTCAACATTAACTGTTCCAGTTGCGCCTGCTTGCTGTTCCAGAGCAGAATCGTGCTCCCTCCCACACTGACACCCTGCGTCAAGTGGAGCTCTGAAACTGCCAGAACACGGAGAAAGCCAGCAAAAAAAACCCGGCCTTGACACGGAAAGGGGAGCTGAGACCAATCTGCATCTGCTTCTCCGTGTGATAGATCATGATCTGCAACCCAAAGCAACATTCCGCTTGCCATTTTCACTGTCATTCGCTGCCGCCGCGCTTGGCAAAATCCTTGCTTTCCAGCCTCTGCTGGGGCTGTCTGCACTGCCATGATCGGTGCCTGGAAGGCTGTGTTGAGCTGCGCCTGCATCGGGTTCATGTCTTGCTTCTAACTCAGAGGCGGTTCTGGCGCAGGGCCAGGATCGAACACGCCTCGGACAGAATGACGCTGTTACGATCTGTCCTGTCCAGCTGCGTGTCGTGCACAACTCGAGCACAACGCCCTCGACTTCGGGGGGCAAGACCCTAAACTAAAGAACCCAACGCAGAGCACCGGAGCGCGAGGATTCTCCTGACATGCACGAGGCTTTCTCCAGGACCCCAGGTCAGCTTGTCGATGGTACAGTCGCTTGCACTGATCACGGGTAGCACCTCGAAGAACAACTATAACTCTGGGGTCCAGTCTAGGCTGTAGCGGCCTGTAGCGCTCTAGCGGTAGTTTGGGGATGTTTGGGGCTTAGCTTCGTGCTTCGATTCTAGGCTTAGGGCCCTGCGGCCTCAGGTTCCCCAACATCTCGGTGATCTTTGGGGAACTTTGGGGGGTGTTGGAGGTGCTAAGTCCGACACCTGCCAGTTGGCCTCGGACTTGGGCGTGCCAGAAAGCGTGCAGCAGCGCCACTGGACCTGAGCCGACCGATCAAAATGATCAAGCCTTACAAAGATCTACCAGAGGCTACGAAGTCTGCTACCCGAGCAGGCCTAAGGCTGTGATTGCTGCGATTGAAGCTTGGCGGCTCTTGTTTTCATCATCTGTATCGACTCATTGCGCAGATCGATGTCAACCGTACTGAAGTTTTTCAGTAGCCTGGAGGGAAGCCTCCTACTTGGCCCATCTCCTGGACAGGAGTGCCGTTGCATACGTACCCAATCCTGAGCTTCATGATCAGGCCCTTCTCGCCGTTGCTTGAATTCACACAACTCATGGTCTGAGTGACCAGGTCTGTCTGCGGTGGGAGAACCTGCCCCGTTGCTGGCTGTATGTTCAGGGTGCAGTACTTGGGCACTGCCGCCTCAAAGACAAAGTTGGTCATGGGCACGTTCAGTGAGTTGGCGAACTTGGCCAGAACAGTCACCGAGCCATTGGCCTCTTTGCGCGGGAAGAAGGTGACCTTCAAGCCGTTCTTCTCGTAGGCCACCATCGGGGCAGCTTCCTGCGCCTGCGCTGGCGCAGCAGCCTCCGCGCCCCCGAAGATGTCCAGCAAGCCGAGATCTCCTCCAGCGCCTGCACTTGGGCCGGGAGGCGGAGCAGCTCCTCCTCCTCCTCCATCGAGGAGGTCCAGAAGATCTCCTCCACCACTTGGTCCGCTGGGTCCGCTAGGTGCTGAGACAGCTGGTCCTGAAGGCTGCGACGCTGGGGCATCAAGCAGGTCGTTCAAGTCGAGAAGGTCCTTGCCCCCCGTGACAGGGGCTCCAGAACCTCTAGGACCGCCGGAGGGCACTTCGTCTATCGAGGCATCGCCGACATCTCTGCTTTCAGCTCCACCAATCTCTCTCTCTGGCACAGGCATTCGGTCCAGGATGCCTGCTCTGTGAGAGTCCCACTCGGAGCTGAGCAGCTCCAGGAACTCGCATGAGCGTTGCTGCAGATCCACATGAAGGCTGGTGTCGAACCTTCTCAGCAACTTCTTAATTCTGTCAAACTCGCTCGGGCATCTAGTCACAAGCTTGATGAGTGCTGCGGCTACTAGGCAGTGTGTGGAAGACGCCTTCTCAGCGGTAGGCGGCTTCCTCACGACATCATGCAAGAGGTCCAGCACATCGCCAGGAGTGACGCGTATTGGTTGATTGTCTGGGCCGACAGCTCTTCCAGAGACCAAATGGTCTCCGAACTCCCCCAAACACCAAATACCGACGTGCACAAGTGCTTCCTGGGTCAAGCTCTCCTTCATGTTGAAGTACAACTTGATGACGGTGTAAGAGTGCAACTCAGGAGTTGCAGCCACCACCCGGCAGAACTTCTCCCGCTGCTGCTCCTTGACAAAGTTGCCTCCAAGGCACATCACTTTGATCAAGGTGTCGATCTGCCATCGGCGATTGGGGGAGAACTTTTCCACGGCCAAGCAGACACGGCTGCACAGCTCTTCCTTGAAGTCTGGCTCGGCCACCAAGAGGTAGTTGAGCAGCTCCTTGGTCATGGGCTTGATGTTGGACTCGTCCACGAGGGAGTACGTGACATCCAATGCCCTCTTTCTGATGGAGATGTCTGGGTCTTTGAGGCAATCGATGATGGTGTTGCGATGTCGTTGCATGACCTTCTGGTCTACATTCACGACACGCTGTAGAGTTGCAAGCGCCACGTATCGGATGTTGTTGTCCCGACTCAACAGGAAACGCCCCAAGATATTGATGCCTAGCACACGCAGCCCACTCTCGGCCTCGATAAACATGATGGTCAGGACACATTCATACAAGATCGCATTCCCCGTGTTCTTGGTGCCCTCCGTGTTGGTGGCAACCTGACATTGACTGAATTTTGCCTCATGAGCAAAAGCATAAAAGCACACGCTTGCAGAACACCCCGGAACATGTTCTTTGTACGCCTCTTGCACAAGTTGGAAGCAGCACAGCGTTGGAGATGAAAAAATGTTTGCGAGATGGCGAACATGAGAATCAACAAGATCATCATCACCACCATCCCAATCATCCCAATCACCCCATCATCGTCATCGGCCTCATGCGCAGCATCATCATCATCATCATCATCATCATCATCATCATAGTCGGCACCATTAATGCCATTCATGACCTTCATCATCGTCATCATCGTCATTGTCGTCATTGTCGTCAATCGTCATCATCGTCGTCGTCCTCATCCTCACCCTCATCCTCATCCCCATCCTCTTCATCATCAGCAGCGGCATCAGCAGCCAGCAAAACGGCAGTGCGTGACGAGGGTGCGCGACTTGCGCGACTGGACACGTGACTAGTTGCAGAAACACGGTGGACGATGAGCACAAGACGTGGCGTCTCTCTACAGGAACTGCCTGAGCCAAGATGTCGTTCATCTCATCGCCAGCATCCACACTGCGTTCCCCCAAGATGCGCAGGAGCCGCAAGATCTTGGCCTGCAAGAAAGGGTCGGTGATACCGGCAATGTCATACTCCGCTGCATTGGAGTAGCCTGAAGTCACCATGTTGCGGAGAGCCCGCACCAATGATGGGATGTAGCGCCGGAACTCCTTGACGTAAGAAGGGTTCACCTCTAGAAGCGCAGTCAGCAAGGAACAGCCTGCAAGAAGAACTCCATGGTTGCGGTCTTCAAGGAGGTTCCCTATCTTTCCATTGAATTTGTCTTCTATCTCATCCACTTTTCGAATGATTCGCATGGCGCAAAGTGCGGCCTTCTTCCGGAGGTATGGATTGGAGGAGGTCATCATCTGCTCTACCTCTCTGGCCAAGGCCCTGCACATCTCATTGCTTCCGATGTTGCCTAAGGCGCACAGGGCTAAGCCAGTGACGTACTGATTGTCACTGCTCATGTCATTTTTGATGGAGTTTGTCACGAGCATGAGAACCTCCGTGTTCTCGTCCAGTAGCTGAGTCAGACCAAGATATCCCACACGCTTTTCGGGAAACTTGCTTGATGCAATCAGCTTCAAGCACTCCATCTGGCCAAAGTGGGTTGGGTACCCCATCATGTGAATGAACAGCAATTTTGCGACATTCCGATGTCTGAACTGGTTGTCGTCCTCCTTAAACGCTGTTCGAATCAATGCACATTCTCTTGCTATAACCGCTCGTTCCTCCGCCGCAGTCTTGCATGCGCGGATGCTCCGGATTAGCTCACGGAGCTTGATGGACATGGCGTTCTGAAGCCCGCCAGGGCAAAAACCTTCGAGCTCCCTGAGCCCAAATGGCAAGCAGTCGTCTCAACAATCAACAAATCTCAGGAAACACGTCGCAGTCCAACAAGTACTGGAGTCTGCAGCATGCAATGCCAGGAGGCTGACCATGCGACCCCCCCGCGTGCCACAAGCCAACACCTGCCAGAAAAGCTGCGAAGTAGGGAGGGCTTCCGAAGTCAAGTGAAGCATGTGTGACCTGTGCCCGCAAGTTTCTAGACCGGAGGCTGTTACACCGCATCACCCTTCGAAGCGCTGTACTCAAGTGGCCTTCTGCTCAAGTGAGCTCATTGAGCATCTGGCTATCTGATTGCTGCATGAAGGAAGAGAACTGCAACTTCGCTTGAAGTGCGACGTTGCAAGGTATGTCTCCCACGAAAGTGCGAGCGAGAGAGAGAGAGAGAGAGGTATAACCCCTTATGTAAAAGAGGGATGCAGGAAAAAGGAAAGGAAGAAGCAAGTGACACCACGTACATCCCAACTCCATAAAACATACCGTTCTGCGGGACAGTCGTGCATCTCGGAAAGTGCGAAGTCGCAACACCAAAACTACCTGACTTCGGTGATCAAGCCCTTCGCTTCCACCCCTGATCCATGCGTCCGATAGTGAAGGTTGGCTAAGGAAAAACGTCGCGCCACACAACATGATCCAGGCAGAAGTCAGCCGAACAGTCAGGCCTGCTTCCGGGGGTTGTAGTCAATACTCGTGACCTTGTCCCCGCTCAGGCTGTTCCGTTCATCGATGCCCTGCAAGATCTAGACATCAGAGCACCGTCAAGCTCATGTGTGGCTGTACAACGGCCAGGGACAACAACGGTGCCTGGAGAGAAAGGATGTAGTTCTCATCGTCTGCCAGGTTCCACAACCTACAAAGAGGCACAAAAAAGCCGGAAAATGTCCGGCCCCCCCCTTCCCCCCCCCCTTGCCCCCCTTCCCCCCCTTCCCCCCCCTGAAGCTAAGCCCCGCACCTGACAATGCTCTCGTGGCTGCAAGTCGCCAGCAACCCAGGCCCAGCCTGGGGGCTGATCCGACTCGGGGGCTGATGTGCTATCCTGCTGAAGAACTCTACCCCCCCCCCCCAGCAAATATGCTTCCTTAACAGATCTTAAAAGGAGATATATGTATATATAGGTATACCCTTTCAGGGCAATGTAGGGTACTCCTGTTGGGACCGTACTTCCCTCGTTCCCAACAAAAGGGCCTGCCATGCACTGTTCGGGTCTAGGGTTCTGAAGTTGCTTCGGCTTGCATTTTACGTGCTGGAAACACCAGAGACGCATGGGAAGTCATGCCTGGTGCCAGAGTGCCAACATTATCTATCAGACTGGCCTTCGGCCAGCCTACTCACAAGAGATAAGATGCTGCGGCCTTTTCGGCCTTGTGCATCTGGTATTCTTTGCACACATGCGCTCTGCCCGAAGACTGCTTGGCAGTACGGCATTGCGCTTTGCGAGTCTCACATCAACGACATCGTCAAGAATGTCGGGCTGCTGCGGCTACTGTCAACTGCTTTCAGGGCTAGATTTGAGAAAAAGTGGCCGACACATGGGCCCATGGGAACAGACCCCAAAATCTTGCAAACTCAAGCAGCCCCCCTATTTGGCGGGGCAGGCTGAGAAAACACAGAAGACATGACAACAGCACACCTGCTGCAAGCAGCGCCATCAGACGGAGAACATGTTGCTGACCTCATCCTCCTCTACATGCGCGTCTGCCTCCGGAGGGCGAATGCACTTCTAGGCGAAGGTGCATCTGGTCACAGGCATCGGAAGCGAATCGAGCGACATGCATCGCCGCCTTATCGTGAGCCGCCTTATCGGGAGGGGGCAGTACCGGCCCAGGTGTTGCCAGCAAGCCTGGGCGAGGGGAATCACGGGCTCTCAAGCAAGGCGTGGTGTCTGTGGGTGCTGTTCAAATTGCGAAGAAGAACTGGGGGAAGGGGTTCACCCCTTTTGATATTTGCGAAGCCTTCTATATGAAGGTCCGACCTCCCTCCCCCTCAGCCCCTGAAGAGGCCAAAGGCCGCATCTCGAACTTCGAAACACCATGGAATTTCTCTATGTGGACCTTCGGAGATGACTTCTTCCAACTGCACTTTGGAAGGCCTGGTCGTGCCCCGTCAAGGTGTTCGTGACCTCAAAATCCCGAAGTTCGCGGCACGTTCAGCACTTCGCACAGCTTCGCACAGCTTCGCACAGCTTCGCACAGCTTCGCACAGCTTCACACAGCTTCACGCAGCTTCGCACAGCTTCGCACAGCTTGGCACGGCTCCGTCGCATCAAATCTTATCCGAGCAGCCGTTTGGACTTCTGCCGGAGTGCCTTCGGCCTGATGGGCTTCGAGCTCTTTCCGATGTCCTTCTGTGAGAATTCCTGCGGGCACTCTGCGGGCACAAGATGGTGCACATGATCGCAGTATGACTGCAACACGGAGGTGCCGGTGCCTCCTCCCAGAATGTCTTCGGTCAAAGTGGCCATGAACAGAGCTACCGCCGTGGCTGGGACGTCTCCTGTTCTTTCTGGCTATTCAATCACGGTCTGCAAAGCTCGCTCTACATCCCGGAGATCAAGGTCAACATGAAACATCACGATACTACCGAGTCCTGCTGCTTGCGTTGGAGGAGTGCGAGTATCTCCTTGCCAGCTGGAGAAAGGTGTTGAAGACAGCGTCCACAACATTCTACATCACTCCACAACTCGTCTGCCTAAGGACTTGCTAAAGCCCAAAAGACAGCAGAAGAATGTCAGGCGACTCCATGGACGTGGCTTTGCGGAGGGTCCTGTCCAGCATGTGCACGTCCTCGGACCGCATACTGGAGGTCATGGAGAACCTCCGGATACCTCAACAAATCGGTGCAGAGGGTGCAGAGGGTGCAGAGTGCAGAGTGCAGAGTGCAGCTCTTCTGGCAAAACTCGGGTACGGGACTAGTTCATGGTTGGGATAATACTAAAAATATACATGTATATTCCTTATTGGGTTTAAGTACCCTTAAAAATGTAAAATGGCACCCAACTATGACACTAAACCCTAAACCCTAAACCCTAAACCCTAAACCCTAAACCCTAAACCCTAAACCCTAAACCCTAAACCCTAAACCTAATTTCTGGAAAGCCTGGCCTCGGCCATAGCCTCCTCCAGTGGAGAGGTGCTTCATGAGCGGCAGGTGTCCGTTAGAAAGGTGGGCTGAGCCTCCTCCGCAAGCACACTCTATGTAGTGTATATAAATAAAATAACAAATAAATAAACAAACAGAATACTATATAGACATATATAAATAAATAAGCAGAATACTATAGTACAATAGAATCAAGTTGTCCCGCTGTAACCGTCCCGGCCTCGGCCACCGGCAAACGGCTCTGAGACGGAGAAGCGTCTTGTACGGTCCGTGCGGTCATGAGAAGACACGTCAAACATTGACTCCTGTTTAGGGTTTAGGGTTTAGGGTTTAGGGTTTAGGGTTTAGGCTTTAGGCTTTAGGGTTTAGGGTTTAGGGTTTAGGGTTTAGGGTTTAGGGTTTAGGGTTTAGGGTTTAGGGTTTAGGGTGGCCATGCTCTTGCCAGCTCT